GGTTCCTCAAAAAATATATCTTCAAGTTATACGCGATCACTTGCAATAAAATCAGTGCAGTCATCATCACTGTGAGATGGAGGCCCAACCCAAGCCGTTGCAATCTCCCGCAGTCCTGCGATGCAACGGTCCATTTATCGCCCATGCATGAGCCTACTTCATTGGCTCTGTCTCCACGGGAGGGGACATCCTCTCAGGCACGTTTCCTCATGTTGGCTGCCACTCCACCATTAGCCTCGTCCCTTCTCGTGACGCTCAAAACAGCCTTGGTCCTCAGTACCTGCAGTCCCATCTGGCCCCCGCACCTTGCGCTCCTCGAGCCAGGCCCTGCGAGCTCAACCTAGAATGTTTCATTCCACGCTGGGCGGTAGTAGGTAGGGCCTTCTCGAGCGTGGACCCTAAGATGTGGAACTCTTCCCCGCCGGCCCTCAGATTGGCCTCCGAGAACCAAACAGTTCAGGAAACTCTGGAAGACCCACGATTTTCAATTAACCTTTTCCCTGAGTATGTCCTCTCATTTTGATACTTTATGTCTTGAATTTCCTACCAGACAGTCTCGTCCCTTCACCTGATGAAGGCCGCTTGTGTTGTGGCCGAAACGTCGTGAGAATATTATTGTGTTATTTTATTTTATCAATTTATTATTTTATTCTCATTCTACGTGACTTTACCGAAAGAACCAAAGAAGATTTGTGTCATGATTTTATAGGCAGGACTATGTTCGTTTAATTCATCCTGTAAAGTATTGCGATTCCCTCTTTAGTGGGGGTGAGTTTTTACAAAAAAAAATTGAATGAATGTATCCTGCCCAAGTCCACTTGCTCCTAATTAACCCTTTTCCATTCCGAGACATCTGCAAGTTGCAGGGTGGGTATCCCAATCACCACTGAATCTCGGAACGCGCGAGCGGTTCAGCGTTCATTTTATTTCGAGAGGCGCATAGTGCCGTTGTTTTTAAAGACACTCTACTCACCGCAGACACATGTAGGGAAGCGACCGCACTCTGATAGCTGGTGCCAAACTCTGCCTCACGCCCTCCCGCGTGGCTTTGCAGGAGCGTCAATGAAGTTATTTTAGGTACGTCATCGGAACGGAATCGGAAGAAAAAAAGCTGGCGACGTACGCGTGCGTCATCGGAATTGGAAGGGGTTAACAGTCACCATGATATCTCTACACCACCTCATGTTCTCCGAAAATCCACGTGCCCTTCTTTGTGTCTCTCAATGTAATTCCCAGCGCGTCGTCCTCCGTCCCCATGCTCCTTTGCACACTCTTCCTATGAGTGCATTGTACTCGTTGCAATGAATAGGATGTATCCCTTGACGTCCATTATGCGCGTAATTATTGTAGAGCGTTGTGAGATGCAGTTGCACGAAATGCCGCGAAATAAAACTGAAGTTATTGTTGTTAGGACTAATGATGGTGTCGGCGCAATGGCAAGACGTTGCACCCGAATGTAGCCGTGTTCGCAGATGAGAAAATAGCATCGCGGGGTGGAACGCAGAGCGTTTTATACATCCCGCACAGGGGAGTGTAAACACAGCAGGCTTAAAGAAGCGCATTTCGTAAATAGTTTATAAAAAAAAAAATTCTAAGCCAGAGAAATTAAGGAAATGAAATGCCCACGCAGTCTAAACATTGATGGTTTTGTTTGTAAAAGCCAGTGTGTGCAACAGCTGTATTCGCGTAAACCTGGGTTGGCTCCGAATGTCATAAATGTGCTTTGTGTGGTCCTCTATTAAAGTGAAATTCCCAAACGGTCATTCCTTCTCTTTTTAACCGAAACGGAATTGGCTTAATGCTCGCTGAAGCATATTGCTCCGGAGGGATTGTGAAATTGACTTGACGCTGTCCTGCAAAACCGTTTTAATATCCCCTCTGAGCGGAACGCCCAGTGGCACACACACAGAGCGGCTATCCTTGACAAATGTAAAGCTCCGATTTAAAAAATATATATATTTAGAATACCACACGGTACAGTTTGGATTAATAGATAATCTAAATGCGACCCTCGTCTCAAGATGCAGTATAGTAGAACCCCTCTTAACGACGGTAATTGATTCCACGAAACCGGTCGTTAGGTGATTTGGTCGTTAAGCGAGTCTAGGAAATACTGTACACGTTAGAGGCTTAATTCGTTCCGGTAGCATCGAAAGTCACCCTTTTTCACCCAAGCGTACTTTATAATATTTGAATGGATACGAATATATAAAGATACTAACAACATTATAAACATGTGGTCGTTAAGAGGGGTTCTACTCTACACTATACACTACTATACACTACACTACTATACACTACACTATACACAACTATACACTACACTATACACTACTATACACTACACTACTATACACTACACTACTATACACGACTATACACTACAAGACACTACACTACTATACACTACTAGACACTACACTACTATACACTACACTATACACTACACTACTATACACTACTAGACACTACACTACTATACACTACACTATACACTACACTGCTATACACTACTAGACACTACACTACTATACACTATTCTATACACTACACTATACACTACTATACACTACACTACTATACACTACACTATTATACACTACACTACTATACACTACACTATACACTACGCTGCTATACACTTCACATTGGGCTCTATGGAGGCCCGTCGTTCAGCGATTAGTCGTTAACAGGGGTGGCACGTTAAGAGGGGTTCTACTATACACGACTATACACTACTAGACACTACACTAATATACACTACACTATACACAACTATACACTACGCTGCTATACACGACTATACGCTAGATTAGTCGTTAACAGGGGTGTCACGTTAAGAGGGGTTCTGTTGTATAGAACAAATGCAGCCCAAGGAAATTGAGGTGAATCGGGGAATCTTTACTTAGACTGGAGGAATCCAATGAGCTACGAGAGGGAGCTCTGGAGAGCTCCTCCACAGGGTAGTTTGGCCTTCCCGCCCACGCTCGCGAGACATCTTGAAAGAGATGGGAGTCCCCACACTTTCCCCCACCAAATGCGACCTGTTGATTGACCGCGTGGTACACCCCCATTTATCACGCTGGGTGGACAGACGTGGTGGGGGGGGGGGGGGGAATTTGAGAAATTTGCCCCATTGTTTTAACTGGAGAGAAGGCTGTATATCCTGTATAATGTGTACATATATACATACACACGATACTATATATTTAATCATTTAAAAGGTTGGTCATGTGTCGAGAAGAGGAAGGTCTGGAACCTGGATTGAACTGGGGTAAGGGGTCGACTGCTGATGGTCACAGGGAGGGAGTTCTGGCCTGTGTATGAGGGTCATGGAGCGCCAAGGTTGGCGAGATGTTAACTACCTCGCCTGGTATGCAGGAGGTCGTGGGTTCGATCCCGTACCCTGACGCCTGCTGCTGCTGCTGTATATTTGGAGTTTGCGCATCTCTCTCCCCGTGGTCGTGTGGATTTTTTACCTCCTCCGGTTTTCCCCTCCACATTTCGAATCGACATCACGCGTTCAGAGTATTTTGGCTGCTGCTGTAGATTTCCACGGGATAAGCTACTTTTGGTGAGCTGTCATTTGTGACCAGGTCGCTTTTGAAAAATATCTGTAAAGCTCAGTGGGCCTTACCTAGTAATATAAAAAAATAGTTTCGCATAAAAAAGTGTAGTTTATAGTTTTAGTTTCAAGGCCCAAAACATCAAGCGGCCAGCAATAAACAGTACTCTTCAAAGTGTAATAGAGACGAGTTAATGTGATCCTGGAACTGAGGAAACTTTTTATAAGAGCATGGGAAAAGAGACGATTGGAGGGAATTACAAACGGAGCAGTGCAAGGGAAGAAGCAGAGAGAGAAGTGTAGGGGCCTGATGTGTGGTGGTTGAGTGAGTGGGTGAGTGAGTGGGTGAGCGAGTGGGTGAGTGAGTGGGTGAGTGAGTGGGTGAGTGAGTGGGTGAGTGAGTGGGTGAGTGAGTGGGTGAGTGGGTGAGTGGGTGAGTGAGTGGGTGAGCGAGTGAGTGAGTGAGTGGGTGAGCGAGTGAGCGGGTGAGTGAGTGGGTGAGTGAGTGGGTGAGTGGGTGAGCGAGTGGGTGAGCAAGTGGGTGAGCGAGTGGGTGAGTGAGTGGGTGAGTGAGTTGTAATGACCTGCAAGGGTGGTGGTTGAACACGGTGCGGATACGACTAAACGGCCGGTGTCTTTGTACCCTGAGTCCTCAATATGGGACGGGGAATCGACGAGTGAAGTACACGGACACAGTCACCACGGTGGTAGCCATAGAAGAGTTATAAGGAGGCGACTGACCGATGGTGAGTGAGTGACCGGAGTGAATCAGGTGAGGGCTGGTGAAAAGAGTTTCATATTTCTCATCAGATTTCTCCAGTCTAAATAAAGATTCTGATTCTGTCAATGAACCCGACGTGGGGAGCGGTGGTGCAGCGGTTAGCGCTACGCTGCACGGCCAACACCGGTGACGATTATTTGAACCGGGCGTGGGCCTCCCCTAGGTCGACTCAGCCTCAAATGAGTACCTGGTGCGGTGTGTAAACATCGTCACTAGGGAGACAAAAGTGGTCGGCCGTGGTGCTGGCCACCCACCCGTCGTGTACCGTTCCGCCCTTCATAGGTGCTCGCTAACAGCACTTGCCCCTAAAGTCTGTTAAGGCTATACGGGGGATCTTTGTCTTTGGGGAGTGATAGTGTAGCTGTTAGCGCGCTGCGCTACGAACCCGGCGACCCGAGTTCAATTCCCACTCATGGCCAACACCGGTGACGATTATTGAACCGGTTCTGGGCCTCCCCTAGGTCGACTCAGCCTCAAATGAGTACCTGGTGCGGTGTGCAAACATCACTACTTTGGAGACAAAGGCGGCCGGGTCTGGTGCTGACCACCCACCCCCTCCTGTGCCGTGCCGGCCTTCATAAGGTGCTCGCTAACAGCACTTGCCCCAAAAGTCTGTTAAGGCTATGCGGGTGATCTTTATCTTTGTGCGCGCAGGACCACGGCATCCCGACGGACATGGGCTACGCTGTGGCGCCGCACCACTCGGGCGTCTACCCCGTGCACACGCAGCTGTACGAGGCGTGGAAGAGCGTGTGGAACATCCGCGTGACGAGCACAGAGGAGTACCCGCACCTCAAGCCCGCGCGCTTCCGCCGTGGGTTCATCCACCGCGGGATCAAGGTGAGCGGGCGCCGGCTAACGACCACCGTGCTGTGAATCCGGTAGCGACCCTGGGTTCGATTACCCGGCGACGGACGACGCTGGTGGCGAGCGATGGCGTTTTGGGCCGTTTGATTTAAGGCCGGGAAGAAGCCGACCAGTGAGCTATGGGGGGGGGGGGGGGGGGGGCTCTTTTTTCACAGGTTTTCCAGCCACAAGCTCGGATTGGCGGCGGCGGAAAACGACAGAGGAAGTTTAAATTGGTAGATACATGAAGCCGTCGCGCGTGCAACTCGAACGAAACAACAGAGTGATAGAGAAGAGTAAAACACGAAACGGACTCGCAGCAATAGTAAACATTTTTAGTATATTCGTGGTTCTTTTGGTAAAGTCACGTAGAAGGGAAACAATAAAATAATACAAATATAAAACAATACAATTCTCACGACGTTTCGACTGCAACACAAGCAATCATCATCAGGTGTGAAAACCACAGCAATTTTTTTTAATAAAAGTGGCGGTTTTTTAAAATATTTTTTTTGCTGTGGTTTTCACACCTAATGATGATTGCTTGTGTTGCAGTCGAAACGTCGTGAGAATTTTATTGTTTTATATTTGTATTATTTTATTGTTTCCCTTCTATGTGACTTTACCGAAAGAACCAAGAATATGAATCCCTGCAGTCACGAAAGCTTGAAATCAAATTTTTTACTATACTTGCAAATTCGCTGTTGTCAAATCAGAGTTGCAAATGTGACTGTAGTTGACATCCAGCGTGAGTTGTCGAGCTTTCGTTGATGGTAACTCCTCGAATCGACAAACGGGGACACAAGGGGATTCCAAACGGTGTGGGTGCTGCAACATCAACCGGTCTTGCCTCCTCCTCCTGCCCCCCCTCCTCCTTTCCTTACCCTCCCGCCCCCAGCCCTTCAACAGTCTGCACTGACCAGCTTGGTGAAGTATGGTTAAACAAGCCCCCGGGTGCGTCGTGGTTAGCGCACGATGCTACGGACCCGGTGGCCTGAGTTTGATGCTCAGCCGCAGCTGCTGTATTTACAATTGGACTTCTTTGCCCCGGTTAACGCCTTTGATCACCGTGTCGGGTATTGAAGAGGGGGAATCCCTAATGGCAACACAGCTTTTCACTGGAGCTACGGGCATTTTGAGCTCTTGCCTCCATTGCCGGTGCGGGATGAACGGGAAGAATTGGAACCGTTGCGTAAAAAAATACGTCGAAGGATACACGGTGCAGCTATTCCCTCGTTTATTCATGAACTCGCCATCCGCGATGTTGGCTCTCTGCGAATCGCATCTGGAACTCTGCTGTCTATGTAGGAGGAGTCACGATATCACAACGATCATCATCATCATCGCCATCATCATCGCCGTCATCACCATTGTCATCACCATTGTCATCATCGTTACTATATCCTTCTATTGCGCAGCATCATTATAATTTTAAGTGAGTTAAGTTACAAACTTTTACTTAATATTTGAATACAAATTTGTTTTTAATTTATGTTTATTATAACCAATTTGTATATTTTTACGTTATGATTTTTTTCATGTATTTAATAGCTTGTTTAGGTATTTATTTAAGGTAATTCATTAAAATATATATGTATTCGTAGGCCAATATCATCATCCGCGAAATTTTCTATTCGCAAGCATCTTCAGAACGTATCCCTCGGGAATGACGAGCGTTATACGGCATCAATATTCAAATAAATGTTCCTCTATAACTACAGAATGAGAAACTGGGTCAAAGTGTTGAGGATCATTTTTTGTAAAACCCATATACTTTTAGCTGTTCAACACGATATTAGTCATGTGTTTCTGTGTATACCGAGTGCCAGCACAGCTAAAACTATTTAATTTCCTTTTAAAATCGAAGCATATGTAAACTAAAAGTCTTATTATGTCCAGTCTCTAGCTCCCAGCAGGGGAGCTACACGCTGGCCAGAGTGCGTGTGTATTTGCGCGCGTATATTTATATGTGTGTGCACGTGTCTGTGTATGCGTGTCTCTTTCTCTGTGTGTGCATGTTTGTGTGCACGCGCGTGTCTTTGTGTCTCTCCCTATCTTTATGTGTGCACGGGTCTCTGGGTCTTTGTGTGTGTGTGTGTGCTTGAGTGTGTGTGTGTATACAAGTGTGGGTCGCGGTAGTGTCGTGGTTTGCGCGACCCGGGTTCGATTCCCGCTCACGGCGAACAACAGTGACGATTATCTTAACCGGTCCGAGGCCTCCCCAAGGTCGACTCAGCCTCAAATGAGTACCTGGTGCGATGTGTAAACATCGCCACTGGAGAGACAAAGGAGCACCGGCCTTCATAGGTGCTCGCTCACAGCACTTGCCCCAACAGTCTGTTAAGGCTATTCGGGGAAATCTGTCTTTTTGTGTATACAAGTAAGAGCTGCCACAAATTGGTTTGCTTACTGCACTACGAACCTGGGTTCCGATTTCTAGTTCCTGCTACAATCGGTAGCAAGTGATGCCTGAACAGGTCCTGGACATCACCTAGCTTAGTTCAGCCTTAAATAAGTGCCTGGTGTGATATTGTAAACATCTGTATCGTCATTATGGTCTGAGAGGGGTCCTGGCCACACCTGCTGGCCATGAAGTGGTGCTCACTAACAGCACTTGCTCCAACAACCGATACAACTACACGGGGATGTTTGCCGTTGTATCTTTATGTTTTGTGGGGAGCGTGAGTGGTAGTGTAGCGGTGAGCCATACGAGTGGAATGGAGCACGGTGTGTTTAGCGCGAGCGTGCGCGTGTGCGCGCATGTGTGCGTGTGTGTGCCGCATTCGTTAACAAAATGACCGGGGAAAAATGTGGCTCAGTGAAATCCCCAATCTGGCAACACTCTCAAGCACAGGGTATAATTACACAAATTATATATGTGCTAGCTTTCTGTTTCCTTAGTTATATTTAATGACAATCAAGTAAACATTTCATATCTGTATATTAAAAAAAACCTTTTCTCCAGAATATTCTGGGCCGTTTTGAACAACAAAAAATTTAAAGTCAAGCAACTGAGCTGCGTATTTATGTGGCGGAAATTCCACAGTCATATGGCTGAGTCTCGTGTTACCCCATAGGATAACCACAGCGAGCGCTCCGCAAAGTGGTACTTATATCATCTTATAATGTTTTCATGAAATTCCACGGACAGTATGCGAATGTGCCCTCTCTCAGTAGGGCTCAGTTTGCATTTTTATTCAGACAGGGACACACACTGCTTGGGTGGCCTTCTGCAACAACGAGTGAGACGCATGTATTTGTACGTACGTATGTTGAACTGATTTTCGCACCGTACTTAGCCGACCGTGCTAATCGGAGGTGCGAGACGCTTCGAGTCTGGTGCAGGGATCGTCGTCGCTATCAGTCAAAAATGTCCCCCATAGCCAAAGTAGGCCGAAGCAGGCACAGGGACCCATCGAGAGGAGGAGGGAGGAGGAGCAGGAGGTAATGGGCTGGATGGTTAAACATCCAAATCCGTTTAAAATTCTACCCGAGGACTTGCACCTCTACAGATGCTGGGCTGCAGGACGCACGTGGGAATTGGGATCCACAAGGTTGAGTTGGAAGGCATTTGTGATGAGGATGAATATTGAGAGTTATGTAAGTCATGTGTGTCTGTGTGTGTGGGGAGCGGTAGTGCAGTGCACATGGCCAACAGATTATCTGGACTGGTCGACTCAGCCTCAAATGAGTTCCTGGTGTGGTGTGTCGTAAAACATCACCACCCACCCCCTCATTTGCCTTGCCGAGCCTTCATAGGTGCTCGCTAAAAGCAGGGACTGGTAGTTGTGCGGTTAGCTCACTGCACAATGAACCCAGCAGCCAAAGTTCAATTCCCGGCCATGGCTAAGATCAGTGGCGAATATTGGGCCCCCACTAGGTTAGCTCAGCCTTAAATGAGTACCTGATGTGGGCGTGGTGCTGGCCACACTGTCCTCTCGTGTGCAGTGCCAGCCTTCGAACGTGCCCGTTAACCTCACTTGCCCCGATAGTCTGTGTAGGCTATACGGGGAATCTTTGTCTTTGCATGTACTTTCTGTATCTGTGTTATGAATAGGTTTGTTTGATCAATTTTTTAATCGTGTATAATATTTTAAAATCTGGAATATTCCCTGGTGACTTTACAACCCAAGCGTGTGCAGTGTTGCGTACTCTTCCAAATGATGCCATGGGGTTTATTTGTTTTTAATGCTCTCTTTGCCGTTGGTGGCTCTGTTTGGTCCGGCAATACTGAATTTACCACATGGCCAGCGGAGAGGGAATTTCGAATATATCACTGCCACCATCACTGCAACCTCCACCCACCCACAGCCATGTAAATCACGAGGATCGACCATGTCAGCCTTCCTCTAGTAAAGGCTCTGCCCACCGCTGCCTTTAAGAGAGAAATGTAATTTCAACATTGCGTTTCGCTTGTCATATCTGGCTCGGCTCAGCTCTTGAATATTTAAGCGATGCTCTTAGCTCGTCTCCAGCCAAAGCAGCCTTTTAATCGCCGACCATCGTAGTGCACTCTGGCCAGTCTTCGCCACGGCGCCGCTGTGGCGAACTGCCTCGCCTGGTATACAGGAGGTCGTCGGTTCGATCCCGACCCTGACTCAGATGGCTGCTGTATATTTCAAGTCTACATTTCTCTATCCTCGTGGTCGTGTAGATTTTTCTCCGGGTCCTCCGGTTTTTACCTCCACACTTAGAAACGTGCGTTTAGAGTATTTGGCTGCTATACATTTCCACGTGATAAGCCACTTCGTTGAGCTATCATTTGTGGCCTGGTCGCTTCTGGAAACGAGCTATATAGCTCGGTGGGCATTACCTGCTAAGATACAAAATAGTTTTGTTTATGGATGCTTTCCCCCCGCTTCCTCTATATGACATAGGCTTTGCAATGATTAATCAAATAATGCCACCATCACTATTATTATTACTACTATTACGGTTTGTTTACACGTTCCACATGGAATTAAAATGTACAAAATCGGTTTAAAGTGGGTGTGTATTCCTGGGGTGTAACAAAGCGGTGATTTATGAATTAATGTAATTCTTAAGTTGACATACATCTGATCGATGTGCACTATGTACAGTAATTGGGTTCATGTGATCTCTCCAGCCACTAGAGGCCGCTACACTAATCTCCTTGTTTCGAGATTTTTATCAATATAAAATCTCAACCATGGTTCACAAGAAGTGCATTGACTCATGATAAAGGTGAATCGCTACACTACTTGTGTTTAAGATACATCCTGTGTTGGAAATGGTCAGTAATCTATGGGGCAGCAGTGATGGAAATTTCAGAATTCAAAACCAAAGCGATTTCGCGCACAAATGAGCCTTGAGGCAAATACTCATCTCCCATTCACAGCCCTGGGCCAGTGATGGAAAATTCCACAATTTTTCGACGTCAATATCCGCTGTCCACAAGATTCTTCTTTAGCGACTGCATTTAGCGTTAATCCCGCAGGGCCACACATGTATGCAGAGCAGGCTTTTGGGGCAGGCACTAAGTGTCTGCCCCTGGCCCAGAGTCAGTAGTAGGAAATTCCACGTTCCTATGGTGGGGCAAGTCTTATTCCTCGGAAAACAAGTGTTGACTTTAATACAAAATGGGTTTACCTTTTATCGACCCCGGAGGGATGATGAAGGACAGCCAATCTCCGGATGCTGCATATGGAAATGCGGCTTCGTTGATCACATTGTTGTTGCAGGTGTTCACATTTCTTAAATCATCTTTTCATTGCCGAACCGTATTTCATACTGTGTGAATTGTCATCTTATCGTATGAAAAAAAAAAACCTGAAATGCTCATCGTAATGAAAGGCAGTGCATCTTTCATGTGAACACATGAATTGCAATTGTGCAAATTTATAATTGCCCATTATTTTTCCTTGCTCATGCAACGGGTTGCTCTGTGTCCTCGTGTGACCGGCGAAATGACGGAATTGGCTTTGGGGAAGTCCATCTGCTTGAGCCCTTTATGATAAGGGGCAAAAACAATTTAATCAACATCCATGGATTGACGCGAAGCTCTGCTCGTTGCCGGAAATCTCTTCATTAAATGAGATCAAATGTGAGAGACGAGGGTGGAGATGTTAAGCCCAGCATGCCGTCAACGACTCACTGCCAAGAGGCGGTTGATGAGCTAAAAATTAATGAGTTAATTAACGGAGGTAGCAAATTAGCCACCCGCACCCAGTGCAGTATTTGTGCATGTGTCTAACCGTCATTTTCGATAGATGTTCACAAATCCACCTTATCTCGCGTGCGGTATTGAATTCTTAATCCCGCGTACTTCTGAAATGCAGGAATACACCGTGCTCCGTTTCAAGCTGTCTGTAATTTATTTTCGTCCGGTAACCTAATTGTGCACACGCGGTGGGGCAACTGTAATTTTCTATCAATTTTCACAGATCCGACCTCTTCACACGATCGCTTATTCTCCAAATCCCCAGCGAGTCAGATAATCGACGCTGAACCGTGTGCGCAAACGAGCGAGCGGATAACTCGGCGAACCTTTCTCCTCCTCCTCCTCCTTGTTCTTTGGCGAGCAGGTTCTTCCTCGCCAGACGTGTGGCCTCTTCACTCACACCATCTTCATCAAGGAGTATCCCGGAGGCTCCAAGGAGCTGGACAAGAGCATCCAGGGGGGCGAGCTCTTCCTCACCGTGCTGCTCAACCCAGTAAGAGGGCGGGGGGGGGGGGTTGGGGTTGCACCTTTTACGTACCTTCATCTTATAGCTCACTCGGGGTGCCACAGAAGCACCTTACAGCCTGGCACCATACGCACTGCAGGGCTCGGTCTACCGAGTCTCGACAGACAAAGGGGGAGTCGGCGCTTGCATTGGAAAGCCACTGAAGCGCTCAAGATGGCCTGGTCCGGTTGGTCCGGGTCATTAAAGAATCACTAGGCCTGGTCCAGTCTGGGTCATTAAATAATCTCTAACCAGGCCTGGTCCAGTCTGGGTTATTTAAAGAATCTCTGACCAGGCTTGGTCCAGTCCGGGTCATTAATGAATCACCAGGCCTGGTCCAGTCTGGGTTATTTAAAGAATCTCTGACCAGGCTTGGTCCAGTCTGGGTCATTAAATAATCTCTAACCAGGCCTGGTCCAGTCTGGGTCATTTATACTGCTGAGCGGACGGACAGAGGCGGGGGAAATTAAGATGCTTGCGCCGATGTTCCAACTGCCGCTCCGGGGGTTGGGGGCTACTGTGATTTAAGAGGCGTGCTTTTTTTGATAAAGGGTAAAAGCATTATCCCTTCCCTCTGTGGACATTAACGATTCTGTGTCTGTCTTCTGGAAGAGCTGGGGATGGAGGGGTGTGGGGGGAAGGGTTTGGGGTCTTGACCCTACTGTCCCGTGGATAGAATTTCTACGCAGCTCAATGAGGTCCCCGACCTGGCGAGTTTCCCACTTGCCGCCTAATTCCCGACATTGATTTTTTATCGAAAGGGGGAAGCAGGTGGTGGGGAAGGGGGCACGCTGAATATCCCTGTAAACGAGATCCACAGCGTTGACGTTGACACAAGCACCTGGGATTTCCCGTGCTCCCAGACAGCTCAATCAGAAGTGCTCGTCAAGCGTGGGCGACACGACGTTTAACTCCTCCTCCAGCGGCCGCGGTTTACCGAAGCGCCGCGTAGTCAAACAAAGCGCGGTGTAGCGGCGTAGCTGTCAGGTGCGCAGGCGGTGCAGCTGCACCGGAGACCCCAGGCGCCGCCGTAGCTGTCCAAGCGCCTGGCTTTAAATAGTGGGGCACTTGGACAGAGCGTGGGTGGGTAGGTGGAGGGGGACCCGTTAAATTATTTGCAGGATGGACCCATCTTAACCACGCTAAACTACTAGCAGCATGTGTTGTGGTGTAGAAAAATGCCTGGGCTCTGTTTCTTTGAGCCTTCAGACTAAAGTTGGAAATGTCATTCTAAATATTTATTTATTGAAAGATGCTCGTTTGCTCGTGTGTTTATCCGTCATTTTGCTTGTAATAATAATGAGACTGGAAATACGCACGTGACTAGAAGGCACAGTCGCAGCGAGAGGTCTGCTCGATGTTGTGTGCCTGGTCGATGTTGTGTGCCTGGTCGTGAAAATATTTCCCGTGTCTCCTGTCTTTTTTATATCGAAACCAATGAATGGCTAACGCTAAGTGATAAATTAATTCACACGTGTGCAAAGCTGATAAAAGAAAAGCCTCGTGGCTAAAACTAAGGCTTGCTTCCATTGTTTCCACTTAGCGATATTCAAATGGTCGTGGATTTTGGTCAATTATTAAGAATTGCTGATGGTCAAATTTGTAAAAAAAAAAAAAAGCTCTCAGCTATGGATGTTTGCGATCGTTAAAAGGGCAGCTGTTAATTTGAGCACTGGCAGATGATTTACAAAATCTCATCGCCCTGTAGGGGTTCACTTGCATGGGCGAGCGATCCTGTACTTAAAGATCTGCTCAGGGATGGGCAGGTCGCCGGTTCAAATCCCCATCGCAGGTCGATGAGACCTCCGGAAATCTGGGTTTATGGACGAATTAACCACGCGGTTTCACCCGTTCAACTTTAATTCACCGAGCACTGACGAGTCCATCGATGGGAGATCCACGCCACGATTTCTTACTCCAGAGAGACGGTGATATTGTCTCTCTCCTTGTGTGGGTTTTCACGGCCAGGTGCTGTGTAGTGCTCTCTCTCTCTGATGTTTTTCGGGCTGTGCCGTCGTGTTATTCAGCACGATGTCTGACGTTTCACCCCACGTGCTGGGAGCTTTTGCAGGAATTTAATTGGGCAGCTCAATTTCTGCCTCGATTACAGTGCGTTGCCAGTTGCAGCAGCAGGCAACCCCATATAACAAACGTCACCCCTGCAGCCACGTTCACCACGATGGAAGATAATGAATTAATTGAGTTGAATTGTAAGCATAAGGCATGACCCTTCATGGTATCATTTGGCAGTACATGAATCCTGAAATGCATATTCACAACTCTTGTTTGTGTGGTCTTTCTCTTTTGATCACCACCTGCACAAAATGATGCTGCCCCCACTCCACACTGTGACTGTAGATTACTGGGTTTTGAGACACTTAAAAAATAAATTCCCCATTGTGTTCCCAGTGTTTCGTGATGAACACGGTAAAGTTTCTACTTTTGCATCCGTACGCAACAGACATCACAGTGCACCGTTTTTGTTCTATATTCCAGTTTGAACGCGCACTATTGCACTGGGTTGTAATCGCATGCCACCGCGAATGCCACTTTAAATAAGACCCTCTCCTTTCCCTTCTTCCCATTAGTCTAAAAGGACCACCTGTTTTGCCCTAATGACGCCCTGCCCAGCTGCTATAGCTAAAGTCCATTCTGTGCTACCATTGATCCCTCTTGTACAGCCTTGGGGCTTCCTCTGCTCTGCCTCGAGACCCCTGACCTCAGCCTAAGGGGGGAGGGGGGGGGGGTGTTTCCTCCTTCAGCCTAAGGCGGCTGGGTTTATAAATTTGGGAGGACAAACACGAGGCTGCCACAGCGGCGTGCACGCAGGCACGCTTCTTGTCATCGCAAGGGGAATATTGCTCGGGTCATTGCTACACCGGATGAAACGGTCGACACCCACGAGTGCTCGCCGGCCAGGACACGGTTACTCCCGTTGCGGTCGCTCGACGCGGCTCTCTCCGACGCGTCGGCGGGCTGAGCCGTGCGTCGTTTCGCCACTGTGTCCGACGTTTTTCGCCTGCCACGTGCCGGGAACCGTGAAGTGGCTCTCGCCCGGCACGATGTCCGGCGCAAACGCCGAACGACGAGCGGCGCGCCCTGAGAGCCGCGCCCGGCGCGATCCGCGAGAAGCTTTTCGCAGAAGTTTTACTCGGCAATTATATTTCCGCTCAGTGTTGACGTAGTAAGTCAACGTGGGGGGTGGTGGCGGTGAGCTGGTTGAAAAATGGAAATTGGGCGCAGAGTAATTGCCAGCGGATATTAAAAAAAAAAAATCCCGATGGACTTGCAGTGATTTATTAGGGGCGACAAGGTAATGGGTAGCACACTGGACTCGCAAACCAGTGGTCGCCGGTTCGATTCTTATCCTGGCAGCAGCAGTTCCAACCGTGGCACAAGTTTCTTAAATTCAACCGCCATCTCTTCCGCCCACCGAGCGTTGTGAACTGCGACACCGCAGTTCGTCGATCGGCAGTTCGCGGGCGGCGGGGTAAAGCGAGGGTACTGCCACTTATTTTTTTTTAGCGTTTTGGTTTTTTTCTTGTACCAGGCGAAGCCCCACTGAGCTATACAGCCCTTTTTCAGAAGCGACCTGGCCACAAACGATAGCTCATCGAAGTGGCCTATCATCATGTGGAAATGTATAGCAGCCAAATACTCTTAAGCGCACGTTTATAAATGTGGAGGGGAAAACCAACGCAACCATCGGGAGAACACGCAAACTCCAAATATGCAGGCGTCAGGGTCAGGATCGAACCCACGACCTCCTGTATACCAGGCGAGGTGGTTAACATCTCCTAGCCACCGTGGCGCCCTCTCATAAGGCATCTGGTCAATGTGGACGAGTGGGCCAAAGTCCCATCTAGAGAGGGGGCTCTATCTCGAGCTTCCTGTAGCGGAGACGCTTCCGCCAGCGGTGGAGTGAGCGACCAATTGCAGGACTGCACCTTCACCATTACCTCGGGCAACGACGATTGTTGACCCTGTGAGCCGACGGTTGTCACCAATCGAGCCGACATCATGTCAGCAGAAGCGTCCGGGACAACAGTCGTTGAGATCTCAGCCACGCTGGGTAGCAGCAGCAGCAGCAGCCGCTCGGGCGCTGGCCCCCGTAAACAGCGGCCGTTGACGCCGCGCGGAGTGACGGCGCATTACCTCGTCGTCCTCGGCGAGCCGCGGGGTGTGACGCGGGGGGGGTGATGGTGCGCGGTGTTCTTAACGAGGAGCTCGCTGTCACCGGCGAGAGCGGAAGGCAATGCAGATTTTTTTTTTTTTTAAACGAGCTTTACGTAAAAGGCTGTTGTCACTGGCCCGGGGGCATGTTCCCTTGTCTCATCGCGGGGAGTCACCAGTCGTCTCCCCCTGCCCCAAATGGTCCCCTTCGTCCGGCCGAGGCGCCGTGACACAGCATCGTAACGGTCCATCGACTCGCGGGTGAGATAGGATTTTTACGCTGCCGATACATGGCATGGAATCATGCGTGTAGGAATCGATCGCTGCTGTACTACTGGGAATGTTACGAACTGTGATTGTGGTTTGTTGTCCTTCCCACCCCCACCCACCCCGAACCTCCAATTAACACGGTTGGCTTCGTACGGTGCGAAAGAAGTGCAACATACATACAGATGACAGTGTGCAGAAGAGTGGTTACGCTATGGACAGAACGATTGTCAGGAGACAAAAAATGCCGTTTGATCTGAAATCAAAGCATGACCTTGCATCGTGACCATCCATCGGGTCGCAGGAAGAAGGAGAGGCAGAATCTCTGCGCGTTCACTGCTCCCAAACCAAACCTACCACACCTGTCCTTGCCGTCTTTACAGTGAAACCTTGGATTGCGAGCATAATTCGTTCCGGAAACGTGCTCGTAATCCAAAGCACTCGTATATCAAAGCGGATTTCCCAATAAGAAATAATGGAAACTCAGATGATTCATTCCACAAACCAAAAGTACTGTATTCATATAAAAATTATTAATACAAAATACCTTTTTATATTTTTATTAATTACATTTAATATTAAGTAATCAAATTTATTACATTTAATCGTGGCTGGTGTGAGGGAGACGAGAGAGAGGAGAGGAGGGCTATTGTGTAGGACGACTTTCACTTGCAGTACAGTTACTAAAGAACAGTCACTACACTTGGATACAAAATAAAAAATGCTTTACGCACACACACGTGGTCACAACACTATAGTACTGTAGTAAACAGTATACACGTGGTCACAACACTATAGTACTGTAGTAAACAGTATACACGTGGTCACAACACTATAGTACTGTAGTAAACAGTATACACGTGGTCACAACACTATAGTACTGTAGTAAACAGTATACACGTGGTCACAACACTATAGTACTGTAGTAAACAGTATACACGTGGTCACAACACTATAATACTGTAGTAAACAGTATACACGTGGTCGCAACACTATAGTACTGTAGTAAACAGTATACACGTGGTCACAACACTATAGTACTTTAGTAAACAGTATACACGTGGTCACAACACTATAGTACTGTAGTAAACAGTATACACGTGGTCACAACACTATAGTAAACAGTATACGCTCGCATGGATGTTGACTATACGAGTGAGGCACGCCGACTGAGACCGAGCATGGGAGATGATTACCCACAATCCCGCAGCGAGAGAGAGAGAAGAACCATTGGCTCAGTTGTGATCACGTGACGCTCGGAAGACAAAGCGTGTCCTGTACACGTACTGCTCGTATTGCAAGACATCGCTCGTTTATCAAATTATTATTTATTTAAAAAATTGCTCGTCTTGCAAAGCACTCGCAGACTAAGTTACTCGCAATCCAAGGTTTCACTGTACTTGCAATGCATAAACCCATAATATATATAAAAAACAAATATATACACATATTAATTAGTAAATTTGGTATTTGCGCTGTGTTACACAGATGGGCAAAGTTTGCAATGTGGTGTTGCCCAATTAAATAACTTGCAGGTAACGTTTTCAAATTTGTCAAATTTGTAGCGTGACGCGGGCACACGTGGCCTCTACGCTTTAGTTGAATAACGTCCGGGGGATATTCTAACGTCCAACTGTGAAGTAGGTAGCGCGTAGCGTTTACGGTCAATACACCCGCAGTATTGACCAGGGTGGCCGCTTGGCTCGAACCAGCGAACCTCTGCAGCAAGCACCTCACCCTCCCCCCCCCCCCCCCGCCTCCACCGACCGTCATTTGCCCAGGACGTCGCCGTTACCTAGAATCAGCATCTTTATTTCGACTGCCATGATGCTCTTTTTCACAGGTGTCCAGCATGGGCGTGGGGTCAGCGAGTTAGGACAGCAAACGGTGCAACAAAAACGATAGGAGTGCACAATAGAGGAAATGGTTACTAAAAATAAATAAATAATAAATCCGTTCGTTTTACGAGTCCCGATTTATCAAGAGAGAACAACTCAGCAAAAACAACAACAACAAAACAGTCGTGGGACCACGCAAAGATGACACCGCACAGCAGTAGACCCTCATAAGAATGGCAACGTGAACACTGAACTGTCGGTACACAGGTAATGATCGAAGCCTTCGTCTGCTTCCCGTGACCCTCGCAGATCAGCATATTCATGACGCACCTCTCCAACTACGGCAACGACCGTCTCGGGCTGCACACCTTCGAGACCCTGGTGGACTTCGTGGGCTGCTGGACGAACCTGCAGCTGGCGACGCTGCCGCCCGTGCAGCTGGCGAATAAGTACTTCCAGCTGTTCCCGCAGGACAAGGACCCCCTGTGGCAGGTGACAAAGACAAAGATCCCCCCCGTATAGCCTTAACAGACTGTTGGGAGCAAGTGCTGTTCGCGAGCACCTATTAAGGCCGGATCGGTACGCGAGGGGGTGGGTGGCCAGCACCACGCCCGGCCACCTTTGTCTAGTGAGTGGCGATGTTTACACATTGGAGGCCGAGTCGACCTAGGGGAGGCCCAAGACCGGTTCAGATAATCGTCGCTGGTGTTGGCCGGGAGCAGGAAATCTAACTCGTTGACGGATGCAGCAGCAGCAGCAGCAACAACAACAAAACAGCCACCGCCATTCGCCGCTAATCAGCAGTGACGCCACCAATCGGCAGTGACGCCACCATGGCGCTTGCACCAGGCTTAGTGAAGTGTCGAATGCTCTCTGCTGACAGGAGGTCATAGGACAGACCCAGGTGCCGTGGGTTGACTGGCTGAGAGAGCTGGCAGTTGCCATCGCCTGCGCTCCCTACTGTGCCCAACTTGCGGAGTTTTAGTGGGCCCGGCGCTCCTGTAGAGACTTCACGTGCGACCCCTGCCCAGGTTCTTTTGTGGCGGCGAGCACTTTGTGTGTAGTTCTGTGATGTCATTCACTCTGCAGCACAAGGCTCGATGCACCGTAGCCACGCCAGAGCACCGAACCGAAACGCAGTCTCACGACATAATGCCGACGCCTACAATCAAGATAAAATTACTTGGGGGAAAAAAAGTTTAAATCTAGTTTTTATCGGTCTCCCTTAACCAGTACCATGGAATGCTCTTTGATGCTTTTTAAAAGAGCGCTTCACCACATCTTCATCACCCTGTATATTTCATTAATTGCGGTTCTCGCTGCTGGCATTATGCCCAGTTTGGTAAAAAAAAAAACGAAATTAGTTTTTTGATGCCTTGGTCATTGATTGCACAACCGGTTGAATTTTCACCAAATAAATTTGATTTTAAATACCAAAAAACAATGCAAAGGCATCATTCGTCTTCGCGGTGGTATTAAGTTCACATTTTATTGGCAGCTCTGTTAATAAATATCCGTGTGCAACAACCATACCATATATCACTACTAATGAGCATCTGATCCCTTGATCTTAAACTTCATCAAACCTCTGCGCTTATCAAACATGTCACGCCGATATTAGCGATTCAGGTATCTCACGCGATTGGCACCAAAACATGACGTACAATCTGTCGCTTCCTTGGAAGCTTGTACAGTCGTACCTTGGAGGCTTCCATTGCGCCAAGGTCATCGCAAAAAACATGGCCCCGTCTGTCTGTCTGATATTTCCCTTTGGAATGTCCCTTTTCAGAACCCTTGCAACGACAAGAGGCACCAGGACATTTGGTCTAAAGAGAAGACCTGCGACCGCCTGCCCAAGCTGTTGGTGATCGGGCCCCAGAAGACCGGTCAGTGCTTATGCGAGGGAGCGCTTATTATTATTATTATTATTTTATTCTATGAACTCATTTAGGATGATTGAGGGTCCCAGTATCGGGGAGCTTAGTTTTGCTTCCGTTGGCTGCTTCGCAAAAGGAAAGCGCCGCTCCACCCCGGGGCCTCTTTCTCCCCCGCCCCCTTCCCTCCTCTCCTTGCCTCGTCCCAACTGAGCCGTGATTTATGACTGGCTGTTAAGTTAGCCGGGACGACGGTAAGCACTTGGGATCCCACGCTAAAGGGCAGTGGTGAATGTGTTAATGTCCGCTGTGTGCATTTGCCATGAGATTGCCGGCGAGTTCAGGGCCGACCAGTTGGCTACCCGGCAGTGTGCGTTTTTTTTGTTGTTTATTAACCAACAGCACAGACACAAAGAAGCTTGGGTAGACGTCCTCCAAAGCGTCCTCCAAAAGTGACCGACGTATTCGCGCTCAATCGTAGCGATCTATGGCCGTGGCCCAGGGAGGATAGACAGGGTAGAGGAAGGGCACACAGGGAGAAGGGTAGGAGGACACAGAAAGAGGTGGGTGGTGTCGTACGTCATTATATTTTAGATTGTAAATATTGTGGATTTGCTCTCCAACACACCAGTATGCTGTACTCGTAACGAATAGGCATGTTCTGTTTACGTGACAAACCTTACTAATTGGCTGTGTCGGGTGGTGGCTGGTTTAATGACACATTTATATATTTACGCGATCCTACCCAAAAAACCTGCATTATGGATATTGTAGCTGTAGTCTCGGTCTAGTCGATGATGCAGTTGGGATTTTAGTCAAGTTGGAGTTAGCGGATTTTGCGAAGTCGCGGCTCAAGCGGACACTCGCACTTGTTGGTGTGAGGGGCCCGTAATTCCCTCCCTCTCCCTTATCATCAGGTCAGCCAATCGGTGAACTTGGTAAATATTTTCACATTGCATATATGAATAAAATAAACTACCATTGTTGGTGTTGCTCAGTGCACTGCAGTCTCTAGCAAAGCTGCCAAATTATCTCAGGCCCGCGTGTTCATCCAGACTCGTAAATTTAGCCTCGCCAAGTCGGTCACGCTTGGGCCTGTGGTGAGCAGCAGCTGTAGTCATGGTCACGAGCTTTAAAGCTTATCGGATTCCTCCAGTATTAACAAATATTCTGATTCATGCTCGATGATTTTCATCTGCTCCGAGTCATCGTCCACTATAATTATTTATGAGTGTAACAATGGTTATGTTTAAAAAGATACTTCGTCAACGAATATTTTTCGCCACGCCCTTCGGTAACGACCAGTTGGTGTCAAGCACTCAATTCTGAATGCCCCCCCCCCCCCCTCAGACTCCGTATGGATTTTAGTTTTTCCCCTCCGCAAACGTAGATGCAGGAGAACCCTTGGGTCAGCCAGACTGGAATCCATCTTCACAGTGCTCTGTGCAGAGACCGGTGCACGCCTTGAACATTTGCCCTGCACACTCTGGTTCTGTGAAATAAGTGGCCCGAGTGTGAGCTGGCCTTGCCAGTATTTTCCTTTTTTTTTCCGTTGTTTTATCGTTCGTAAATATTTACACAGTCGAAGCTCTATCATTCGGTCTCCTTGGCTCTTCTTGAAAGGACTGTCTTGGCTTGTGTGTGCTTTGTAGAAAATCCCCCCCCCTCCCACCGCCATGTGTATAGCCGGCTGCGGTTAATTTGGTAGCGACGCACAGGCACGCGTGTACCCGAGGGCACAGACGCGGGTTCATTATAAACGGGGCTCCGGTGTGCACGGGCAGCATACAAAATGATGTGGTGCACTTGTTAGTCGATGCATCAATATGGTTTGCGGTCTTGCGTACGAGTGTGCGTGCTTGCGTGCGTGCGTGCGTGTGCAGTCACACATATAAGTGGGAGCGGTAGGGCGGCGGTTAGCGCTACGCTGCGCTACGAATCCGGTGACCCAAGTTTGATGCCCGCTCACGGCCACCAACACCGGTGACGATTATCTGAATCAGACCTGGGCCTCCCCTAGGTCGACTCAGTCGCAAACGAGTACCTGGCAGAATGTGCAAACATTGTTACTAGAGAAACAAAGGTGGCTGGCCGTGGTGCTGGCCGCCCACCTCCTCCAATGCCATGCCAGCCTTCACAGGTACTCGCTAACAGCTCTTGCCCCAACAATCTGTTAAAGCTATACGGAGGGGGGGGATCTTTGTGTGGGCGGTGGTGGTGCAGTGTTTTGCTCACTGCTCTACAAACCAGATGACCTGGGTTCGATTCCCAGCCATGTCCGATATCAGACAGTCACCTCCGCCTCAAAATATTGGTGCCTGGTGCGGTGTGTAAACATTCGTGCTGGGTAGACAAAAGCAGACAGTATTGATGTTTTTGCCGTGCCAGCACAAAGTAGAAACTTGCCAACAGCGCTTGTTTCTATGAGACTCATTGATATGCACCGCTTGGTTGTCGTATTCAACTATCCAACGGGCCTCCATCCTGCATTTGTTCTATTCTGTATTTCACCATTCCAGATTATTGATAAACCTCACACGGGGAACGTAAGAGTCCCTTCTGATGTTTGGCTACGAGAGGCCTGTCGTGGTTATTCCGCGAGTAGTCGAGTGAACCTGCCGTCCGGGGCCATTGCCCGGGCACAAGGTGATGCGCTGCTGACCGGTGGCATTTCAAACGGACGCTTCTCCGCCTCGCGACACGATTCAAGTGACGTTCAGCCAAGACAAATAGAGAAGTGAAAGTCAGAGCGAGGTCAACTCGGCGCTGTTTTTTGCGTGCGCTGACCCGCCAGAGTTTTGTCAAATCTCTGCCGCACGCACTCTCGTGCCGCCTGTCTCGGATGCAGCGGCGGGCTCATTATTAATCTAAGCCGTAGGCATTCCTCCATGGAGCCGGGGCTTCGCGGCACATTAATGAATTCACGTGGCTTCCACGCCTTCGGCAGCGCCATCGACGCTGCGGCACCCCTCGCTCCAAAATCCCAGAGCAACCCGCGCACAATAACGACTCAATTAATATCGCACTCAACAAGAGACGGGTGGGCGTGCCAACCTTGTTTTTTACCTCTCAAGGCACCGGCGATTTGCGCTACGAAAATACACGCCAAGTGTACGGCAGCCGGCCACGGTTGTCGGACTGGTTAAATTAATCTTGCTCGCGTTGTTTTTTCTAAGGCAAGCTTGATTGGCTTTGCCGATTGGCCATTCCTGGGAAATACCACGTGTGTCTGTGCGTCCGTCCCCGTCTTAGTTTAGAACGCGCCGCATGTTTTAATGAAAGCTGCAAACGCCTAAACCATTCGGTATGAAACTTACCCCGGCTCATCAATACCACAGCATTTTCCCCTCGATATTTTCTGGAACGTTACTGGGCTGGCTTGAGGGAGGTAATGGGTATCACCGCTCAAGTGCGCCTTGGTGCCTAAATCTTTTGTCATCGTTTTTGTATTACTTTAGTATAAATGCATGTTAATTTTGATTCATATATATATTTTTTTAACTTTATGTGAACGAAAAAACACAAATTTGCCCGTTTTCTCATTTAATATAGATACATTTCAAAATATCACTGTCCTGGTCACAAAAGCAAAGTTTGTGGGCAATAATAGCCATTTTCTGTACTTTTTAGGCATAAGAAATTACGAAATAACACTTATTACCCAGAAACAAAAATTGTGTTATATAGTGTAATTATCCTGCATCATTTTCATTATTTATTTTTAAAAGTTGATGTAATAATATGAACAGGTTTTTTAAAGTTTCAAAGACAAAATGAGGTGTGAGACGGGGTGTGCCATGCTAAAATAACTATGGCCTGGTCTGGTGCAAATTAAATTACGCACTGCCAGTTTAGTTTTTGAGCAAGATTTGGCAACAAAATAAAAAAACGCTAAAAATATACAGTTTCAAAGCTCCCATTACAATGTGCACCGGCATGGTCAGCGTGTTACGTGCGTTGGAGCATGCATGCGGTGTTTGTGCTCTCCTTGCGTACGATTACATTATGTTCAGGAGCTAAATGCCAAAGTTGTGGTCGGCTAGGCATGAGAGGGGCTTCAGGAGAGAGTTTGTGCAGTTCTGCTATCGGTCTGATGAAGGAGCGCAGGCTACAATACGGTCCACGGCTGCTTGCACGTTTCTGTACACATCTGCCGGCAGAATGTTTACGTGGAGCCAGAGGCTTTGTGTCAGTTTCAGCAAATCTGGTCATGAAGCGAGTTGCGTTCCTTAATTGCGCATCTGGTAGTTTTGTGTACGAGTTCCCCAGAGCAGGCTTTAGGGCAGTGACTCTGCCACTGGTTAGATCAGTGAGAGGGTGGCAGTTCGAAGCGCACCAGCTGAGGCGTCCCAAGTCTTTCCCACAAGTTTCTGTAGCGGGGCGGTTCTTGATTTGGTGTTCAAGCACACGCACGACTAACTAACGCATGCTCGTTTTATGCGTTCGTACTTGCGAGTCTTTGCTCGCGTTCCTTTGCGCAGTTAAATCCTCTTACACAATGGATGCTCCCTTAAACCCTTTCCCGCTCCGAGACGTTTTCAAATTGCAGGGTGGGGTCCCCTTCACTGCTGAATCTCGGAACGCGCAAGCGGTCAGCTTTAATTTTATTCTGAGAGACGTAGCGCCGCTATTTTTGAAGTCTTTGTACTCACCGCAGACAACTGTAGCGACACGACCACACTCTGCCATAGCTGACGCCAAACTGTGCCACGCGCCCTCCCGCATGGCCTCGTGGGAGCCTCGGTTCCGATAAAGTTTTATTTCTTTTTTGTTTTTCTTCCGGTTTCCGTTCCGATGACGCAGGTGTGTATGTCCTCGGAACGGAAAAGAATTGTGCGCTTGTTGTCCTCTCTCCCGTGCTGCTCGATGAGAGAAGGGCACGCGCGCATGTACTGCTGCCGTGCCACTTGCCAGTTGTGTTTCAATCCCTCGCTTGAGGTGAAGAGCGTTGAGCTGAGTTTGGAGGTGTCCATCTTGAGTGAGCGATCAATGAGGAATTCCAGGAACGTTTTGGCATTTTTATTGTTTCTTGATTATTATTCTTATTGATGCTGCATTGTGTGAGCTGCATGAGTGCCGATTGTCTTTTTCTACGATGTGATACTACGTCAGACGTAATTCTACCAATCGCCATCATTCGGAGTTGCGATTCGGTTCAATAACTTATTATTTATTGTTAATATTGTGGTGCGTCTGGAATAACTGCGGGTTTTTACCTGAACTAATTACATATGACATATAGAAATCGAATATGATTATTTCTTCATTGCGTACGCGTCATCGGCATCAGCTGACCTGTGGCTGAGGTATGTATGATGTTAGTGACGTTCGCAATGTTAGCGACGTCGCTGCCATTATCAACTATTATGATTGTCGCAGATTAATCACGTTCTGTTTTCTTATTCATTATCCGTCATGATCGACCTGACCGCTCCCTTTGAGGTTTTCTTTCGTAACTCTACGGGCGCCCGACGTCGTCGCGACTCCCCTCGTCCGCTCGCGAGCCTCGGGGGAAACGTCGCCAACGTCGGCACGACGTGCGGGCATTGACACCGTTTCCCGCGCCCCTCCGGCCGCAGGCACCACGGCACTCTACACATTCCTGAAGCTTCACCCGGCCATCACGAGCAGCTTCCCCAGCCCCGCGGCCTACGAGGAGGTGCAGTTCTTCAACGGCGCCAACTACCACCGAGGCCTCGACTGGTCAGCTCGCAAAACCCGCGTCACGCGCCAACACGCACGCAATCGCGCGTTACAAATACGAGTGGAGTTAAACTGTTAAAGTATTTTTTTTTCTTTATTTTACCAGGTAACGCCCACTGGGCTATACAGCTCGTTTTCAGAATCGACCTGGCCAAAAATGATAGCTCAATGGCAAGTGGCTTATCACGTGGAAATTTATAGCAGCCAAATACTCCAGACGCATGAAGTTGATTCAAAATGTGGAGGGAAAAGCCGGAGGGCCCGTAGAAAAATCCACACGATCACAGTGACAGAGATACAAACTACAAATATACAGTAGGCGTCAGGGTCGAGATTGAACCCACGACCTCCTATATACTAGGCGAGGTAGATCTCAAGTGCACACGTGCCCACGAGATTGTACGAACACACATTGCCTACACGCAAGCCTGCATACACAGGCACACACTTAATATTTCCCGATGGAGCCCATGTAGAGTGTTGGGGCAGGTGCTGTTAGTGTAACAAACTCTCCCCTGGCTTCACTTCAGCCTTAACATTGGGGAGACAAAGTTGGCTGTTCACGGTGCTAGCCACACCCCCCACCCCCTTGTGTGCCATACTCATCATCAGCCGCCACGAAGCAACCGATTGCTGGATGAAGGCTGTCATCTCTCGCGATCCCGCGATGTAATTATATCCACCTCGCTCCTGCACACGAACTGACTTCATTGTGTGCTACGTACGGTGCGAAAGAAGTTCAACATACAGTACATACAAAGGCTATTAATGGGCGGGTGAAGGGGGGGGGGACGATCTTTGACTATTGCGGAGATCTTGGGCTTCATCGCCCCACCATTGGCAAACGAATGCCAAGTTGCATGCCGGTGGTGGGTCACACTTGTGCTGCTGCACAAGAGCACAAAAGTGTGGTCGCCACATCTACGCCTCTATATAAGGGATGAAACAGGTGGACTTCTCCACAAGTCTGGCTGTCGCCTGATGAAGCCGGTTGTAATTACTGGCGAAACGTCGTACTCAGATTGTAAATGTTGTGGCTTGGCTCTCCAACACAACCGGTGTCCTGTACTAGTGACGAATTGGCTCGTTCTGTTTACGTGACAACCCTTACTAGTTGGCTGTGTCGGGTGGTGGCGGGTTTAACGACACATTTATATATCTGTTTTTTTGGGTTACATATCTAACCCAAAAAAACCTCTATTATGGATTACTTGGAGTTGCTTCGGGATTTAAGTTGCCCCATCGATGCAAATCCTTTATCTTTGTGCCCCACCCGCACGTCCGCCCTACCCCCCCCCCACCCCTTTCCAACCGGGCCCCCCAATTGTGTCCAGGTACATGGAGTTCTTCCCCGCGCCGTCGAACCGCAGCGCGGAGCTGCTGTTCGAGAAGAGCGCCACGTACTTTGCGAGCGAGCCGGCGCCGCACCGCGCCTTCGCGCTGCTGCCCACGGCCAAGCTCATCACCATCCTCATCCCGCCCGCCGACCGCGCGCACTCGTGGTACCAGGTGTGGCGGCGCACGCCTCCCTCGCCTCGCCTGTCGCCTCGCCTGTCACCTGTTACATCGCCTCGCCTGTCACCTCGCCTCGCCTGTCACCTCGCCTCGCCTGTCACCTCGCCTCACCTGTCGCCTCGCCTGTCACCTCGCCTCACCTGTTACATCGCCTCGCCTGTCACCTCGCCTCGCCTGTCACCTCGCCTCACCTGTCGCCTCGCCTGTCACCTCGTCTCACCTGTTACATCGCCTCACCTGTCACCTCGCCTCACCTGTCACCTCGCCTCACCTGTCACCTCGCCTGTCACCTCGCCCCACCTGTTACATCGCCTCACCTGTTACATCGCCTCACCTGTCACCTCGGCTCACCTGTCGCCTCGCCTGTCACCTCGCCTCACCTGTTACATCGCCTCGCCTGTCACCTCGCCTCACCTGTCACATCGCCTGTCACCTCGCCTCACCTGTTACATCACCTCACCTGTCACATCGCCTGTCACCTCGCCTCACCTGTTACATCGCCTCACCTGTCACCTCACCTGTCACCTCGCCTCACCTGTCACATCGCCTCACCTGTCACCTCACCTGTTACATCACCTCACCTGTCACATCGCCTCACCTGTCACATCGCCTCACCTGTCAAATCGCCTCACCTGTCCCCTCACCTGTCACCTCGCCTCACCTGTCCCCTCACCTGTCACCTCACCTGTTACATCGCCTCACCTGTCACCTCGCCTGTCACCTCGCCTCGCCTGTCCCCTCACCTGTCACCTCACCTGTTACATCGCCTCACCTGTCACCTCGCCTGTCACCTCGCCTCGCCTGTCCCCTCGCCTCACCTGTCACCTCGCCTCACCTGTCCCCTCGCCTCACCGGCTCCCTCATCAGCCCGGTCCAAGCCTTAAGTGCTATGCTTTTATAGGTGCTCACTAATCTAGATATATAAAAGGCTAATTTGTATGTGTGTTTGTTCAAAATGTTTAGCGTACTTCCCGACATGCAGCAAGCGCGTGTATGTGTACCTATGGACGCGCGCGTGTGTGGGGGGGGAGCGGTAGTGTAGTGCTTAGCGCGCTGCGCTACGAACCCAGCGACCCCAGTTCAATTCCCGCTCGCGGCCACCACCGGTGACGATTATTTGAACCGGTCCTGGGCCTCCCCTAGGTCGACTCAGCCTCAAACGAGTAACTGGTGCGGTGTGTGAACATCGCCACTGGGGAGACAAAGGCGGCCGGGCGTGGTGAATCCAAGTCTCGGGCGAAGGCGGGTAGTAAAGCTAGTAGTCTATAAGGCTATATGGCGATATGCATATTAAGTGTGTTTGCGTGTTTGTTTGAGTGTGTGTTTCAGCGTGCGTGTGTGTACATGCATGTTACTACAGGTGGAAGTGTACAAACACACGTACGTGTGTGTGTGTGTGTACATTCATGTTACTACAGGTGCAGGTGAAAGTGTGCGAACGCACGTACGGGTGTGTGTATCGCGATGTCCGTTTTCAACAACGGTGCTCGCGAGCATTCACTTGCCCCAACAGTATGTTAAGGCTATTCGGGAGATCTTTGCCTTTGGTCTTGTTTTCAACAAAGTTCTCCGTTTGTTCTTTTCTTTCATTACCGCCGCCAGAGTTATCGCTCGGTGGCAACCAGCCAGAGTCCAGTTAGCCACGAAATAATTACAAACCGACAACCCGGCTCATCCAATTAGCGTGAGGGGAAAAAAAAAATGTTTTTTTGTCCTCGTTAATGACTTTGCAATCTTTATAATCCTGCTTGCAGCAGAGCGCCCCCCGCCCCTCCGCCGCCCCCCCCCCCCCCCCCAAAAAAAAACATTTATAGACGGCGACAAATATACCTGGACCTGGCAGCGCGGCGATCAGCTGAGTTCCGCTCTGCTCTGCGTCTTTTTGGCGCGGAAAATAAAACGGCGGAGCCCGTGGGGGTACACGGGCACGGACCCCTGGCGGGGGGAGGCGCTCGGCCGGTCACCACGCGGCGCTAAATTTGCGCCGCCGAGGCGTTTCAATAAATCAAAACGTGTTTTTACTGCAGCGGCCTGAGGTGATTCGGGAAGGGATGGGGGAGAAGAAACTATATTTCTGTGAGGCCTTCCCGAAGCCGTGTCCTTTGCGTACGTTTATGCGATTGGACCCCCTCGTCCCCCTCCTCCGCCTCCGCTCGTCCCCCTGTAACAAAAAATAAATCTCCCCGCACAAAATGATCAACGTGCCGTGCGTGTGCACTTCCGAAGGGGGAGCGGCAGTGTAGCGGTTAGCGCTACGCTGCGCTATGAACCGGTCGACCCGGGTTCGATTCCCGCTCAAAGCCAACACCAGTGACGATTATCTGAACCGCTCCTGGGCCTCCCCTAGGTCGACTTAGCCTCAAACGAGTACCTGGTTGCAGTGTGTAAAAACATCGCCACTGGGGAGACAAAGGCGGTCGGGCGTAGTGCTGGCCACCCTCCACCTCGTTTACCGGTCCGGCCTTCATTGGTGCTCACTAGCAGCACTTGCCCCTACAGTCTGTTAAGGGTACCCGGGGGATCTTTGTTTTTTTTTGCTTCAGAAAGGAGCGGAAGTGCAGTGGTTAGTGCACTGCGATACGGACCCGGCGACCCGTGTTCGATTCCCGCTCGCGACCAATATCAGCAGAAAATGTACGAACCGGTTGTGGGCCTCACCCTGGTTGACTTAGCCTTAAATGAGTGTGTGGTTCCGCGTGTCAAAAACCTCAGCACTGGGGAGGAAAAATTCCGCCATGAGTGGTGTTGGCCATCCCCTCGTGTGCTGTTCTGGCCTTAATAGGTGCTCGCTAACAGCAGTGGTTAGCGCACCATGCTCCGCTATTGGGGAACTCGCGTTTGATTGCTGCTCAGGACTATCACTGGTAGTGAATATCTGAGCCAAACATCAACACTGGTGCTGGCGCTCGTGTGCCCACTGCCGGCCATTACTGGTCGCTAGCTCACAGCACTTGCCCAAACAGTCTGCGTAGGCTATGAAGGGGAGATTTGTCTCTGCTTTGGGTACATTTTTTACGAATTTATCTATCTCTCCCATTAAAGGATTTTGTGCGTGCACTGCTCTAAGCCAGGCGTGGTGGCGCATGCCTGTGGTCCGGTACGAAAGAAGTTCAACGTACATACACACAGCCGATCCTGGGGAGGCAACGGTTGTGGGGGGATCATGTAGATTTGTGATTTTATTCTTTATTCCCCCCCCCCCCCCAACTACAAACTTTGTTAAGGTAACGAGGTGGCTCAGGAGACGGCACTTCAGCAAGTGGGCTTGCGAATCGTCACGGGCGGACCTCGGGAGCGTTGCTGTCTCCCCAAAAATTCGCGCGAGTTTCCTCGGGCCAATCGTTGCGCGGTAAAAATGGCTCAAGATTTTTGGGCAGCTTAACCGCCCAAATTGTGAGGATTGGCACAGTTCGATAACGGTCGAGAACACACCTGGTTTAGGGCACGCGAGGCATTGTGGTTACCGTGCGTGTCGTACATTTGGCAAGCGAAGTCGTCCGCCGCTGCACGCCTGTCCGCGCTCGCGTTGTCTTTGCGACTGCGTGCAGCAGGTGTGCCAGTGCCCTCCGATGTTCGTGCTTTTTGCACGACGTCCGGACGTTTTGCCCCACGTGTGCTGAATGATTGGGGCTCGCGGATCAACTCGTCGCCGGGAACCCGAATCGAACGAAGCGCCTCCCGCCACGCAACGAGTCGAAGGACATCGCACTGGGTGCCGCGGTGCAACCTCAGAAATCACATCGGAGAGCTCTGCTCGTCTTTTCTGTTTTTAGAATCATGAGCAGCAGCAGTAGCTTTCATCAGTCCACTGCTGGATGAAGGCCTCCCCCAATCCACCGTCATCTCCCACGATCTCACGACGCCACAATGCCTCCAGCGCCTGCGCACTTGAAACCCATCTCGCCGTTCCATCTCCCCAGCGGATGCCCTCTCGGGGACACATTCTGTTCCTCGGTTGCCACCCAGCCCCCCACTGTTATCATTCGTGAGGACCGGTCGTCAGCCCTTCTGGTCGTGAAAGTGCCCCGTTTCAATAAACTTTAAGTTGGCAAAAAAGGCAGCGACCGGTGATGCGAGTGGCTGTGCATGCTTGGGCACGTCCACGCACGCATGGACGCGACAGATTGCAGGCAGCGATAGAATCCCCGGAGCCACAGTCCTTGGTGCTGCTGCTGCTGCTGCTTTAGGAGGGGCGAGGCAAGCCAGCCACCGCCACCACCGCACGTTACATAACGGTGACGTAATACAGCAGCAACGCGCGTCCCAGCGTCGCGTAAACTTATCGCAGATGCGGAGCGTTTCCTGTCCTTATAGGCCGTGTTTTCTGGGCCACGCTTCGTGCTGATTAACCCCTCTCCCCCCCCATGCCTTGTAAGATAAAGACAAAGTTGCGTTTTGTTACGAATGCAAACAAATTCACCGCATTCGCTCTCGACGCCGGCTCAGAGCGGATGAATGCATCGTAGACGATGGTACTCGACAGTGTCCCTTCTTCCGATCAGTTGCGTGTTTGCGAATATTTGATTGTTCGTTAGGGGTTGCTGTTGTTTTTTTTTGTGTCCGTTTATCGGTGTGGCGACTTGGACGGAGTGGGTAGCCCGTTTAACCGCTCGTTGCAGAGCTTCGCGGTTTGTGGTCCACGGCCGCCCTGGTTTTACCCTGGGGGTTTATTAGCCGCCAGGTATGCGCCGTCTGCTTCACGGCTGACGGTAAACACCCCGCTGTGATGTTATTGGGCCACGCGTGTGTGTTGCCGGCCTCCAGTGGTCCACATTTTTAAAATTTGGCAGAAAAAAAAACACATGCAAATTTGTCATCGGGGAAACCGCACAACAAATGAATGTTATTATAATCATAGTGTATTTGTGTGTGTGTGCTGGGTAAATGAATGTTATTATAATCATAGTGTATGTGTGTGTGCAGGGTAAATGAATGTTATTATAATCATAGTGTATGTGTGTGTGTGGGTCGTTGTTAGCGCACTGCGCTATGAACCTGGCGACCCGAGTTCGATTCTCGCTCTCGGCCATCATCGGTGACGGATAACTAAACCGATCCTGGGTTGACTTGGCCTTAAAATGAGCGCCTAGTGCGGTGTGTGAAATATCAGCACTGACGTGGCGCTGGCCATCCACCTCCCTCGTGTGCTGTGCCAGCCTTCACAGTTGCTCTCGAACACCACTTGCCCCAACAGTCTGTTGAAGGCTATATACGGGTGATCTTCTCCTTATGTGTTTTGCGCGTCCAGCATCAGAGGGCACACCGAGACGCCGCCGCCACCAACTACTCGTTCCACGAGGCCATCGCGGCGGGGCCCGACGCGCCCGCCTCACTGCGCAGCCTGCAGAGCCACTGCCTCCTGCCGGGCCGATACGCGTCACACCTGGAGCGGTGGCTCGCCAGCTACCCGCCGAACCAGGTGACTTCGCCAAAAAGGCTCCCGCAGATAATAAGCCGCTCGGCGCGAGCTATTTATTCATCCTTTGACGTTTGCGTTGCCCTTGGTGCCGCTCGCCTTGTGGCGTTCGCTGGTCTTGAGGCCGGTGCAGAGGCAAGGCCATGAAGGATGCTGCCTCTGGTGTGTAGGCCAATCGATTTCAAGGACAACGCTCACATCATTATCAAAGCACGTTTGTTTGCATGTTTTACCACAAGCGTGTGCAGTTCTTGCAGACTTGATGCCTGTTTGGTGTTTGAACATCGTAACACCTCCCCTGTGTTATTGCCAGCAAGGGTATGAGACCTTTTCTTTTTTCTTCACCACGCCAGGCATGCGGAGTATTTGATCGTGCGCTTAGATATACGCCGAGCCCCGAATACACCTTTGAATGTTACAAGCGAGTAACAGAATACTCCTGAGGAGGTTTTTTATAACGTGTGCGCTGCACGGCTCTCCGTTGTGCGTTCGGGTCGTACCGCGGCGTGTTATTTGGCACAGTGTCCGACGTTTCGATCCACGTGTTGGGAGCTACTTCAGTTCACTTCCGCCTGAATGAGCTTCCCAGCACGTGGAGCGAAACGCCAGACATCGCGCGAATCAACACGAACCGAAAACTCATCGGAGGGCCCCGAATGGCTACGACCGTGAAAACCTACGCGCCCATTTCACACGGACGCGTCGGTAGTGCCATCGAAGGCGATTTCGCCATTGGCTTAAACACACAACCAGCGCACAGACTCCTCGTAAAACTTAGAATGCAGCAAGCGATGAAGATAATTACGGTTTTCCATCGGCGTTTATCTCGTTTATGATTTGCCCCCTCTCAACTGTTCCAGAAGCCATGTGGCCGGGTGTCTCAGAGGTCAGAGCCCTGAGCCCAGAATCTCAGTGGTGCCAGCTCAGCGATCAGACCTCGCCTCCTAGGATTGCATTTTAAAAACTAGTTCGTCTTGAGACTCATGCACCTGAAGGGTTTTTCTGTATTGAGCTCATTGGGAAGATTTTAGATATTCCCATCGGTCAATCCCCCTCATTCGGTGATTTTACACGAATGCACATTTGTTAATTTACTCCTTGAACGTGTGCCCCAAACGGTTCCAGATTAGTGACGAAAATCAATTGTAATTAAAGCCTTCGGTTGCGTGTGAATGCAGCGTAACCTGACACCCGTGTTGTGTTTGTTTGTTTTTATTATCGCCGTGAATTTCCCCAGCTGTTAATTATCGACGGGCAGCTCTTCAAGGTGAACCCGGCGGAGGTGATGGAGCGAGTTCAGAAATTCCTCGAGGTCAAGCCGTACCTGAACTACACGCGCACGCTCACGTGAGTTCGGCTCGCGCACGGCGTAGCCCACGACGTCACGCACGGCGTCACGCACGGCGTCACGCACGACGTCACGCACGGCGTCACGCACGGCGTCACGCACGGCGTCACGCACGACGTCACGCACGGCGTCACGCACGGCGTCACGCACGGCGTCACGCACGGCGTCACGCACGACGTCACGCACGACGTCACGCACGACGTCACGCACGACGTCACGCACGGCGTCACGCACGGCGTCACGCACGGCGTCACGCACGGCGTCACGCACGGCGTCACGCACGACGTCACGCACGGCGTCACGCACGGCGTCACGCACGACGTCACGCACGGCGTCACGCACGACGTCACGCACGGCGTCACGCACGGCGTCACGCACGGCGTCACGCACGGCGTCACGCACGGCGTCACGCACGACGTCACGCACGGCGTCACGCACGGCGTCACGCACGGCGTCACGCACGGCGTCACGCACGGCGTCACGCACGGCGTCACGCACGACGTCACGCACGGCGTCACGCACGGCGTCACGCACGGCGTCACGCACGACGTCACGCACGACGTCACGCACGACGTCACGCACGACGTCACGCACGGCGTCACGCACGGCGTCACGCACGGCGTCACGCACGGCGTCACGCACGGCGTCACGCACGGCGTCACGCACGACGTCACGCACGGCGTCACGCACGGCGTCACGCACGGCGTCACGCACGACGTCACGCACGACGTCACGCACGACGTCACGCACGGCGTCACGCACGGCGTCACGCACGACGTCACGCACGACGTCACGCACGACGTCACGCACGACGTCACGCACGGCGTCACGCACGGCGTCACGCACAATTGTGCGCACACGCGCACAATTGTGTCCACCGATTCAAGCGCAGCCCGCGCAGCTCTCCCCGTCAGGCTGACCGGGCGCACTGACCGAGACGCGGACAAACGAGACGCACGGTGAGCAGCGTGGCGCCAGGCGGCCCAAACACGGAGACGCTGCACGTGGGATTTGGCTTCACCGCTCGCCCCCCCCCACCCACCAGCCTTCGGGAGGGGGGGGGGGCGAGCGAGACGGAACGAAACGGACGACGCACGCCGTGAAGGGAACAGATGAGACGGGGGGGGAATCGATTCTCGAATTGAGCCGTGATGCGGGCTTCGTGACAGTGTGTTGAATTTTGACTTAAAACTTTCGTGACTGCAGGAATTCATAGTCTTGCCTCTTTCGGTAAAGTCAGGTGGATAGAAAATAAAATCTAAATAACAGACAACAAAATTAAATAATGGTAAGTAAAAATACAACGTAAAAATAATAAATTGAAAATAATAAAAGCCAAAAAAAACCCTCGACGTTTCGATCGCAACACAAGCGGTCTCCATCAGGCGGGGAGAAGAAGAAGACCGCTTGTGTTCGAAACGTCGTGAGTTTTTTTTGCTTTTATTATTTTCAATTTATTATTTTTGATTTTTATTTTATTGAATTTTATTATCTGTTATTTTATTTTTTATCTACTTGACTTTACCGAAAGAGGCAAGAATGCAGTGTGTTGAATCCCCGGGCGTGCGGGCGGGCGGGCGGGGGGTGGTTGAGTTTATCATCGCGTGACGCTTCTGCACCGCACAGGTTTGACGTGGAAAAGGGCTTCTGGTGTCACGTGCTCCCGGACGGCAAGCGGCAGTGCCTGGGCACCGGCAAGGGCCGGAGATACCCCGAGATGGAGCCGCGGGTGAGAGAGAGAGAGAGACGTGGGAGTGTTGTGCCGCTGTGCCGTGGTGTGGCTGGTGTGTGGGCCTTCGTCGGGGCTCGCTCATCAGCGTTTGCCCCCCCCCCCCAAACGGTCTGGTAAAGGCTATACGGGGTGGGGGGGGGGGCCTTTGTCTTGTGTGTCTGTTGAACTTCTTCTGCACCGTACTTAGCCAACCGGAGGTGTGGTGTTGTTAGGTATACCATTCCATCGTCTGCCATGCCAGCTTTCTAACGGCGCTTGTGCTCGCAGCCAATAAGGCTAGAATGCCACCGCCGTCTGTAGTGAACATCCGTTGCGCGTGTGTGCATCTTTGTCCTCGCCGTAGAGGGAAGGCCTCCTGCTCCGAGTGGCAGCTGATGACGTGTCATCATTGGCCGCCACTCAGAAAATTCAAACCTAAAGTGCTGATCGCTTTTAATTGCGACCGACGGCATGAAGAGCTCAATACATTATAATTACAGAATAATTACCGCTTTGTCTCGGCACCCTCCGCATGCAACAAATAAATAAACGTTCCTGACAAACGCCGAAACGTGGCAGCGTTTCGTTACCTGGCTGTTCCCTGCTGATGAGCCACAGAAAGATGGGTAAGGATTTTTTTTTTTACTGTTTCAACGAATAGTCCAAAGAAGGCTGTTTATTTTTTTATTTATATTTTTAGGCAACTAATAACAGAGCCCTGTTCAACAAACCACTGTTGTTTCTGCGTTGGCAGTGGCGTACAATCACAAAGAACAAAAAGACTCGACACATTTGCCAATAGCACTAAAGAGGATTATTATTATTATAATAATAGGTGATGTTTTGTGGAATGTTCCTTCGTCATAGCGGAGTTAAACCTTGCCGAGTTGTGTTACACTTTGCGAGCACAATGGCCATGGTGAGTAGACCAATACACGAGAAGAATTCACGTTGTCGCTGTGCTGCAGTTGTGGAGGGAACAGCGAGTTGTGTGCACGGTCGGGTCAGGAATTTGAACAAAGTTACTATACATCACATGTTTACTTCAGTTTATTTTTAATAAATTCTCGGCAATACCTCCCCCGATGTATTTTTGGGGTTCCACCCGAACACGTCGTTCCTTGAAGCGCTCGATACGTGGGGCCGAAACGTCAGACGTCGTGACGAGAAACGTCCCCGCGGTACGACCTGAAAGCACGCCGGGTGGCCGGACAGCGCAGCCCCAGTGGACTCAACAATCCTGTCTGTGCGCAATCCGAATATGGTTTTAACGATCGTTTCAATAATGCAGATTATTTAATCTTCGAGAAACGGATTGGCTTGCATGGGGAGAGGGGGGTGAGAGGGATGGAAGCGCCTGACAAATTATTGCTTTTTATGAGGGGTTTTTTTTTCCATCGCTGACTCAGAGCGTAGTGCCATCGTCCGTTTATATTTATTTGTCTGCTTCCTAACGCCGTTGTCGGCACTGGGAGTATTTTTTTATATCATAGTGTCTTCAGCCTAATGGGCCTTTGCCTGTTCCCTCAAGCCTCATTGCTTGCTGCAGATGCTGCCCATAATGGTTCTGTGCCCTTTTCAGCCGACATAAAATGTAAACCCATTGCCCCGTACATCTCCACCCACCCTCCTCCTCCCTCTCCTCCCAGGGCCGCGCTCTCTCCTCCTCTCCCACCCTCCTCCCCGGAGAGAGTTACAGACCTATCGTTTGGGAATGCGCGAGACGCAGACTGCATTAGGCTGTCTCTGCCGTGAGGCCAAATGAGTTGTCCCTCATTCTTACGGTTATGGATGGGTTTCTCCTCCAGCAGGGCACACATCGGGTGGGTCGTTGTTATTATTACCATCCTAATTCGGGGGGCACTGCCACGGTGGCGTATTGGTTCAGCTCGCACCGGACCGGTGATCCTCCTCCTCAAGAGCCTCTGTGCACGCAGCGGCAGTATTAACGGGTCAGGCCGCGTCTGATGGGGTAAAGTGTGTGGATATTTCCAAGGTGTCTGGCCAGTGTGGAGGAGTAGGCTAAATACACTCTAGAGCTCCCTCCTAGTGTAGGCCCTTCCCAGGGCAGTGGCGCTAGCAAGAAATTGCAGGGCTCTACCTTTTACTAGTTATGGTCACAGCCACTTGAATGAGATATCACAGAACTCCGGATGTCCCTTCAAGTGAACTGCTATCCACACGCCAGGGGTACTGAACTTTCCCACACGCCCTCGCATGGAGACGCTCATACCATGGCAGTCGAAGCAGATTTTTTTGACATTTTTGTAATTCCATAGTTGAGAAACCAAAATTGAATGTGAAGGCTTGTCCAAGAAAATCATTCGTGACCATGCTGAGACGACCATCAGCTCGCTTCACTTGAGAAGGCGGGTTAACCACAGGTAGTGAGTGAGCCTCGTTTGGTCTTAAGTGATTTGCAAGTGTTGGGTCATGAGCATTGTGCCCCCTCCACCGATGTGGGTTTGTGCAGAACTTGCCCTGATCCAGTGCTCACGCTGAATGTGCTCCTCTTGTTATTGTGCCAAGTGGCCTGTGGTCAGAGCCATTGTACGACTCGTCGCGAGCTGTCCTTTCATTCCGCGAAACTGCTTCTCCCCCTCCCCGAACCGCCTTAAAAATAATAACAAGACCTATTCTGGGAAGAGTAAAATAAACGTTATTCAAAGTTGACAAGGTCGCTTTTATAAAGCTCGCAAGTGAAACCGTTCGTAACGGTGTGTTTGAAATGTTGTTTTGTTCGATGATGGATTCGGGTTTTTGTTCGCTAATTCAGAATCGCCGATTGTTGGTTTTTTTTTGTCTCCTCGCGCTCACCTCACGTCTGGACGGTTTTATGTTGTTAATGTTCAATCGAGTTTGGCTATAGTTTAAGGGTTGTGGGCTCGACTTAAGATAGATGGGGAGAAGCTTTAGCGTGAATTTAAATAAACGTGTGCTTGTGCGCATGTGGAGATGCTTTTTTACGAACTCGGCGACCCGAATTTGATTCCCGCTCATGACCAATACTATTTGAGCTGGGTTCTGCGCCTCCCCGAGCTTGATTTAGCCTTACGTAAGTGCTTGGGGCTCTGTGTTAAATAAAAAAAAACATTGTCACTGGGGAGACAGAGGTGGCTGGGCGTGGTGTTGGCCATCCACCCCCTTGATGTGCCTTGCCAGTCTCGTCAGAGCCCACTCAAAGTACTTGCCCCCAAACGTCTCTTAAGGCTATAAGGGGGACCTTTGTCTTTGGAGAAGATTTTAAATGTCAACTTGATAATGCAAACGTAAGTAGCAAGAATTTCCTGAGATTGACTTTGGCCGTATTGCGTTCCAATATTAAACGTCGGCTATTGACCTTGCAAAGGCTCGCTGAATTCTCAAAACTGTTCCTTCAGGAGGGTCCGGCTACTTTGGGATATATGGGCCAATTTCTTGATTAAGATTTGTTTTTTTAATGTGGAAGGAAACTGAAATAACCCGCGGTAAAACTCACGCTGACCAGCATCATCGAGCATGATTGAACACGGGAAGATTTCCATGCAGCAGTGTATTGACAAAGGGCTGTGATGTTACCATTATTATTAATAATACTGTCCGTGTTCAGGTTGTGTTATTTTCAAGTTTCATTTAGTAGGTATAGCCCTGCGAGCCATGCAGCTCTTGAGTCGGGTGCAACCGCAACAAACAAAATATGAACAGAGAAACATCTTAAAGCGACGACGCGCAACAGAAACATCCTGGATAAACCAGCAAATCTTCCAGAAAAAAAAAAACACCGTATTACAACGCTGTGTGCAAAAATCCCAGTGTGATGCAAGTCAAAGAATAACAACCATAAGACAATTTAGATTCAAGTTATCAGGCCAACTCCGCACTTCCGCAAGAAACATGGCCTCACCATTTTAACGGCACTAATGTGTTTATAACGGGAAATGTAAGCTCAGTGATCACAGCACTCACAGTTTATAGTTTTCTGGTTAACATATATGCCGGTGGTAGACTTGGTCTATCATGCCTCCAGGGATCAATGTAGTTTGTACCGCTTTATGGGAAGCCAATTGTGGTCATCCTGTAGGGAATCTGGCCACCGCCATGGGACTGTGGAAATTCCACCACTGGCTCTCAGGGTCACCAGTCGAGAGGAGTGCTCCAACCCAATGCGAATTTGAGCAGCGATACACGTACATTTTTTTCAATGAAATCATTATTTTTTTATAATCTTTGTTCTTTCGGTAGTCACGTAGAAGGGAAATAATAAAAATAAAATTCTCACGACGTTTCGTTTGCGACACAAGCAATCATCAAGTGTGAAAACCACAGCAATTTTTTCTTGCTGTGGGTTTCACACCTGATGATGATTGCTTGTGTTACAATCGAAACGTCGTGAGAATTTGTATTATTTCCCTTCTACGTGACTTTACCGAAAGAACCAAGAATATGAATCCCTGCAGTCACGAAAGCTTTAAATCGAAATTTATTTTTTAGAACCTTAAAGAGCGATATTACAATTACACTTGTTACTACTCATGCCTTTGTTCCGATATGTAGCAAAAGCAGCAATTATAAAAAATGTATACAACATCTTTTTTTACGTACATTCGGCACCATGTAGAATGATTTCGCCATTGTTATGGAGAGAGCAAGCACACCGGCTCATGTAACACAACGCAGAAGCACCGTACGTCACAATCGCGGGTATTGAGTCTAGATTAACGGCACACCGATAAGCGTCCAGCAATAAAGATAGATTTATTGCTTCTATCATTATCGTTTTTTTTATTAAACAGCTCTTATCAAAGTCGCACACCCTACGAATATTGCACTCGTGCATTCTCTGACGTTAAAATATGGTCATCAACAGAGAGGTGGGATGCTGGTGCCAATGCTTCGCTCGCCAGACTTTTAAATCCAGAGGTCACCAGTCTCATTGTGCTGCTCAGGCTCGAAGATGACAAACACTGAACACGTTCAGTCAATGACACTGCCCTTAGGAGCAAAACTGCACAAGGGCACCGTGGTGGCGAGATGTTAACTGCCTCCCCTAGTATACAGGAGGTCGTGGGTTCGATCCTGACCCTTGACGCCTGCTGTATATTTGGAGTTTGCGTGTTCTCCCCATGGTCGCGTGGATTTTTCTCTGCGTATTCCTCCGGTTTTTCCCCTCCATTTTTTGATTCGACACCACGCGTTTAGAGTATTGAGCTGTTGTCAATTTTCACGCGATAAGCCACTTCGTTGCGTTATCATTTGTGGCCAGGTCGCTAACGAAAACATCGCTAAATGATCCTTATGGCGGTTGCCCGGGGTACCAAATAATACAAACTGGCCGAGGCAATTAAATATTTTATTTCTGGGACACTATTTTTGTCCAGGGGTGTACTTCACTCCGCGACTGGGGCACCAATCAATCCGAAATCGGTGCCACACTCCGCGATGTCGAAACGGAGCGAGGACGATTGCGCCGAAACCCTGAACGCTCGCGGTACGCACCGTGGTGATGGTGCATCGTGAGTACAGCTCGTCGAGATGAGTCGATTTCCCGCATCGCCGACCATCAACAGACTAAAAATTACTGCATCACGGACATGATGCGAGAGCCGGGGTACTGCCATCAGGTTCACATATAGCTTAGTGGGCCTTCCCTGGTAAAATATTAAAAAAAACAATAGTTTAGTTTTATCATGGGACCTTTTTGCTCGGATCAAAGTATGAAAATTAAGAATCGGTTCTACCCTTTCTGGCAATGAAACGGGTGTTAAGATGTTCAAACACCAGATTTGAAATCTTTTGAAAGAAATCAAGTCTGCATTGATCACACACGCTTGCGGTGAACATGAAAACAATCGGAGCATGTTTGTTTGCATGTTCACCACAAGTACGCGTGGTGAACATGCAATACTTTGATTCCTTGCAATAGCTATACATGGGGGTGCTTGAACATCTTAACACCTGTTTTATTGCCAGAAAGGGTAAAAACCGATTCGTATTTTTCACAGTTTAGTGTTTTTTAGTTTATCGACGTTACTTCAGAGGTGACCTGTCCACGGATCGATGCTGCCACCACGTGGCGAGGCCTGTCATCGTAACACCACCAAGTGCAAGAAGCGCCTCCCCCCCCATCCCCCCTCGTGCACTGCTTCTGAGTCTTTTTCATTCCACGGCAGTCAAACTTTCCGAGCTTGCTCTCGATTTTTCTCTGGACGCAGCCGGCCAATAAGTCGCACCGACTAATGACCACAAAGCACCGCGTAGAAGAAGCAGGTTGGTACAAAACAATAAACTGCTTTAGCCCAACTGGCAATAAAACAGGAGGTCTTAAGATGTTCTAAACTAAACTACTTTTATTTTACCAGGTAAGGCCCACTGAGCTATACGGCTTTTTTTCAGAAGCGACTTGGTCCTAAACGATAGCTCAGCGAAGTGGCTCATCATGTGGAAATTTATAGCAGCCAAATGCTCTAAACGCTTGATTCTAAATGTGGAGGGGAAAACCGGAGAACCCGGAGAAAAATCAACTCAACCACGGGGAGAGAGAGAGACGCAGACTCCAAATATACAGCAGGCGTCAGGGTCGGGAATGAACCCACGATCTCCTGTATACCAGGCGAGGTAGTTAACATCTCCTAGCCACCGTGATGACGATGAGAGAGAGACACGCAAACATCCAATTATACAGCAGCCGTCAGGGTCGGGAATTAACCCACGATTTCCTGTATACCAGGCGAGGTAGTTAACATCTCACTACCGCGTCGCCCCTTACAAACACCAAATAGATACCTATTACAAAGCACAAAGTCTGCATTTACCGCACACACTTGTGGTAAGACGTGCAAACAAATATGCTTTGATGGTGTATGCATTGTTCTTGAAACTGATTAGCCTACAACTCTGTCATGGCCTTATCTCACCGATGCTAGAGACCATCGGCTGCCAATAAGCGAACAGTAGAAGGACGATAATGGAAATGCCGAAGCATTGACAGCTCGAATTAAGCAGTTATATCTTGTAATGTGCCTTGTAATAGGTGTCTCTTTCGGGTTTGAACGTCTTCATGCCTCCTGCATTATTGCCCGAAAGGGTACACCCCTTTTTCTTTATTATCTTCTTGATTCTGTCAATAACGGTCGCACATCGATATAGCTGCTCGAGGCTTGACCGACTTGGGAGTCTCAGTGACTTTGCGTTTTGTGTAATGGTTCGCCCACAGAGATGTGATGAAATGTCAACATTACCGGTCTTTATTAAGTTTAAAAAACAAATTATTTCGTCTCGTTCAATTCTGCCTGCTTTGTTTTGTCACTTATTTTTTCAGTCGCGTTTGCAGTGTTGTCAGCGAGTCTGTCAGAGCGCACGTAACGGTAGCGTACAACTCGCATGTCATTTACATAAATTAGGAAGGATGGAATTCATCACTCTAGTCGTAGCGTGTATCGAGAGAATGTGACGAGCCTATGTTAATCGATGATTCGATGCGTCGCTGCCGGTTATTATATTATCATCATTACCAAGACTTCCAAGTCTGTTGTAACAGGCAGCTCGGAATGCGAACTCCTCATGCATGTGTTTTAATCGCGCGCGTGCGTCCCCGTCTCGTCCCCCTTCTCTTCCCCCCCTTCTACCCCCCGCATCGGCCACCGCCTCCCGTGCCGGATGCTTCAGTCACGGGAGTTCCTCTCGGACTACTACAGAGAGCAGAACGCGGAGCTGCTGAAGCTGCTCAGCCGCCTGCGCTACCCGCTGCCCACGTGGCTGCGCGACGAACTGCCGCCCCCGAGGCCTCGCCCGGACCCCCACAAGAACAGATAGCAGCGAAAACGCCCCCCGCACTTCCGCGCCGATGGTTCGGTCCGCACCGCGCGCCTCTGAGCCGGGGCCTGGCCCATTGCCGCTGAGCAGGGGTGGAGGGGGGGGGGGGGGGTGTGTGCGGGGGGCGTGGGGGGCGCCGCCAGCTGGCCCCGTCGTTATTTGCACAGATACTTTTTTTTTCCTTCCCCCTTTTGACAGTGGGTGTCGTCGCTTCTCGTCTGCGGCGGAGTCGGCCGCGTGTGTTCTGATCTTTCGGTTTGGAAAGATTGGGATTTCCTTGGGCAATTCCTTCGTGTACATTGTCGGCGTTGGCGCAAGCCGGAGTACCCAGAGAAAACCCAGCCGGCACGACGAGATCAAGCTGAAAAGTGCATTGAGATAAGTCCGCTGGTTTGTGGCGGTACACCAGCGTCACTGGAACATCAAAGGCCTGGAGGATGGTCCCCGCTGTTCACGCCGCTGCACCTCACCGTCGCTCTTCCCCTCTGCCAGATTCCCGCCCGCTTGGCGGGCCACGGGTCGCCGAACCTCCGGGTGCCGCTCCTAAAGCGCGTCTCGGTGTCTCGCGCCCCCTTCCATCCTGCGCGCTCGCTCCACCTCGTCAGTGAACCCGCCCCGCCGCGTCGGGTTTCAGAACGTTCCACTCTTTCTTTTATTGCGCCCTGGAACGGTCAACGCGAAGTGTCGATTCGACGACTCCACAGCGACCGTTGGGGATAAACGCCGCGGGCTGCCTCTCCCTCTCTCTCGCTCGCTTGCACGAGGTCGCCCGACGCTCGTGGAGCCCAAGCCAAGGTACCCCGATGGGACAATGCAATATTCCAGTTGCGGCCTCATTGCAGGCATTGGCTTCCTCTTCTCATCTCAGCTGTGAATATGTGAATATTTTTTTTTTCTTTGCCGAGTCGGCCCTCATTCTCGATTGTCGTGGTCTCGAAAGCCGTGAATGCGATGGCCTGGAGCATTCGGGCTTAGCGACTGCTGCGTTCAAGGACCAGAGACGGTTGCACTTGACAACAATTGTTGCCGACAGGTGTAAATAGAGCCCCCCTCTCCGATGTAAATATGTGCATAGTTGTGCAGACCATGGTGCAAAGGTCATAAAAGGCGATTGTAAATGCTGACGTGCAAACCTGTCTCTTTATTTGATGTCAGGGTATTGTTCTGGTAGCTACACAAATTTCCGGGTTCAAGCCTTTGAAGCCACTACTTTTTTTTACAGCTGAATGTGAAGTCGTAGAAAGTGTCTCGGTTTTCATCTCTGTCACTGATTACTACACACACACACACAACTGTTGCCATTAAACTTCGGGTTGTGTTTTATTTAATTGTGCTGTAGTCCTTTTAATTATCCACCCAGGGGAAGCCTCAGTGAGTCCTCCATACTCTTATGATCAAGAGGGCCCTGCGTTTGGGATGTTTGGCCAGTTCATTTTTGAGCGTACATTAGCAAGTATAGAAGGAGTAGGCCAGAATTGCTTTGGAACATCCACAATATCACAAGAAGATAACGTTCGAACTCGACTACAGAGATTGACCATCGTCTCTTCCTTCCGTCATATCATTATATACTCCACTGCCCCACACAAACAGGGCTCTTTATGAAATGGACTGTGACACTTTTGTAAATCACCCAACCGCATCGGGATTTATTTCGGCAGCATTTAAAACAAAATTGCGAAGGTGCTCGCTGCCTGCATCAACGTGCGGTGGCGGCGTGTAGTATTTTTGGCCAGAATTGTCATGGTTTTTTTTTTTTCACGTAAGCTTCATATCCACCCAACATAGTCAGTTCGTTACGACTTTAGCACACGGGTGTGGTGGAGAGTAAACCCACTGCAGCATTGACGATTCGAGCACCGTGATGTTTCGCCGGTGATTGCAACCAGCCTCATCAGGAGACAGTCACAATTGTGGAGAAACCCCCTCCTGTTTCGATCTTAAATAGAGGGATAAGTTAATAAAAAAAAAGCTCTTATGGGTGATATTGGTCGCGAAAGCTTAGTGTCAAACTGACTTCACCTCTATGGGGAGGATACTTTTTTCCCCCATATATTTTTCTTTAAAATTTTAATTTAAGTTTGTTTCTTACCCCCCCCCCCCCTGCAGTTGAATTAATCATCCATTCGAATCCCACTCGAGTACATTTCAGATAAATAAATAAATAAAAACGGCCAGCCCAACGCGAACGGAAGTTAACAGTTTAGCGGCGTTGAAAAAGGGGACGCGAATTGCTCGCGGCTGGCGGTAAATGACGTGGGGACGATTGAGCGAGTGGAATCGAGCTGCTGCCTTTGCGTGGAAATGAGCCGAGCGGCGTTCAAAGTGGGGGGCGGGGGGGGGGATCACTCCGCATTGCGCGCGCGGTGATTTGGCGGAATCGTAACTCTAAACATTCGCCCCCGCGTGTGGGGAAAGGGGTCGCTGTGAAGATTCATGTACTCGTGATAAGGCAACGGGACTTCTCTCACGCTCACTTTTGTTTTCATCTTTTGCCTTGTGGAGCAGTGACGTGAAGCTGGCCAACTGGTGTGTGTGCGCATTACAGGGCCACCACTGTCGCCATGCTGCGCCGTACCCTTCCGGCTTGTGCTCACAAGTTTATATTCTCTTCTTCATCATCATCGGCTGCAAAAAGAAAAATGGGGTGTTTTTTTATTACGAAAAAACTCAACTTACCTGTAAAAATTTTTTTTTTATCGACGCAAACACCTTAACATTTAATTTTTAATATTTTAATGTAAAGTTATTTAAAGAGATCATCTCTATACAAGATTTGTTTTCAAATCTGAAACAAGGTGCATAACAAGAATCAGTTTCAAGTGAACATATTTTTCGATGTATTTACAAGCTAAATGGTTGTAGCATTTCAGAATCACTGCTGGTGTACAGCTGCTTTGTCAATCCACTGGTCGAGTAAGGCCTTGCCATGCCGGTCATGAGGATAGTTTGACCATACCTCACCGCACTGGTTAATGCGGGTTGGTGAACAGCTGAGATCCAAGGGATCGGTTCAAATATTGCCAGCCGTGGCCAGACATATGTCATTGTCGGCCGGGAATCGAACTCAGGTGCACCGGGTCCGTAGCGCAATCATGCTAATCGCTGCCCTGTCGTTTTTCCTTATGCGATGCACGAATGTTCGACGCTCTGCGTTGAGTTCTAGCAGCGATGCCATCACAAAAACAATATCCTCCAGAAATTGTTCCGCCAAGTTGTTTCAAAGTCATAAGAATAATAACAAAAATATCTTAAATTATTGCGATCCTTAATTTACCCAGGTAAGCCTCGCCGAGTCTTAAGACTTTATTTCGGGCTCTGCATTGTGACGGACCCTTAATTGGTGTTGCAGAACCAGGCTGTCCACTCTTCCCATCGCCGATCCCCACCCTAGCGATCGGTGCCCCCGCTACTCGCCCGCGTGTGTGGGAGAACACACGGCCTCGTCACCATCGCGACAGTCTGCCGCCCGTGCCGCCCTGCCGTATTTATCTGGCTCCAGTGTAAATCTACCCCTACCCCCCCTTGCCCCCCAATGTGTTTTTAACGTTCCGCCGTGGGACAATAAGTATCGTGGTGCAATTTGCTTTTTTTTTGAGCACTGACTTTTTGTATATTTAGAATCGATGCAATCTGTGTATATGAGCATTTCATTATTTCTTGGGAAAAGGGAAATAACGCTTGGCGGCAGCTGGAGATGTTTTCGCTGTCGATAAAAAAAAAATGTTGGTTCGGTTTCAGTTCTCTGCTGAACCACGACTGTGGTTTTGTCAGCGAGGTTAGGCATCTTGTGCAGGCCTTGATATCAGCATAAAGTATACCTGTATACCGAAAGCAACAATAGTATTATAACGCACATTTGCAAGAGCCGAGAGGGCGGCCGTTTTCACGGAACACAAACGGGACGAAAAAGGAACGGACTAAATTATTACGCGAGCACATTCAGCGGTGTAAATAAAAATAAAGCGATCGCGCAGCACGTGACGTCGTTAACACACGTTGGCCCAGCGGCCGGTTTGTTAGTTGCCTGTGTTGTGAGCGCGGTAGCGTAGGAGCGCCAGGTGGGTTCCCAGAACCAGTCTTATCTGTACGGACCCCTATTTCCACCGGCGCATCCGAGCCGTGCCAGCGCGGGGCCTTAACGTTACGGGCGGTTTTCCACCGGCTATTCTTTGTCATGCCGAGCCACGACCAGACCGCCGCTACGCGTCCGAGCAAAGCGCCGTGCGGGGATGGGCCGGCGAACGTCGCGTTCGTTTCACGCGACGTCGTCAGCCGGCGTACTGGCGAGGACCCCGTGCCATCGGGTCATCGCCCCCACACTCGTTGTCGTTGCACCAGACGTCACCGGTGCCGCAGGTGGTCAAAAGCAAAGCCTGGGCGCCTGCTCAGCCGCGCCGCGGTTGGCTCGGCACCTCGCGCGGCACGGCCACGGGGCACGGCCACGGCGCGTGGGTCCTCTCTCGGTTGCGCAGTGGAAAAAATTGTGGTCCGTGTTCTCATGGCCACGGGCCACACCGCACCCCGGTTCGTTTTGTCCGGACTCCCGCCGCTGTGGTGGTGGTGGTGGCGCTGTTGTTGTTGTCGTCGTCTTCGTGGTTGCTCGTGACGCGCGCCCCGAGGGGTGACGCTTTCGTGTTTCAAGATGTGCCAAGTGTGCTCAAGTTCACGCAGCCAGTCGCTCGCCGGCACCGCCGCTTAGAGGAGGGGGGGGGGGTGCATTAGCGATGTTGGAGAGAGGAGGGGGGGTCACTTTTAAACATTTTAATTGGCCTGCGATTATGGATTACTCCAGGTCTTCGTAACGTGGCATAATCCCCTCCCGTATTTGGTGCTCGGAAAAGTGATGTTAAGTTATTACTTAAGTGACAGTTTTATTCAAATTAGCATGCGTTAGGTCGACTTAATTTTCAAAATCCTGACACTGTTATGATTGTGGGCTTTGTACACCGTCATGTTCTCGCATTTAGCCAAGCTGCTGACAACCTTCATTTGCATTATTGTTTTGTTAATTATTTTGAGTTGAAGATTTATTTTTTTATGAACAGAATAAAAAGTAATCAATTGGCGTACGCTAAATATAAATAATCTGAATTTTGATTTAAAGCTTTCGTGACTGCAGTAATTCATATTCTTAGTTTTTTCTCTTCAACGTGACTTTACCGAAAAAACTAAGAATATAAATAATCTGGTTATAAACTGAAAATAGTTTAAAGATATGCCTTTAGTAATCTGATTATAGTGATGGATTACTTGAAATATTATTTGCCAACTGGGTGTGTACCTTATGGGGAGCGGTAGTGTAGCGGTTAGCGGTGACCCGAGTTCGATTCCCGCTCATGGCCAACACCAGTGGCAATTATCTGAAACCTGTTCTGGGCCTCCCCTAGGTTGACTCAGCCTCAAATGAGTAACCTGGTGCGGTGTGTAAACATCGCCACTGGGGAGACAAAGGAGGCCGGTTGTGGTGTTGGCCACCCACCCCCTCGCGTGCCGTGCCGGCCTTAATAGGTGCTCACTAACTGCACTTGCCCCAACAGTCTGTTATGGCTAGATGACTAAATCCAATAAATGTAAAAAAGAGAACATTTTACAAAAACCATGCACAGGACCGACCGTGGTTCCCCCCCTTTGCAAAGTCACGTGGTCAAAATCTGATTGAATAAAGAACATCCGCTTATCGATTTAAAATCTCTCGCAAATGTTAATCTCATTTAAAATTCTAAACGGATTTTTACAATTCAAATCCCATAAATTTGGCATTAAATTCCTGCGATGATGCCATGCAATCGTATATAGCTGTGTGCATATGCCCTGTCGTCTCCTTAAAAAACAAATTCGTTGGGTTGTTTCACATCAGAGGCTGCCCTCGTTTTGTCGCTAACGCACAGTTGACAAAACTCGGGACTTTAAGGGCACGCGGCAGTCAAAGCATCATCCGCATTGCAGCTTCAGTTGTCACGTTGGAGCGAGGGCAAACTTCGTTCAGCCTCTTGAAATGGTGCCACCTTAAGTTTCGCGTTACTGAATAGTCGAAAACTAAACTTGTTCGGCAACGGCTGTGGTTTCGCGGTCAGAGCACAGGATTATTCTACTCCATATCACACGAGTTACGTCTTAACAATCCATACCGCCAAAGGTCTTGGCATATTTAGTATACATACGCTTCCTGTGAGACAGTGGATGGAAGTTACACAGTCCCATAGTCAGGCTTGGTTGCTGTCAGATATTACAGAATTTTTTTCTCCCAACCCAGGGTGAGGGGGAGGGTTACAATTTGGTGAGGTTCGCCCTCAATGGGAATTTGAATAAATAAATAAACAATTATACACGTAACTTGGGGTTTGTGAAAGGATTTCGGGAAAAAGGAAAAAACCACGTTTATGCATGGGGTCTAGTGCAGTTTTGCATAAAAGCAAGGTTTTTCATCCGATTACGACATACTTACATCCTGTAATGGCCGCTAATATATATATGGTGCAAATTGATCAAATTGCTCGCAAGTTGCTTCATTGAGAGAGCCACATCACTACCCCCCACCACCAGCACCACCCCACGACTGATGCTCACTTGCTGGCCAGTGCTGTGGCGACAACCATGCTTTGTGCCACACACAGGGGCAGCTGCCACAGGGGGCCCCCTGCCACAGCAGGGCATTTGTGAGACGCACTGCATGGAAAGGCGCGGTGTCAATGTTAATGGGATGATGCTGCTGCCGATCATGATGATGCTGATGATAACATTAACACTGCATCGTCCCCCGGTCGACTTATCCGCTGCCGCTGTCGCACGAAATCCCGGTGAGAATCTGAAGAGAACGGAGCGGCAACACTAGGCACATGTTTTTCAACACGCCGAGACGCACAGTGGATGTTTTGTTCTTTCTTTTAGTTCTTCATCTTGCCTAGAAGTCTAGCGTTAGTGTTAAGTAAGTTAACACTGTCACGGTCATTCATATTGAATGAGTTAGAGATGTAGAGAAGGAGGAGTTTCATTTTCTGGGTGAAAGCCAGGACTTTATATAAACTGCTTTGTTTATAACTACAGGGTTTTTTGGGGGGGGGGAAATGATGTTTGTGCTTGATATTGTAACGAAAAGCCTTGTAGCATTTTATTTTTCAAATATTAATCTGTTATGTTGCCGTACTGGATGTTATGTTTTACTCGTCTCAGTGATGACCAAGGTGAACGTTTGGAAATAATTTGAAACGGTTGTCACACTTGGGATCTTTAACAAAAAAATGTTTTTTTTTAAACAATCGTGATGTTTTCGTGTCTGCAATTTATCGTCTCGTATCTCATTCGTAATGGTGATGGGAAGACGGCCCACAATGTGGTGGCTAAAACAATCTCATTGTTACGAAACAATTTCCAAGGATCCATTTTTTTTTAAATCCAACTGGTTATATAGTATTTTTGCCGATAAAAACTAAAGTGTTACCGTATTCTCTTAATTAAAAGACACCTTTTTCTCCCGCTGTATTTTAAAACAAAAGTTGCGGGTGCGTCTGAAATCCGATGGCTGGGCGTGTGCGAGACCAGATATTCGTACCTTTGTTGACATTGGGCACAAGTTTGAGATGCCCCCTTACTTTCAAGGGCGTCTCGTAATATGCAGAATACGGTAACTTAATCAAGCTCTGTAAAAAAAATGTTGTAAGAATTTTGTCGTCACTGTCATATTGCCTTTTAAATTGCCAGTCGAGTGAACGTGCCCTGTTACCGCGAAACAAATGAACAATTAATAAAACATCACGACACTGTGACCGTAGTGCTCATTTCAAGTCCGGCGTTGATTGGGGGGTCACAAGCCAGCATTTGATTGGCTGTGACGAGGCGAGTGCGCGCGACCTTTCACGTCATCTTCCCCTCTTGTTTCAGTCTCAAACGTTTGTGTCCATGCAACCGTTAAAAGTTGTTTTAAACAGTTTTCGTAAACTAGAAGTGCAATGTCATACCGATGCGAATATAGACGGATGAACTGAAATGTGTAACTTCAAAGGAAACGTGTCCGGTGCAAAGCAAAGACAACAAATATTGTATTTAATTCCACGTGTAAATGTTAGTTTCGAAGTCTTAATATATTTATAGCATTACGTGAATTAGTAACTACAATGATGCTGTAAATTACGTAAGAAGTCTTAAACATAACCAGTAAAAAAATGGCTTCCAATGTGTCTGACTGTACAACGAATATAAGTCAAATCGTGCTAAATTGTACAAGTAACAACCTTTCCATGATGTGAGTAAAAATGATGAGCTCAAGTAAAGTAAAAAACGAACAACACAATGTTTACATACGTGTTTCATGTTTCCTTGTCATCGGCTTTCGCCCCTCCGTAGTAGAAAGTCGCGCTCCCGGGAACTTTGGCGATCAATTAAAATTTTAATCGATCTCACTTTCGAAAGATTCATTTTATCCCCACCCCCCCCAGCCAAAGTTGCTATGCGCGCTACCAAAGACGTCCTCGATTATGTTTTTGTTACCGAGCCAGATCACCTGATAGGACTCCCTTTTACAAACCTTTGCCATATTAAGTACTTTACCGTTGCCAAGACAACAACAAATGCGAATTGGCCTTATTCTGCCAAACCGCTTAATAAAAAAATATATATTGTACCGTATTAGCGTTCTTCCCTTAATACGCGCATTGCGTTATGGGTGGTGGACTCCTACGTGCTTAGACCGTCCCAACGACAGTGCAACTCCCGCTTCTTACAAAACATCACAATCCTTGTGTAGTCCCCGTGCATGAATGGAACCCCCCCTTCACGGCTCCCAGCTTTGTTTTTGCGAGTTCTCGTTGGCTTACGATGCCATGCACACTTGTTGCAGTTGCATCTTAGGCCAAAGCACACAAACGCTGGCTGTAAATACACGAAAGGCAGAACGGCCCCGCAAACAGCCTGAACAGACTTTTGGGGGCAAGCACCGTTAGCGAGCACGTCTTAAGACCAGAACGTGTTTTTGGCTTAAGATGCAACCGTTATGGTTACGTGGCGTGGCACACCACACGCGCGATCACTTTACGGGATTCCAGGGCTTTGGGATGACGACTTCCCTTTGCCGTCATTCGAGACTGGGCTGTGCGGGCATCGAATTCCTTAGCATCCTTTGGCTTCGGCACATGTGGAATGACGGCTAGCACGCGTCTAGCGATTTCTCCGTTGAGTGTTGGGCCGTGTGGCGGAATTGCCTGCCGCGGTCCGCGCGACGAGAGCCAAAACACTGCCACTTTGAGAGAGTTCGGAAGCGGCGAGTCGCTGTCGAATCACGCGTGGTCCTTCTAAGTCCCCTGGTCGAAACAAAAAAAAGGCTTATCGTTGCAATTCAGTTGTAAAAGCATTGTGAACAAAGTGCATGGTTTTCGCTAATTTGCTAGTCTGTGAAGATACTAAACAATAAATATAGCATTAACGAAACGTCACTCGTGTGTTTGTGTTTCCTTTCAAAACCCCGTGTGTCGAAGCGTGCACACCCACGGTTATGACACCCGCGATTATGAAATGTTGGGTATTTTATCAACAAAATGAGAGCTGGAGGACAAACAGGATGTGTGGAGAAAGAAGACTTCAGCCATGAGTGGCACCGCATTCTCAGGATTATAGTACATCTGGAAAGTAAGGCGCGCTCCAAACTTGTGGCCTGGCGTCTAGTTAAACAAATCTGGTCTCTCCCCCACACACCAGATTATTAGATGCACCCCCAACTTTTTCTGATTAATACGGTAAGTCACAGACGCTCCGGGCTCCGTGACCATTGAACAACATCCTGTGCACGGGCACTCCATGATGACTTTTAAAATCGATGAAGAGCATGACGTGACCCCTTCGCCATCAATTCTTCAGAGCTAAAATGTTCCTTGAGCCGAGGCGGCTTCAGAAATGTTTTCTCTTCCGCCACACCTGCAAAAGGAGTAAAGTTGAAACGTCAAACAGGAGGGGGGAACCAAAGTCCGTCCGTGGTAGATGAAGGTACGGCCGTGCGAAAACACAACGCGGACATCGTTGAAGGGAATTAACACGGATAAGAGTGTGCCTTAAAATCCATAGAAGACTCCTCCAGTGCTCTTCATTGCAAGACCCATGGGCCACTGGCATTCCCCGGTGATACACAGGTGATACACAGGTGATACACAGGTGATACACAGGTGATACACAGGTGAAAACCCAATTATTTTAGACACGTGGCAGCCCTCACACTGACGATGTCTTCTCAGCGAACGTTCCCCCCCCCCCTGCCCACCCCCGTCTGAAAATGAGTGAACACTGGAATACTCCAGTTATGATAAAACACACAAGCACACATAGGAATAGGTTTTACACTTTTAACTGGCACAAAAACTGACACCTTTATTCAAGGCATCATGTTTGCAATAACCACAACACAAGCAGTCAAAATGCAAACAAAAAAGACAACTCTGATAATAATATGCACTGTCCTTGAATTTGATTGGTCCACACCCGAGACAGCTTTTCTTAAGAGCCTAGACTAGGCTAGACTAGGCTCTAAGAAAAGCCGTCTCGGGTGTGGACCAATCAAATTCAAGGACAGTGCCAATATTATTATCAGAGTTGTCTTTTTTGTTTGCATTTTGACTGCTTGTGTTGTGGTTATTGCAAACATGATGCCTTGAATAAAGGTGTCAGTTTTTGTGCCAGTTAAAAGGGTAAAACCTATTCCTATATCTTGTTTCTGGCAAAGGAAGTCTCATAATGTAAAACACACAAGCACACAGTTTGAGAAATGTTTTTTTATTTCATAAAGTAATTTGATACATTTCCTAAACAGGTTGGAGGAAAACGGCTCAACACATCTCTACGATAACAAACCAACAGAGAAATGAAACAGGGTTTTACACGTTATCATTTGTATAAAACGATCAAAGTAAAGTCAGTTGTGGGTAAGGGAGACTGTCCCACTTGTAGGTCCATTCCGTTACACACACAACCACTCGCTTGCCTAAACTGATTTTCTGCACACACAAACAAAGCATGGAACCTTTACCAGTTTGTTTACAAAGTAGAAATATACAAGAAAAAAAAGCAATACACGTAGGAATGTTATAAACACTGCAAGTCTAAAAAATAATGAAACATTAAACACAATTACTCAATGAATAAGCAATAAAAAAAAAATTCTAATTTTTTTTCCACAATTATTTTAACGTTCCGGCAATTATATTTTTATTATATGAAGAATTATCACCCACTTCCATTCATAGCTGCTTAATATTTTTCAAAAAAAATAACACTTTGTACTTTAAGGGAGAAAATAACAAATTGTTGCAATACAAATTCTTTCCCCGTAATTGTTGTTAGTTTTGTGGAGAAATTTTTGAATTTTTTTTTTTTAGAAAGTAACGAAAAAAATCGATCACCAAGTAAAAACGGCAGTTGTAAATCCTGTGGTATAGTTGTCATAACTGTGTCATCCTTCAAAGAAAAAAAAACAATCATGATGCCTCCTTTCACACCCGATATTTTATACGTGCCGCCTGATTCCATGTCAGTCACCAATGGCCACCGTGAAGGAGACACAATCATTGGGTTACATTGCTTAGGGCTCGGCAATAACCCCTTAAGGGGGTTTCACACGGCCAAAAGTGGGCAATCCTGCCGAACACACGCATATAACCCAACAAAAACGTGGTAACGGAATCAAATCGTCACCACACCTAAACAGCAACACCCAAAAATAAATGCATCGTCAGCATGCGTTCAGAAAAGGGGAGGGGGGGAAAGACGACAAATCCGAAATCGGTAAAACGATTATACAAAAATATCGACTTAATTTTTTTCACGAACATCTCCCACCATGCTCTCAATTCCTTTCTAAGTCAACGGCCTCTTCAGAGTCGTTATTTTTTGTGCCCTCTTCGTCCTTTCTCGCATGGGAAAATAAAGCACCTTGCGTCATTCTTGTTGTTAATACCTAACGGGCCGGAGCACGGTTTGCAAGGCGTGGAAAGAGGAACCTCCCCCCCCTCTTCCACCTCACCCCCCCCCCAGCCATTCGGGCCCGTGGTTAGAATCGAGGTTGCAAACACAAATGCTACCCGCCCCCCCTTCTGCCCGACACAACACAAAAACACACCAACTCAATCGTCGGCCGTCTCGACACCGGCGGGGAGACGGCGCGAGATAGAGTTCCAGTTTACCCGCGCGGTACCTGACGCCAATTTTGACATTTCTCAGTTAGCCAGTGCGTGTGGAACCCCTTCCCAGTTCAAACGGATCGCGCGGGCTCGTTCAGGTGTGGGTACGAGAGGGGGTGCACGACATCAATGTTTCAATGAGAAATGTCTTGAATGAAAAGTAAACAAGAAAAAAAGACGCAAATATAGACGCGTCCGCTCAGACGGTCATTTGCCCCGACGTATTGAGAATTGCGCGAATTAACGATACGCGGGAGAGTGGGGGAATTTTTGTTAACAAAGCCACGTGGCCAAATTTAAATGGAGTTTTCACGCGTTTGAACACAATCCTCAGTATGCGAACAAACACAACAACACACCACTCGCGTTGTGTGCATCGGATAGGGGTGTAACGATGCATCAACTCCCTCGACTGTCATTGATTCTAAGGCTCGAGATACGTGTAACAAATCGCTTGTAGAATCGACACTTGGCAAATCATGCGCTCTACGTAGTGAGATGGAATCCACCCCAGCAAGCTACGAAAGGTGCTACCATTCACCGAACAAAGTTAAGAGTAGTTCCTTGCTCAAATTGCAGTGATTCTGAATCAAATTGCGACCTTGAATCACAAGTAATGATGCAATGGCAAGGAGTCTTAAGTTACGTGAAACTGTTTGCATGACATTTCTCTCTGAACAGTTGAGCAAATTTAGTTGAAAATGCCTGGTTTTAGGGCCCCCAATCTGTAAAGAAAAACACACGTGGGCTATATTAGCACAACTGGTGGTGACCTCCAGACGTCACCTCGCTCGCAGAAATAATAATCTTCCTTATCAATCACTGCATCCTGGATAAAATTAAGGACTTGCAAAAATACCTCTCCTGGACTCGAGAGGGACACATTTTCTAAAGCTGGTGTATTCTGTTTAATGCCTTAGATTAAAAAAAACAATATTTTTTTATTCGAGACTAAATCTATTTTTGTCAGGGCCGGGTTGGGTCACATCGAGGTTAGGCAAGGACACGGTCGAAATTAATCCAACACAAGGAGGCGGCGGGAAAGCAGCTGGCAAGAAAAAGCAGACGGGGGACAGGAGGAGAGATAGGGCGGGAAAGGAGTCATATTCTTGGTTCTTTCGGTAAAGTCACGTAGAAGGGAAACAATAAAATAATAAAAATATAAAAAATATATTTATCACGACGTTTCGACTGCAACACAAGCAATCATCATCACCTGGCGATGCATCCTGAATAAAATTAAGGACCTGCAATCATCATCACCTGGTGATGATGATTGCTTGTTTTGTAGTCGAAGCGTCGTGAGAATTTTATTGTTTTATATTTTTATTATTGTATTGTTTCCCTTCTACGTGACTTTACCGAAAGAACCAAGAATATTAATCCCTGCAGTCACGAAAGCTTTAAATCAAAATTTAAAAGGGAAAGGAGTCGTTAAGAGGAACTTTCTAGAACCATTTCGGGGGACAGGGGGACAGGGGTTTGCGACGTGTGATCGGGGACTTCCGACGGGAAGGCGTCTTACGAGTGCCCGTGTGTTGTAGTGTGAGGAACTCCAATCAGTCGGTCTCAAACGAGCACCTGGTGCAAGTGCGTAGCAAACATCGCCAATCGGGAGACAAAGGCGGCCGGCTGTGCCGTGCCGGCCTACATTAGTGCTCGCTAACAGCACTTGCCCCAGCAGTCTGTTAAAGGCTACACACGGGGGGTATTTTGTCTTAGGAACTCAAATGAAGTTCTTCCCTGAAGTTTGCCTCACGTGAACTCCCGTTTCGCAACTCATAAACCCATCGGCAGTTAAAACGATCGTGCACGCGTGCCATGAAAAGTCACCTACATAGACACCCTTCCTTTTCAAGCTGCGTTATTGACGGATGTGTTGAGTTGTTTTTTTTTTGTGTGCCTCGTGTGAAGCTGCTACGGAGAGAGGAGGGTTCCGTTTCCGCAAGAGGACGCTGCAATTACACAAGACGCGCACATTTGTTTTTTTACAGCCTCACAATACAACCGCCCAGTCACTCAAACACTTCACGAATAACACGTGGTGGACACTACACAACGACCCGGGCTGCAAAATCAGCCGAACATTTCACCGGGGCGCAATCTGTTATTGCGGCGCCTTAAGTTTTCAAAGCAACTGGACACCTCTCCGCTTGTAACACGAACACCGGGAGAAATAATGCCGCCCAATGTACCGCACTGTGGCCGCACCTGAAAATGCACTTTGTCGCTGTAATCATGAGGTCTTGTGTGGTGTGAAGCTGACTGTCCTGTCCTATAACCGCCTTCAAGTACCATAATGTATGGTATAGCCGAGTCGCATCGAGTCTGCAAATTAGAATGAGATGTGCGAGCAATTCGCTCGGTGGCGATTTAAAATTAATGGTCACCATTCTGCACGACAATAATTTTTTTTTGTCTCGTAGGTACTGTCCGTTTTCTCGGTTGTCACCTCATCTTGTAGTGGTTACGTGTTTCGTACGGTCTCGTCCGTCGTGATGTGTGCCGTCCGTCGTTTTCTTCAGTATCGTTCAGTCGACGCTCTGAGCCGAAAGGCTCACGAGCACGTTATCTGGATATAATTTGCATACATCGCAAAATAATCTCTTCTCAGAACACGCGAGTCGACACACCACTAGGGGGGGGGGGGGGGGTACAAACTGAATTTAAACGGCGACCAGGTCATTCATCACTTGCCTCTGCTGCCCACCAATGACATTGCTCGGGGTTTTTCCGCCCGCACGACGCTGGCCTCACGATTCAAATTAAGAGCGTGGCACGTTGAAAGGCTGCTGCGAATTTGAGAAAAAGATAACTCCCTTTTCGTGTCATCTCCAGCAAGTTAAGATGTAGAAACCACCCCGTATAATGTGCTTTTCAAACGGACAATCCCATTTTTTTTCCTTCAATAAATGAATTAGTATTGTGTTAGTCTTGTTTTTCATCCTGGTTTGTTTGGGTTTGGTATCGATCTTGTCCGAATCACGTACAACAAAACAAAACAATTATCAGGCACGCGTATGTGCCATGTACAATTATGATGGTGCCGCACGAATAGTTCAATATGCAATGTACGAAATTGCGCGTTTTGTGATGTGACATTTGGTGCTCTTAAAGATCATGCAGCAATTAACTTTAGACGTGATGTAACCAACACACGTTTACCCAATTTGTATATACAAACCATTCTTAGTTCACACCAATTTTAAAGAAATTCTGCCTCTGAAAACTAAATTTGACACAATCACAACCTTATATCGTAGTGACATTCACTACGTGTACTTGCCTGTGGCCTGACAATCATCGATTTCCATGTCAGTCCATTGACGTTGAGCATTTTAACATAAAACATATCAGTCAGCAAAAAACACTGCTAAATATAGCCAGGAATTGGCTGCAAACGGGGAAATATTCGGACCAAAATGTACCAAAAAATATATTTTTACCCATTCATATTTTCTAGAATTTTTTAATCTTGGGAATCACGAATAGCCACTTGACATTAAAACCAGGCCGTCATGTGCAAACTGCTATCATTTGCAGGATCGACAAGAGCAAATTGTAGGGAATGTCACAGACGGGACCATGAGTGATGTCTGGTTAGAGCCTGTGATGTCGGGTCATTTCTGACCATGCCGAGCGGTTCTGTGGAGCTAGTTGGGTGCGTAGTTGGCTCCGAATCAGACCACGCATTCGACGTGTATCAGAATGCCAATTGCGCAACGTGTACATCAATTTGGTGACCGAAAACATTGCGGAGAATGGGAAACGTTACGTTTGAACACCGTCCACGTTATCCGGAAAAAACACACTAACTCCAGGAAAGTTCCATTTTAGCCACGGTTGCTGCCTATGTGTTCGCGGGTTGTGCCGTATCGAACTCCGGCGTGTTTCTGGGTCGCACCGCGTGTTCTATCAGGCATGATGACTGGTACGCTCTTCTCCAACGTGCCGAAACGCCAGACATCACACCGTGCAAAACACGCGGAACGAACGCGCAGTACGAACACGAAGACACATCGGAGAGCTGAGCAGTGGGTTAAATTGAAGAGGCAGTAGGACCACATCAAACCAGAGCAGGGCCAAACCTGGAACTACAGAGGAGAAATGCAATTCAAAGACATAATCAACGTGCACGTGCCAAGCAGAGCTACGTGTGCGATGATAAAATTAGCAAACGGAAAACGATTGAGTTAATGGGTCAATAGGTGTCGGACCAATGTTTGCTCCCAATCAACATTTGTTAAAAAAAAGAAAAGGGGGACACAAGCAAAATAAAACTAATTTGGAGAGGAAACTTTCTTCCTTATTCACTTGTTCAAACACAATCCGACGAGGCAGCGTGCAACTGCAACTAAGCGCTTGACCTACGGATTTTTGTCGTCAAGTGATGGACATGACTGAACTTTCGGTGAAGTTATCGGAGCGGGTGGTGACCACCTAGCGCGTCATTACCACCAACACTCCACCTCACAACGTGTGGTTAAATATAAACCCACGTAGGTAAGGAACTTAAAACACTGGGATCTCTGCCCCCCACCCACCCCGAGGGGGAGGAGGGGCACGAGGGGAAGAGGGGAGCCCCTGCGCCTATATGTATACATTAAATTAATGCGTACGCAAACAACAATATATGCATGAGTAGAGTTCCCTGAGTGCTGGGCAATGGAATGGCGTTCTCACGTCAATGTTTGGAGCATGAATAACTAACTTCCTAGTTGATCTCATCATCAACCACAATCTTGACGAGACGGCGTGTAATTGCGATGAAGCTCTTGACGTAGGGATTTTTTGCTATCGTGGTGGTGGGCATAATTGAACCTCCGGTACAGTTATCACTACCATCCACCACATCTGGTGCGGTTAAATATAAACCCATTTTCGTTTTTATATCTCCAGTATATGAGGGCAAACAGCAGTCACCCTTGGAACTTGCTTCTTGTTAAGGGCGCTGGCAAACGTGAGCAGAAAATATGTGTTTGATGTCCTTTACTGAGACGGTTTGTTCCATTTTAAAAACAAATCACAAAACTGAGCTGTGTATGGAAACTTGTATATGTATTTAAATCATCTACACAAATTAAAACCTGGATCTGGAGATATTTCTGTGCTGGGTTTCTTGTTGTATTTAATAAAAACCATAAATGGTAAAATTGTTATCATTCAGAATTGATTTAAATTCTGACAACCTTCACACTTACAAAAATGCTTCGTATATGTTTTTTGTTACTGGTACTCCACGGGGATTTACGAGCTGAACTCGGCCAAAGCGAGCCACCCGACAGCAAACGGATGGTTTAAACGTCACAAAAATATACGCTGTGTAATTCCTAAATGGACACAGCGCACCACTGTTCCCTACCGCGCATTCAAAGACAGCGGTCGAAACTCAGGATGTTTGCCCAAAACTTGTTTACAACCATGATGGCGTGCCGCCGACATCTGGGTTCGTATGAAAAACTTTTGTTTAAAAAGACGCTACACCTGCAAGCATTTATAACAAACTACAATGGGTTATGAGTCTTTGTAAACAAAGTGTCATGCTAATGATTGGGGAAATGGGACCCCCCCAAACACTCCTTTTTGGCTGGGAAGATGAAAATTAGTTTTTAAAAGATTTCTTACACAAATTGTGAATGCGTAAACTTGTTGACAAAACAAAGCAAACCACGTGTGTTTCTCACTCGCTAGAGAATATACTTTCCATCCACGATGGTGTACATGTTGAGGTGGAATCATCGCTTGAAGCTCTCAACTCACAAATGGAAGGTCAAGAGCGACCCAGCCTAGTCAGGGGTCAACTCAGCCCATCGCACCTCCTCTGTAGCTGAAATAATCTCTACCACTTTCTGGAATTGACAAAAGTTGAGGGTCCCTTGATTAAGACTGGTCTCTTGACATGGAAACATGGAATTTCCACAGCTGGTTCAGGACCACTGATGAACATGTGTGTCATCTCACATGAACATGTATGCCACCTCATGCCAGCTAGTATGGGCAGTGGGAACCCCCTTTTCCTGTGACTTGACTTTGAATGATGATATGCAGAGTTTGGGTGAGTATACCACAAGTTACAGGCTCTACACACAACCTGGTAGTTTTATTGCATTTTGTACTTCTGCCGAAGGATCTGAGCAACAATCCAATTGATTAACCGCGCTGGTTAGGCTTCATAATTACAAAAACAAATCAAAGAAAACAAAAACACAATAATAGAGGCCATGGACGTGTATTGGAAGAAACAACGAACGAAGAAAAAAATATATACGACAATTTGCAGCGAGCTCGTCCAATCACCGCTACCCTCGGCAAACAAACTGCACGGGGGGGGGGGGGGGGGGGAGGACAGCATCAGGATCACCCAGACAGACCTGGTAAGAAAATGAAACGGAGCAGGCAGCCAAGACGTTGGACGGACTCACAAGGGAGACAACTCCCGGAGACGGGAGGCAGACGGGTGGGTGAACGTCAGGCGGCGGGGCAGCGGCGCCCCTTGGCTGCCGGGCTCTGCAACGGGGTACCGGAGACGTCACGGGCGAGAACGTGGCATTAGAACGCCGGCGTGCAGATCGGCGCGGGCCCGAGGGCAGCGGCGCAATGCCGGCGCGCATCTCGGCCCGTTCCGTCGACCGGACCCGCCACACGGGGGCAGACAGTGTTGGTGTGTTTGGGCTCGCGAGAGGGGGTGGGGGGGGGGGGGCGGACGAGACCGCAGCCGCTAGTCTGACCGTAAAGCCGTCACATCAGTGCAGCGCACGCCACCTCCGTTCGTCCCGACCACAATTCGCCGAGCGTCGATGTGCGTTTGCTTGGCGGGCGCCAGGCAGGAAAGGCGAGCTTGGGAATCCATCTTAACGCATCAAGGGGGCGGCACCGGTCTAAGGTGACAGCGGATGAAGATGGTGGCTGGTAGCAGATGGAAGGGGTGGCAGTGAATGACGTGTGTAGGTGGCAGCCGTTGCTGAATGTGGGTGGCACTGAATGGAAGGGGGCAAGACTGCGACAAAGGGCAGCACTGGACGAAAGGGGCGGCACAACTGAGCAAAGGTAGGTAGGTGGGGGGGGGGGGCGGTACTGGATGTAGCCAATACTGCAAGGAATTATTGACAGCGGCCCACAGTCCAGCAGGCGAGCAGCATTAGACGCAGACCGGAGCGATGGGGGGTGCCCATCACGCAGTGTACGTGGCCATCTCGGCGAAGATGCGCTGCCACAGCTCCTTCTTGCAGTACTTTGAGCGGCGCAGGCCCTGCAGCACCTCGTTGAACTGCACCATGCCGACGGGCGTGAGGCAGAAGGCGGCCCTCGCGCTGCAGATGAGGCTCACAAAGTCGTCGTAGTCCGCCGGGCTGATGTGGTACAAACGATGCTCGATGCACTGCACAAAGACAAAAGCAAAGAGCCCCCATGTAGCCTTTAACAGACTGCTAGCAATCACCTATGGCGTCCGGCATGGCACACGAGAGGGTGGTGATGTTGGACGCAGTGAATGAGTTATGAGCACAACCCCCCGCGTCTGGCCCCTGCTCGTCCTTATTAGGCCAGCGTATCACTCTTTGGTTCTGGCTTGGCACAGCAAATCGCCAGTGGAAAACCAACCATGCTGTAAGGGCCTTGTGCTGGCTGGGCTGGGCTATGCCAGTGCCACAGTGGCGAGACGTTAAATACTTCTCCTGGTATACAGGAGGTCGAGGGTTCGATCCCGATCCCTGATGCCTCTATATTTGGAGTTTGCATGTCTCTCCCTGTGGTTGCGCAGATTTTTCTCTGGGTCCTCCCGTTTTTCCCTCCACATTTAGAAACGCGAGTGTTTGGCGGCTAAACATTTCCACACGTGATAAGCCACTTCGCTGAGCCACCATTTGTGGCCAGGTCGCTTCTAAAAAAAAATGAGCTACATAGCTCAGTTGGCTTTACCTGGTGAAATAAAAAAAAAAGATAGTTTAAAGAGTTTTAAAAGGGGGCACTGAAGCCTAGGAAGGGGGATCTGTGTCTTTGGTGATGCACGGGTTGGCGGCCCCCAGCGCACCTGTCTGTACGTCTGCTGACAGCGCTGAACGAGCTGGCTGAGCGCGGGTGAGCGCAGGTGCCCGTGCAGGTTGGCCGGGTTCTGCCGTGACAGGTGCTGCACGGCTTCCAGGATCAGCTCCTGCAGCACGAACGGACTCAAGAGGCCCTTGGCGGCGCCCATGCAGAACTGGTGCACGTGGCTGATGCCTGTGGGGCCGGGGGACGCGATTGTGGGGGGGGGAGACCCAGACGGCACGAGGGTTCAAGAGCGGCTGACGGCCGGCAACAGCTTTGTGCAGCACGCAAGCGCACCCCGCGTTACAATCTCGGACTCCAGGATGACTGCGGTTGTGGCGAATGCTGCGACTGTCGTTTTTGTCAAGTTGGTCACGGTTTCCAGAGAAAGCGTGAATTGGAAAGAGGCCGAGTGAAATCTTTGCACCTCGGCTGTGATTTTTTTGTTATCGTGCCTTGCCAGTGAAGTTTTCTTAAAATGACCAGGCCAAAATCGTAGCCTTCGCCACGATCGACTGACAAGGTTACGGATCTTTCAGCAGTCGACATATGAATGAGCATTAAAAAAAATTAAGTGTCGAGAATTGTAAACAGCTTATACTGCTTCCTACCCCCCTCCCCTCCCCCTTGGATCAAGGGCACTTCAAAATTTCGCGAACAAGTTAATCAGATTTAACCCTGTTGTACGGTATTGCTCATGACACGCATTCATAATATTGAACGATCCCTTGCAGAACAATCCTAGAATTTCAACAAAGCCAAAGTGTCTTTCTGTTTAAGCAAGCATGGGTTCACACGCCTGCATATACCCTACATGCCCACAATACTGTTGACAGAATGAAAGTGCAAGTAAGTTGTTGTTATTATTAAATCACTTCAGGTGTTACAATAGTGACAATTCACCAACTCGTCGAGCGGCTCAATCGTTACATCCGTTATTCTATGTTATAACTCTGGATATGCATTTATGTATCGATGTTGAACTTCATTCGCACCACACGTAGCCAACCGTGCTCATCCGGGGTGCGAAATCGGACAGATCGATACACAAAATTAAATCACACCCGCACAGACGATCAGGGCAAGATCTCATCCTTGATCGGAACATGCTGCGATTCACGCGCGCGGTCGGTTGGGACGATCGCCCCGTGTGAACCGTCAGGTGCACCCCCTTAACCCCGACCACTGGATCTTGCTTCATCTGCCCCGGCTTCGTGCGCGAGTGTGTGTGTGTGTGGAGGGGGGGTTTGGAGGGAGCGGGGGCAGAGGGAGGCGCGCGGTAGGGAGGAGCGTGGCAGGCGTACCGAGTTTGACGGCAAGGCCAAGCAGCCACTTGACGTCCTCTGTGTAGGGTGGGCTGCGCGAGAAGATGTTGTTGGGGTGGTCGTTGTGCGCTCGCCGTCCCAGCATCCCCAGCGCGAGCATCCCTGAGCAGACGCAGGCAGATGCGCACGATGCCAACCACGCCCCGCCCGCTCCCCCCATTCAGTTTCGTAGGCAACAAAAAGACAAGGGGCTTTACACCCTTTCTGGCAGAAATACAGGAGGTGCTAAGACGATCAAACACCAAATAGGCATCAAGTCGGCATTAACCACACACGCTTGTGGTAAAACGTGCAAACAAACGTGCTTTGACAGTGTACGCATTTGTCTTTGAAAATTATCGGCCTACTCCAGAGACGGCCTCCTTCATGGCCATGTCTCACCACCGGCGTTAAACTGTAGAATGCCAAAAGGCAGACGGCATAAACGCAATGCAAATATCAAAGTATCAATAGCTCGGATTGTTTAACACGTAGGCTTTCGTGACCAATATCATACAGTTATATCTTCACACTTGTATTATTGCTTGAAAGGGTAAAACCCATTCGTTATTCATAATTTTGATACCATAAATGTAGGCTACATTTACAAGTGATTTAGCAAGCACTGATTAAGACCAGAAATGCACACCAGAAGGTGACGGGGCCGCTAGTGGCAATGTCTACGCACGATAGCAAGCAGGTGCTCATTGAAGCCCAGGACAGGTTCAGATACCACTCGCGACTGGTGTTATCCGTGGACAAGAATCGAACTCTGTTCACTGGAACTATCACGCTGTACTTGCCACCACGGCACCACTCCCCATCATAAAGTCAAAGATCTCCTGAATACTCTTTGGTTCTTTCGGTAAAGTCACGTAGAAAGAAAAATAAATAAATAAGAGTATGACGTTTCGATTGCAACACAAGCAGTCGTCATCAGGTAGAACTAAATTTGAGAGAGAGAGACAAAACACAGACACGGAGACACACAGACAGACACACAAGCAGAGAGAGACAACACAGAGACACACAGAGAGAGACACACAACATAGATTTTTTTTCTCTCCCTCGGTCGCTTCGGGGTGGATTTCCACACAACTCTCTCTAAAATGTACCAGTCTTGTTGGGTCTTTCAGTGACATGCTAATTTATCTGCTCCAGCAGCTGACCCAGCAGACCCACCTCTCTCTCCGCCCCCCCCCCCCCCCCTCTATTTAAGGCCTCGACACAGAGGCAGTGGGTCTCTGTGTGTCTATGTTGTGTGTCTCTCTCTGTGTGTCTCTGTGTTGTCTCTCTCTGCTTGTGTGTCTGCGTCTGTGTTTTGTCTCTCTCTAAAATTTAGTTCTGCCTGATGATGACTGCTTGTGTTGCAATCGAAACGTCGTACTCTTAATATTTAATTTACTTTCTTTCTACGTGACTTTACCGAAAGAACCAAAGAGTAATTCCTGCAGTCACGAAAGCTTCAAATCAAGTTTGAATCTCCTGTATAGCCTAGCAAGGCTGTTGGGGCAAGTGCTGTTAGCGAGCTCCTATGAAGCCAGGCAGTGGTGGTTTGGCAAGCATCATGCTCAGCTGACGTTATTTCGCCGAGTGCTACCCACACTAGGTACTCATTTAAGTACGAGTTGATCAATGGGAGAGGCTCACGGCAGCTGCGGATACCATCCTCCTACGTGGCCAGGAATCAACTGGGGTTGACGGGTTCATAGTGCAGCGCAACAACTATTACCCACTGCAGCAGCAATCCCCATTAAACATAAACACGCACATTCACCGTGGCCACCCTCACTCACCGACTCTGTAGGCGGACAATAGGTGGAGCAGACCTTGAGGGCTGACCACCACCTGCTGCTGCTGCTGCTGTTGCTGCTGCTGCTGCTGCTGTTGCTGCTGCTGTTGCTGCTGCTGCTCGTCAGCCGCCAGCGTCTGAGTTCCAGCGGGGGGTGCCTGGGGCGGGGGGGCGGCTTGCGACACTGGCGGCAGCGTCTGCAGGGTCGGCCCGGAGAGCAGCTGGAAGGACGGCCCAGTCTGCACGGCTCCAAACGCCACTGTCAACGGGAGACGTGCGTTTGGGGTTAGCCCGCGCACACGTGCGTGTGGCCTGTGCACGATGTTCCTCGCGGCGAGTAAACAATTCATTTCGATTAAAAGTTTAATCTTGTGCTCACGATCCCAGCCATGCGCGATAGAAAGGATTACATACGATCTGTGATTTGATGACGGCACCGCCGCACCGTGCAGGTGGTCACTGACATGGATGGTTGATCTGACTTCATCACGTGGATCAGTGCAAGTTGGTGAAAGGGAGTGGGGCGATTACAGGACCAGTTCAGACACAACTCGCCACTGATGGTTAGCCGTAACCCACAACTCGAAACTGAGGGCCCAGGGCTCATCGCTTAGCGTGCTAACCATTGCGCCACCGCTCCACCTCCAACAGTCATTTACATGGTGGTTTATGTTTGTAATCATCATGCACAGATGGTGTATGTGTTAGCAATCAAAGTGTACAGGGCGCTTTAAGTAAGTATTCAGTGTATATTTTGGTATATGCCATCGTAATATTATTGGTTTAGCCAGAGTACATGTGATGGCATACGTGCAAGTAAGGTTTGGTGTTAAGTGTTAGCGAGCATCGTGATATCCACAATGGTGTGTGTCTGGTGTAAGAGGGGAGCGGTAGTGTAGCAGTTAGCGCGCTGCGCTACGAATCCGACAACCCCAGTTCGATTCCCGCTCACAGCCAACACCAGTGATGATTATCCGAACCGATCCTGGGCCTCCCGTATGTCGACTCAGCCTAAAATGAGTACCCGGTGTAGTACCCGGTGTAGTACCCGGTGTAGTACCCGGTGTAGTACCCGGTGTAGTACCCGGTGTAGTACCCAGTGTAGTACCTGGTGCAGTGTGTAAACATCACCACCAGAGAGACAAATGCGGCCGGGCGTGGCGATGGCCACCCACCCCTTTGTGTGCCATCCCGGCCTTCATCGTTGCTACTCGCTAACAGCACTTTCCCCAACAGTCTGTTTAGGCTCTACGGGGGATCTGTGTCACTTGTGCGAGTGTCAGCGGTGACCCAGGCGTCTCCTTGCCGGGCGTCAGCTGCAGCCCGGCGTCGGGCTGGTAGGCGTGGTGCACCGCCACCTGCGGCACCGTCTGCATGGCCACACCGGGCAGGGGCATGGGAGGCGTGGGCAGAGATGGGTGGGGCCCCCCAGCCCCCGTGTACTGGTACTGTGCCGGCAGGAACGCTGGGTGGATTCCCTGGAGAGCAACAACAACAACAAAAATGTCTCTATCCACAATCATCATTTCAAAATAACGCGGGAGAGCTCAAATTAGCGACGTGACGTTTTTGAAGCGGCACAGCAAGACATCACATGGCGCATGTGATGCGTGAAGTTGCGTGATGGTGTCACGAGGAATGATGTCATCTGGAGCGCACAACGTGTGACGTCATCGCCGGGAAGGAAAATACTTTTAGCGACGGTCTTTTGTCGCCAAGTGCAGTACCTCCGATTAGCATGGTTGGTGACGTATGGTGCGAAAGAAGTTGAACATACATAACAACCTTGTGTAATTTGCCCAGTTTTCTGTCGGATAATTCCCCAACAGCCATGCGGCTTTGGACTAAAATTGTATTTACTTTTGGATCGCCTCTGTGAGAGTTATCATGGGCCTCCCATACCGCCGATTAGCATGGATGGTTACGTACCGTGCAAAAGAAATTCAACATAGAAAGACAGACTGCTGTGACAGGGAGAAGGTCATGCGGAAGGGGCAGATGATGGTATCCATGTTACCTGAGGGTACCCAGGTGTGGGGGGCGGCTGGAAGATGGCTGCCACATGCTGGATGGCGTGCCGATGGCCCACGTACTGCGCCGTCGGGTACATGGGCAGATGGTGGTGGTGGTGATGCGCCACCGCGATGGCCGTGGGTCCCGGCTGCGGCCCTGGCGCAGGCAAGGCTGCGTACGACGCAAACGCGGCCTGCTGCTGCTGCTGCTGTTGCTGCTGCTGTTGCTGCTGCTGGTGCTGCTGCTGCTGCTGGTGATGGTGCTGCTGCTGCTGTTGCTGCTGCTGCTGGTGCATAACCGCGCCAGCTCGCTGCACGGTGGTCACGTGCCCACCCGGCTGCGCCTGGTACAGAGCCTGCACGGCCTGCGAGGGTGCCACCACAGCGTGGCAGCGCGAGGACGGCGACGGGGAGACCACGGCGGCGGTGGCGGCAGAGGAGGAGGAGGAGGAAGAGGAGGGCGTCACGGCCGAGAAGGATACAGCGTGTGGGTTGCCACCACCCCTCTGCTGCTGCTGGTGGTGGTGGTGGTGGCTGCCGGGCGAGTGCTCTCGATCCGCGTGGCGGTGGCCGTGCTCCGAGCCGCCGGCGCCGTCGCCACGCGCGTGCCCGCCCAGCGTCTGCTCGTACAGCCAGTGCCACTGGTGGGCAACGTCGAAGAGAACCTCCGGGTAGACGCCGCCTCCCTTGGCAGCCTCCTCGACGGCCACGCACGCCTTCTCCAGCATCTGCGAGTCCTGCGAGACGGAGCGGTGGGAGGGGAGGGGGAGAGGCGAGTGTCGGAGGGGCGTCCGTGAGCGGCGGTACCGTGTGCCGTCGTTGACTTGGGTGCGGCGGCTAGGGAGAGGCAGGCGGTGGTGAGAGAATGGGGCGATAGGAGCGATTGGGATGAGGAGGATGAGGGAAACACGGAGATTAGAGAGACAAGAATCAGAATCGTTCTTCAGACTCGAGGAACCCCGATGAGCTATGAAGCTCTTTTTCAAAGACGTCCAGTAGGAGAAACTTAGATGGCTGGAGAGAATGAGAGGCAGGAGACAGAAAGAAAAGAGACAGGGGCTGGATAGATTGGGGAAAAAAGGAAAGCTGAGGCAATGGCATACAGAGAGGAGAAAGTAAACGGGAGGCGTGAAACACCGGGAAACAGAAGACACTGCCAAGAGGGAAACACGAGGAGGTCGAGTTGAGGATGAGGAAAACAGCGAGAGGAACAGAGGACGAGGCAGTGGAACAGCATGGAGCAAGAGGGAGAACGGCGTCACAGGAAGGAAACAGACACGGAGACAAGGTGCGTGTGAGTGTGAAGGAGAGGAGACGCTCAGCATGAAGGGAGGCACAGGAAGATGGAACACACATAGGGGTAGGTGGAACACAGGGGTAGGTGGGACGCAGGGGAAAGTGTGACAGGGGTAGGTGAAACACTGGGTAAGGTGTGAAACACAGGGTAAGGTGTGGAACACAGTGTAAGATGTGGAACACGGGGTAAGGTGTGGAACACGTGGTAAGGTGTGGAACACGGAGTAAGGTGTGGCACACAGTGTAAGGTGTGGAACACAGTGTAAGGTGTGGAACAGTGTAAGATGTGGAACATAGTGTAAGGTGTGGAACACGGGGTAAGGTGTGGAACACGGGGTAAGGTGTGGAACACGGGGTAAAGTGTGGAACACGGGGTAAGGTGTGGAACACGGGGTAAGGTGTGGAACACAGTGTAAGGTGTGGAACACAGGGTAAGGTGTGGAACACGGGGTAAGGTGTGGAACACAGTGTAAGGTGTAGAACACAGTGTAAGGTGTGGAACACGGGGTAAGGTGTGGAACACAGTGTAAGGTGTGGAACACAGTGTAAGGTGTGGAACACGGGGATAGGTGTGGAACACAGTGTAAGGTGTGGAACACAGTGTAAGGTGTGGAACACGGGGTAAGGTGTGGAACACAGTGTAAGGTGTGGAACACAGGGTAAGGTGTGGAACAGTGTAAGGTGTTGAACACGCGTAAGGTGTGGAACACAGTGTAAGGTGTGGAACACGGGGTAAGGTGTGAAACACAGTGTAAGGTGTGGAACACGGGGTAAGGTGTGGAACACAGTGTAAGGTGTGGAACACGGGGTAAGGTGTGGAACACAGTGTAAGGTGTGGAACACAGTGTAAAGTGTGGAACACAGTGTAAGGTGTGGAACACAGTGTAAGGTAGAAAACACGGGGTAAGGTATGGAACACAGTGTAAGGTGTGGAACACAGTGTAAGGTGTGGAACACGGGGTAAGGTGTGGAACACAGTGTAAGGTGTGGAACACAGTGTAAGGTGTGGAACACAGTGTAAGGTGTGGAACACGGGGTAAGGTATGGAACACGGGGCAAGGTGTGGAACACGGGGTAAGGTGTGGAACACAGTGTAAGGTGTGGAACACGGGGTAAGGTGTGGAACACAGTGTAAGGTGTGGAACACAGTGTAAGGTGTGGAACACAGTGTAAGGTTTGGAACACGGGGTAAGGTGTGGAACACAGTGTAAGATGTGGAACACGGGGTAAGGTTTGGAACACAGTGTAAGGTGTGGAACACGGAGTAAGGTGTGGAACAGTGTAAGGTGTGGAACACGGGGTAAGGTGTGGAACACAGTGTAAGATGTGGAACACGGGGTAAGGTGTGGAACATGGGGTAAGGTGTAGAACACAGTGTAAGGTGTGGAACACAGTGTAAGATGTGGAACACGGGGTAAGGTGTGGAACACGGGGTAAGGTGTGGAACACAGTGTAAGGTGTGGAACACAGTGTAAGGTGTGGAACACGGGGTAAGGTGTGGAACACAGTGTAAGGTGTGGAACACAGTGTAAGGTGTGGAACACGGGGTAAGGTGTGGAACACAGTGTAAGATGTGGAACACGGGGTAAGGTGTGGAACACAGGGTAAGGTGTGGAACACGGGGTAAGGTGTGGAACACAGTGTAAGGTGTGGAACACGGGGTAAGGTGTGGAACACGGGGTAAGGTGTGGAACACAGTGTAAGGTGTGGAACACAGTGTAAGGTGTGGAACACGGGGTAAGGTGTGGAACACAGTGTAAGGTGTGGAACACAGTGTAAGGTGTGGAACACAGGTGTGAGGTGTGGAACACAGTGTAAGGTGTAAAACACAAGAGCGGTAGATGAAGCGCACGGCACAGCACAGCACAGACAGAGGGGACGGCACTTGAGCGTCGCCCGTCCACACACGGCACCTGCTCCTTGCACTGCAGCAGCGCGCGCTGGATCTCGTTGGGGTTGAGGGCGTGCGCGTGGGGCAGGCAGCTGAGCGCCAGCTCCGCGGCGGCGCGCACCATGTTGGGGTCGCGAGCACGTGACGCCCGGTCGGCCAGCGAGGCCACCTCGGGCGGCGTCAGGTGACCATCCCAGCACTCCACCAGGATGTTGAGCGCCGCGCTGCCGATCTCCATCGCTTGGCCTGCTCCCGCGCGCACATACGGGCACACACGCGCCGCCCATCAACACCGACTCTTCTTGTTGTGTTTTGTTTTTAAGCGTCACGCGTGCACGTTGCTTGAATGGGCCCACGCTTGGGCGGTAGGTGAACAAATAATAATAATAATGACATTTATAACACGCCAGATTTTGCAGATAAGTCAACAACCGAGCCAAGCTCAGGGCTGCTCGAAAGCCTGACGAGACAGATAAAGGCCTTAAGATGTTTCTTAAAAGTCAGAGTGCAGTTGATGTTGCGAATGTGCAAAGGGACGGAGTTCCACACCGACGAGGTGACAGCAGAGCACCGAGGTGAGAGGCTTTAACAGTCGAGACATTTCCGTTTTCATTTCAAGACACAACACGGACGTCAAAGTTGACTTGCAACGTTTTCTTACCTCTGTTTACCTCTGATTAGCACGGTTGACAACGTACGGTGCGCGAAAGAAGTTCAACATACATGCAGTATTCCACCCTAACTCGAGGTCTTTTCTTTGTCCGTCAACCTTCTGAGTGCCACTCCAAATGCCTGTGACAATTAACTCGCCTTCCACCATGTGGAACAGCATCCCACCCCTCTTACCGATTACGCCAAAACACTTTTCTGCAATGTCATATTCTAAACGTGCAATTTGCTTAGTCTATCTGGCCATTAAGTTCTTGGCATTCTCTGTATGTGCCTAAATTGAAAAGACATGATGTTATTTTAAGTAATAATATGTTTGCAACATTCATTAAGTGGCTGTCAATCAATGATAACTTCCCCATGTTCACTTGGGCATGAAGACAATTTCACTTTTTTAATTCCTGAAGTGCGGCTTAGGGATGCAGCTTACCAATTTACCAAGTAGTCCCGTGTGGATAATAGGTTAATATGCCTTTGAAATCAATACACAACACTCTAAATTAAGGACGCTTCATTACATCACACAAGTATGCTGTTTAATTAAATCTAAAGTCATTGTGCACTGCTTGGACCCGGCCCATCCAAACTCGGCTGGACCATGCTCTGACAGTTTGACTGCTGCTGCTGCTGAGGCTGCTCAATAGTCAAAAGCGACCCTGCTAACACCGGGTTGCAGCACGTAAATTAACTGGATTACAGGCATCACGGAGTTGTCGAGCCTCCAAGCGAGACATACGAAAATAAAGCAGCTGCGGATGCGTTCGTAATAGGGCATGGCGCTGCAATACAAATTACAATCGCTTGTCAACTGACACTTTGCATTAACGGAATACGAATTAAAAGTTTGTTTATATTATTTCTTTCGTCTCCTTCCTTGTTCTTTTAAAGTAATATCATAGAACGAAGCGTCCAACCAGCAGTGCGCTCTCCCACACACCCTGCTACAGAAACATTCTTGCCGCATGGTAGGCAAACTGATGTTAAACTCCTCGGCAAAGCTGGAATATACCCAAATGCAGTAAAAAAAAAAAACGAATTCGACAACATTGGTTTTCAAGTGCCGTCATTGGTGATTCAGGGCGCTGCAGACTTTCACTTCTGTCGATGCCAACGGTCGCACGTGACGAAAGCTCGAGAGAAGAAGTAGTTCCCGACACGCGGCCTAACCCCGACGGCCACGCTCGGTGCCACATGCCTGCGAGTGATCTCCCCAACCCCCCACCACTATAAAAACACAAACCCACACCCGCACGCGCGCGAGAGCAACGTGCTCTCGCGCGTGAGAGCAACGTGCTCTCGCGCGCGTTCGCAACGCGATGGTCGGACGAACCCGTGATCCAGGACACGTGGGAGGAGTAGGTGCGCGACAGCCAGTTGGGCGACACGAAGTTGTGCAGCCCCAGCGCGTAGAGGCCTATCTCGAAGGCCGACAGGTGCAGGTTGCGGTGGGGTCCCTGGTGGCCGCCGCTCGACGAAGGGTGCGTGAACAGCGACGTGCTGCTGTTGCCGCCCGCCTTCACGAGCACCGTCTTGGCCAGCTCGAAGTAGAAGTGGGCGGCGGCCTCCGACGGCTGGTTGGGCACGTGGGGTGCGTGGCACTCGGCCCGGCGGCCCTTGTAGCTGCGGGCGGGGGCGAAAGCAAGCAGAGAAGGACCTAGGGGTTGGCGGGTCGCGCGGAGACGAGGCTTCGGATGCGCGTCGTGAAACAACCAACCCAACAGCACGGTTGGCTACGCACGGTGCCAAGGAAGTGCAACATACATACATAACCGGGTAAGTGGCGGCACAATAGCGAGGAGGTTTCGGAACTATTTGTTTGTTCGTACGAAAGGGTTATTGCCATGGTGTGTGTTAATTTATCCTTCAAAATGGAAAAGACTCAGTAATTATAATCATCTGCCTAGCTACAAACATGGTTTATCAACGTACCAATACCTCAACTTACCACTAATATGCAAATATCCATCCAGCAAGAACTAAAGCTTCCCCATTGCAAACACGTACACATAACCAAACACCCAAACGTATTCATTTGAGAGCACTCAAAGATTCCCCCGCATAGCCTTAACAGACCGTTTTGGCAAGCGCTGTAAGCGAGCACTTATGAAGGCCGGCACGGCACGCGAGGGGGTGGATGGCCAGCACCATGCCCGGCCGCCTGTCTCCACCGCACCAGGTACTCATTTAAGGCTGAGTCGACCTAGGCGAGGCCAAAGACCAGTTCAGATAATAGCGGAAATCGAACTCGGGTCGCCGGTGTAATAGCGCAGCGCGCTAACCGCTACACTGCCGCTCCCCACAACAGCACTCGCACACTTACAACAACACCCAAACTTGCTCACAGAAGAACCCACACCCTTGCCACCTCCTCTACACACACACACACACACCAGGACCCCGGGGGGGAGGAAAGGGGGAGGGGGGGCCAGGGAGGCTCCCTCCTCACCGGATCATCTCCCCGGCCTTGCTGCGCCCACTAACGGTGGGGCCCCCGCCGACGCCGCCGACGCCGCCGACGCCGCCGGCGGGGCCGAGGCTGCCGCTGGAGGAGGACGAGCCGAGCGAGTCGCTCGAGCTGCTGCTGATGCTGTCGCTGTCCTGGCCCCGTGCCCACGACGTGCAGCCCCAGCCCCCGCGAGGCCCCGTGGGGCGCCGCGCCAGCGTCGGGGAGCTGTCCGACGTCGTCTCGGGCGCGCTGCTGTCGATGCTCGCCATTCCTGAGGGGGGGGGGGGGGGGGAGAAGGGATGAAGGTGGCGAGGAGAAGAGAGAAAATGGGGGGGTGAGACGAGGAAGGAGGAAAGGGAAGGAGGGTAGCGGGAGATGTGAGGGAGCGAGGGTGTGACGAGGTGAGAAGGGACAGCGGGAGGTGAGTGAGAAAGAGGAGAAAGAGGCAGCGAGGAGGTAAGAATATCAAGGAGTGAGGAGGCAGTTTAATAAGGCCTCTGAGAATTCTGTGAATCGTTGCGAGCGTGGGATTTATTGCGTGCTTATATAATGAAAACGATATTCATGATGATGCCGAGTAGACCTCTGGCTAGAATTTGAGCTAAAGAATTAAAGCTTTCGTGACTGCATAAATTACGTATGTAGAAATACCATAAAATTATATTAAAATAAATCAATCACGATGTTTCGACCGCAACACAAGCGATCTTCATCAGGTGTGTTGCGTTGATGTCACCCTATGTGCTATTTGTTTTTTTACACCTGATGAAGATCGCTTGTGTTGCGGTCGAAACGTCGCGATTGATTTATTTTAATATAATTTTACGGTATTTCTACATACGTGACTTTACCGAAAAAAAAACAATGAGTAGAATTTGAATTCCCAAACCTGGCCACTTCAAGTCGAGCGCCCGAGCGCACGGCACCACCTCGCTCGCGACTAACTGCGAGCGGCGCAGGCCGGGAACGCAACGCACAAATCCGAGAGCCCTTGAACGTCGACCGTGCTGCTGCTCACCCGTGTGCTTCTTCTTGGGCCGGACGGGCGACCCCCACGAGCGTCCGTTGAAGACGCCGCGAGACCCCAGCAGAAGCCGGCCCGTCACCTTCCCCTCAGGTCGACCCGAGACCCCGGTCGCGTCCGTCGCCGTCCCTGCAGGCCCATCGGCCACGCCGCTACGCGGCTGGGCGCAGTCTGCAACGTGACGAGACAAGGAGGCAGAGGGGGTTACGGGTCGGAGGAGGTAAGGGTTAGGGGTCGGCATTGCAGTCAAGAGTTAAAGTGCCGGCAAAATAGACGGGAGGTTGGCGGTGGACTGAAGCGCAATCGTCAAATCGCACCTCCAATTAGCACGGCTGGCTACGTACGGTGCGAAAGAAGTTCAACATAAATACAAATCGGTTTCCGTGGCTGAGTTTGCCATCCTGAGATTCGTCCTATGGGGATGGAGTCTTCAGACCCTGTAGCTGGCGGTTGGCTCTGAACACACCTTGCTGTACAAGGCCCTCCTGAAATGTGTCGGAGGCGGCGGCAGTCCGCAGCGGCAGGGCGGCACTCCCGGCATTCCCCGGGTGGTTGCCGTGGCTACCCCCACTGTGGTGCAGCGAGGACGCCGATTGGCTGCCGTGCTTGGAGGGTGACTTCTGATTGGCAGGCTTGCCGCCAGACGAGTAGAACGAGCTGAGGGTCTGCGGCTTGTGCGTGGTGCTCTCGCGGTCCAGTAGCTTGTCCAGAATCTGGAAGCAATAAAAGATAACTCATCGGCTCGGAAACTTCTCAATGTCAACATTCCACAATTCCGTGGCGACAGCGTTACGCCCAGGTTCTCGGCGGAGCTGGCCAAGTGCTTCCACGCGGCCGAGTGAACCAACCGCGTCCGCCCCCACGCGCACCTTCTTGAGCTTGGCCTGGTCGTCCTTGTAGGTGATGAGCAGCGCTAGGGCCAGGTCTCCCTTCTGCCTCCGCGTGCCCTCGCACAGCAGCGGGTGCTCCGCCTCGCTCACCGTCGTCTTCAGGCCTGGGGAACGCGACGGCCAGCGAGGTCATTGTCCGTCGAGCCGTTTGTCTGTCTGACAAGACATCCATCTCTCTATCTATACGTGTGTCTATCAGGTTGTACAACTTTAAGTATTTGTATTTATATTTTTCCTTAAGGATGTCTCTCTGGTAGCATCACGAGCACAGATGTATCAACTGCTGGAAAGAGGATTCCACATATCATTGCCATCCTTCACAGACATCATTATCCGTTCAGGAAATGCGTACTGCCCGAACGTATTTACTTTTCTTAACAGTCCACATGCACCCAATGTGCACGTGTGCCCTGAACCACGTGTTCCTCTTTTTGCCCCGCATTCTAAATCCGAGGACGCATCTCTCCACGCGCCTTTGTGTATTTGTCACATTACTGTTCCCTTTAATTTGGTCCGTTCCCGTGCTGACCATACAGAAGGGTGCATACCTAGAGCGGTGATGGCCGCTTCAAAGCCCAGCTCCTCGTCTCCCGGAAGCTGCGAGTTCCTGTTCCGGCTCGGAGGTCTCGACCCGGTGGATGAAACAACTACCACACAACAAAGACAAAGATCCCCCGTGTAGCCTTAACAGATTGGAGGGGCAAGTGCTGTTTACAAATAGCATCTGTGAAGGCTGGCACGACACACGAGGGGGCGGGTAACCAGCACCACGCCCATCCGCCTTTGTCTCCCGAGGGGTGAAGTTTACACATCGCACCAGGTACTCATTTGAAACCGAGTGGACATAGGAGAGGCCCGGCACCGGTTCAAATAAATGCCACTGGTTGTCAGAGGGAAACAAACTCAGGTCACCAGGTTCGTAGCTCAGCATGCTAACCACTGCGCCATACAGACAGGCACTGGCAGATGAATGGCAAAATAAAAATGCATGGAGATCAAGTAGGACACAAGATCTTGAGCCTATTTAAGTCGAGGTTCAAGACCTTTATTTTATTTCTCTGCTACCTATAGAAAAACCATACCCACGCCTTCCGTTATAGCTCCATGAGACACAGTCACATTTATTCGTGACTAGCGTTACCACCTGGCTTCGCCCGAGACTTGGATTCTTGTCTTGGATTAATACACGGCCTACGCGGAGGGTGGGGGTGCGTGACATCAGCAGGCACACTGCGTGATGCTGCCGCATGCGGGTGACATCACCGCTCACTTGCCGTGCAAAATATATCCATTATTGCGCCCCCCCACCAAAAAATATAAAAGTTTATTTTTATACTTTACGCATTGTGTACAGTCTGGAAACTACCCACATGCCAGATTTCAAGTTTGTTGCATGTCGGGAAGTATGATAAACATTTCGAACAGACACACATTCACAAATTTGCCTTTTATATATAGATGAAGCCACACTGGATTACGGTGGTTCTGCAGGATTACTGAATTATCCAGCAGAGGGCTCACTCTGCTCACAGATAGTCTACTCAAAAATAGACGCGTTTCAGAAAGAGTAGTTCTGATGTAATGCTCAGGCATTGCTCATCCGACAAAGGAATCACATGCTGCCGATAGCACACACGGCTGGCTTTAACGGAAAGACAATTTTCTCACGTTGCCGCCGTTGAAACTAAATACGTGTCGTTGTTGACCACTAATCCATCAGGAAATAACATGAAATTATAACAAGCTCAAAGTATGGGTAGCGCATCAGAGAAACAACATCACCTTCCGATTAAGTAAGGTTGCCTACGTATGGTGCAAAAAAAGTTAAACATGCATACATCCTGCGGAACAATTCAGGTGAGGGGCAGTGTCCATCTGCAGTGGGGAGACAGTCGTAGAAATAACTACTGCTCCACTAGCTCAATGCCACCCATGGGGAAATGGTTGTACTTGGAGATACGCGGAATAGACTCGATGGCAGTTAAAGCAGAACGAACGGGTTTGGTGGTATGATGTGGTTGTTAGCACCATCACACCCAAGGGGTCAAAGTTCACTGGATTGAATCCAACCTCAGAAGCACCTACTCAATAATCAGAAGAAATACGATTAATCAATGGAACGTGCCAGCCGGTGATTCTCGCGCTTGTAAGAGACTTTGGCGATGCTGCTTGCAGAATTGGTCACCTTGTGTCCGTGTCACGTGTTAGGAGAGAACTGGAAGACATCTCTGAACTGTCCCATCCAGCATGCTTCTGGGATATTCAAGACCCAATGCTCGAGTGGAATTGATGCTTTCTGGCTGCACACGACTGCTGAAAATCTTTCCTCGGTGTTATCACGATGGTGATGTTCAGAGGCAATACAAAGAACAAAACAAAATGGAGGAGCAGTGGATTGCGCATTGAACTATGAAACGGGCGGGTTCGACTCTCCTCCAGGGCTAAATGCAGTGGGTAGTGACATCGGATCCGGTGTGGGACCACCCCCTCCATCAACGTGCACTCATCAGCATGGTGAAGCAGTGTGGTCAAACAACCACCATGACTCACACAGCGCGAGGAAGGCTTTCATCCAGCGCCGTGCAATCACAAAGGGACGTACACTTGTTGTCGTTGTTTCACACAACTAAATAAATAAACAGACCTCTGTTCATCAGTACACGTAAAACCAAAATACATTAAGTCCGTTGGACTTTTGGAGTTATATGCGTGCAGAAAAATGTATTTAAGCAGGTACACTCTGGACCCGTCTCAACCGTCTGAATCTCATTAACAGAATCAGGCCTATTGTAATTGCATGCTGCTGCAGTGTCTCATGTTATTGGCAAGAGCCATCCACTTACGCTATAGGACTGCTTTTGGATGGGCATTTCCTCAAGTACTCTTCAGCATGGGAGGAAATTTAATTAGTGTCTGAAGAAAGCCCACGTGGTGTGAATAGAACATTCATACAAAGCTCCACGATGCAGATACGTTTTGAAAAGCCTACTTGCTATACTGCCTCCCACGGGTGCCTTGTTGCTCTGTAGGTGGGTAGGTCAAAAACATGAGAGCCCAATCTCTGTGTGATTCATCAAATCTTCACTCCTGATCGCTGAAATATTTAACCAATCTCCTGACAGCATACGTGGCAAGCAATGGCATAACGATGGTGACCGTCTCATGCAGCCAACTGATCGCGAATATTAAGCAAGGCAAAATTACCACGAATTCTTCACCACTCTCAACAGGCGTCTGCTACCTTTGTAATTACCATAGAAATTCTATACTAGTCTGTCGACAACTGTTGACCTGGTTTCGTAAGCAGGACGGGGTCAGTCGTGTGCTTGTGGAGACCATAAAATCCTGATTTGAAGCTTTCGTTACTGCAGGAATCCATACTCTTTTATTCTTTCGGTAAAGTCACGTAGACAGAAAAAAATCAGATCACAACGTTTCGATCGCAACACAAAGCAATCGTCATCAAGTGAGACAAACACAGCAGGAGAACTGCTGAGGCTGTTCTCAGAACTGCTGAGGCTGTTCTCAGAACTGCTGAGGCTGTTCTCAGAACTGTTCTCCTGCTGTTTTGTCTAACCTGATGATGATTGCTTGTGTTGCGATCGAAACGTCGTGATGTATTATTATTTTCTATCTTACGTGACTTTACCGAAAGACCATAAAATGTTCTACCACAAGCACACACGACGGGCCAAACGGGCAAGCGGTACAGTCCACAACACTCCTGCCAGCCATAACGTCAACAACTGTCCCCGCGACTTCACAGGGACAGTCCCAGCCGAGACAAATGGCAAAACCTCTGCAGGTGGCCACATGGCTCTGTAGGCTTCCAAATCAAAACGTCAGTTTCTTGAAACGACACCGCCTGCCCAAGTGGAAAGGAAACATTTATATACATGCTGCTGGGGAAAATATATAACCGTTATTATGAGTGCTGAACTCGGTCAGGTACCAGTGATTGTTGTATTCCAATGGGCTGAAGTCAAAAAGTGGCACCAGACCAAGAGTTATCCTCTTCGATTTAAGGCTTTCGTGACTGCAAGGATTCATCTTCTTTGGTTCTTTCGAAAGAACCAAAGAAGAGTTATCCTCTTGCCTTCGATACTGTACAGGCAACAGACCTTTAAATGTTACGGCCGTCTAAGCAAAAACAACACTGCCGTGCAAGACAGCTTGGAAACCAAAATCATTCCTGTCAATGATAATCATTGTCATGTCCACGAAGGCTTGGTTCACACCTGCCGGTACACCCTTATTTGCATTTAATGTTTTTTTTCTTACGTTCAACACAATCTATTTAAAACTTTGAATGAAGCCTCCCCCAATGGGAATAGTGCTTTGTTGCTAGGAACGGAGCGAAAAGCGCCGTTGCCAATGGTGAACGCGTTTGATGACGACAGTGGAACATTATGGCATTAAGTCAAGCCTCACGGTAATTTGTTTCCGTACGGTTTTCAGAGATGCCAATTAGTGCCACTACGGGACGGCGTGGAAAACACGGAGGGCCTAAGGCCTGAATGTGTAAGGTGTCTACATTCAGTCTCAGTGCTGAGCATTTTTCGTTGCTGGGAGCTGCTATCAGAAGGACTTTCCATGAAACGAATCTTCCGTCTCCAACGCGCATCCGCAAGTGACGCTAAGGACTTGTGCTACATTCTCACGACCATTAGAAAGCAGATCCGAGCCACGCTGGTCCATTCCAAGGATCGCCCAGCATGATTCATTTCTTATATTACCACTTCAAGAGCCACACACAGCCCTGCAGCCTTGTTCCTTACCGCTGACCACCCCCGCCCCCGCCCCGTCTCTTCCCTCCGTGGCCGGAGGAAAGCGATCGTAACAAAACGATTGTTGATCAAGCAAAATAAGCTTGCAGCTAGGTTACGCTCTTATTTTTTTTTATGGCTTTCTTCGATTATTTTAAAACAGAAAGTACGGGCATGATGTTGACCTCCTGACCGAGAACCCGCCTCTTCTGGGTCGCGGAAGGAAGCACAATTGAAAATTCGCACATCGAGGTGAAGAGAGGCGAGCCACACGAGTGGGTCGACCGACTGGCTTTATGTTTGCAACTTCAGAAGAGCACCGACCACACCGAAGCACTGGTGTCAGAGGCGAAGAACATCTGTGGAAAAAGAGCTTCATAGCTCATTGGATTTCTCCAGGACAAAGATTCTAAACACAGGAACAGTGAGCGAGAAGAGCAGAGGCAGACAAGGGAAGCATCATCGATATTGTTACGAGCTTGTGATTTAATTCTATCAAGAAGGTTTGGACTACTGTGCTTGTGGCTAAAACGTTGATATGAAGGAAGCTCCCAAGTAGTTGTGTCATATCTGCTCCCACATGGGCTGTTCCCGAACACATAGTGATGGCACTATTCTGCGAACGTTCCGAATAGATACGTTCTCTTGACATGAAGCCAGCCGAGAGCACAAAGTGCAATATAAATTTGCAAAAAGACAACAAATACATCAATCACAATAATGCACGTAAGAACATTAATTCAGTTTCCCAATATCGACTACGTAAGCTGTTGGGGGCTGCTGCTGTTAGCAAGCACCTATGAAGGCCAACACGGACACAAAGGGGTGGGGGGGGGGGAGTGTGGCTAGCACCATGCCCAGCCACCTTTGACGCTTACAAATTTTAATTGGGACTTGAACAGAGGCGGCCAGGTGCATAGTGGAGAGAGCTAACCACTTACGCTCGCGACAGCACACAACAAAAAAGACAAAGATCCCCCGTATAGCCTGAACAGACTGTTGGGGGAAGTGCTGTTAGAGAGCACCTATGAAGGCCGGAATGATGTTTACACACCGTACCAGGTACTCGTATGAGTCAATCTTGGGGGGAGGGGGGGGAGACCCAGGACCGGTTCAAATATTCGCTACCGATGTATGCCAAGAACAGAAATTGAACTCTGGCGGCCAGGTTGATAGCGGAGAGAGCCAACCTCTACACTTCCGCTCCCCACAAGCACACACGCGTACACACCGGGAGTGCACAGCACGTCGAAGATGAAGCTTGCCAGCATGAGGGGCAGCACCGGACGGTAGTCGCAGAACCCGCCATCGCGCAGCTGCTCGGCGCGCTCGCGAATCACGCTCATCTCCGTCACGCCCAGCGGGATCTTCTTGAGCAGCCCCATGATCTCCGACTCCTGGTAGGCCAGGCGAACCTGGGGGCACGCGGCGCAAAGCGCGTGCTGGTCAACGGAGCTGCCTCGTTTGAACACGTCGCATTTCGAACGCGATAAGTCCGCGGGTCGAGGGATCTCAGAGGTATCTCTGTGACATCCGCTCCTACGGGAATATTCGCCACGAGCCCCTTGGATATTCCACACCGACAAATACTCGCCCGCTGCTCGCATCTCCCATCTACCTCTCGTGTGCCTCCCTCTCACCTCTCTCTCGTCCATCTTCCCCACTGAAGAGGCCGAGTACCCGGCGCATGAGGAGCCACACATGACGAACGCCGCAATTAAGCGAGAAAGAGCCTCCCCACCGCCCTCACGCCTCTCCCTGCCAGCGGAACGCTCCGCGCCATCGTGACGGATGGCGCAATTAAACCACCCGCGCACGAGCGCTCACGCACGCCAACACTCAGAGGCGCGGGTGGCGATCAAAGAGTCCGCGGCCTGACGTAGATAGCGGCGAGTGGCGTTGATGAAACAGCCCCGTGAGGTGCAAATTGTTTGCTCTGTTGACGTTCCAAGATTTGAATCCTCCTCGTTTTGCTCCTCAGTCCGCGTGATGGCCGCAGCCCGCGTCACTCTACTGCGACTATAAAAAAAAAACTCTCTCCCTGCGAGTAATGGGTTCAGAGTGAAAGGATGTGCAAGTCAATAGGAGCAAGGTGGAGGCGAAGACAGGATTTCCCCAGATTGTTCCGAATTATTTTTGAAGTTGACACCAAAAAAAAATGGCTGATTTCTAACAAATGTAAAAGTACATGACAGGTATAATTAATTGGAAAAAAAAATGGAAATTGCTACGAATTTTTTATATTTTATTAACTTTAAACTGCATGATTTTCAATGTAAAATTATGGAACTTTTAATCGCATGCCACCCTATGCCTCAACACCCCACCCATGCCTCTACAACACTATTCTATCCCTCTACACGCCACTCAATAAGTCTAAAACACCACCCCCACACCTCTAGATACCTTCCAATCTTTCTACAACACCACCTCATGCACTCCGTGCTTATGTGTATGCATGCTGAACTTCTTTCACACCGTACGTAGCCACCCGTGCATCGACACTTCACTGCGTACCTCTGCGTGTCTCCCTATCGGTCTACGCACCTTGCTATCCCTCCGCGCACCTTCCGATCCATTTTCACACCTCCCTGTACCTCTAAACACTTGCCTATCCCTCAACACGCCACGCCACATCACCCAGCACCTCTACACGCCTTCCTACCCTTCCGCACACGTCCCCAAGCTACCCCGTGTCTCGTCGACACCGCTGCCCGGTGCGCTCAGGCCCACGTCTCTCGGAGCGCCCCACTCCCCCACCCCTTCCGCTAACCTCCAGGGCTTTGGTGGAGGCCGGAGGCCGCTGCAGCTCCAGGGCGAAGAGGCCAACGACGAAGGCGAGGCCGTGCAGCTCGGACCGCTCGCTCAGCACGGAGATGAGGAAGGCGGCCTTGGAGAGCGTGCTGGCCGCCAGCAGCGTCTGCCGGTGCGTCGACACCTTCGCCTTCTTGCCCTGCAAGCACGCGGCGGGAAGGCGGCGGGGCACGGGCCAGTGTCTAAGTGACCGATTATGGTCGGGGAGGATGTGTGTAATGTATGTGTGTGGCACAAGAGGGTACAGCTGCGTGCATCTCAGTCAGCCAACCCGTGGCACCTGGGTCCGTCACATAACCTCTCGTCAGCGAGCCTTCGACACTTCACGTGGCCTCGAGGTGCACCTGGCTTAGCACAGGCATCGCGGTGACGTCACCGTCACTTAGTGGCGAATGGCAGGTATTGCTTTAACTTCTTTCTCACCGTACGTAGTCAACCGCAATAATCGGAGGCACATGGGAAGGACGACAAACTAAACACAAAAAAACTGTTCGAAGGAAATAAGCTTTCAATCTAGATAATTTAATCAGAATATTTATTTGTACTAAAGGAATCCGATGATAAAGCTCTTTTTCACAGACGTCCAGTAGGGGCAGGTCAGAACGTTACAACAAATAATACAAAAACACGACGAGTGCCAAATATAGGAAAGGTAAACAAATCACTTTAAAATTGCATAGCTCCAGTGGCTTCTTAATATCAGAATGAAGAGCGTTCCAAACAGCCGCAGACGCGCATCTGAAAGCTCGCGATGCAGTGACCCAATGTTGTACGATGGCGAGCAAAAATCCTCGGCGAGGACGACTGGAGTCATTTGAACGTCAGCTTTAATCGAGCTGATGCAGTGCTGCATTTAGAGCGCCGGACTTGCGATCCAGAGATCGCCGGTTTCATTAGATTTCCCGGCCCGGCAGTTGAAACAAGGGGGGCAAGTCTCTTAAATCCACCCCTCCCGCCACTGTCCACCCAGCAGTATAAATGGGTACACCGCAGTCAATCGGTGGATTGTGTGGCGGGGTAAATCATGGGTATTGCTACCTCTTCGAAGACGTATGGCCAGCGTGGAATAAGAGGCCAAGTACCCTCTGCTGAGGCACTCTAGAACTCAATCTAGCAAATGCCCTTCATCCAGCAGTGGCATGAGCAAGCATTTGCAAGGCTGCAACTTTACCTCGTCAAGGAAAGTTTACGCCAATATGTAGAAGGAATGACAATGATCAAATCACTGTGAACGTGGCCCATTTCACCATATCTGGCAGGTTTGAGCCTGCAAAGTGCTTGGATGGATCACCAAAATGCACTGCTGGTTATAATAAGCTTGTGGATGGGCACAGGTCCGCAAATTATTCATATTAATTTTAGAAACATCCCAAAGAGTTTCTCTTTCCCAGAAAGAATCAGATTGTTTATGCCCCACCACATTTAGGATTGCCCTCTCCGGCCTCCAGGCCAAGCCGCGGACAGGGCACTGCTTGGCATGAGGGGCCTCACCTTGGTCTGCGGCTGCTCCACTTTGAGATCAGGAGGGCTGCCCAGGAGCTCGTTGGCGAGTTCGATGGCGAGCTGGCACGCCTCCGCCGCATAGCCGTGCGAGTACAGGGCCTCGGCACAGGCGAACAGCACCTGCGCACAACAAGATGGAGAGCATGTCCAGGTTTTTTATCTTCCATAACCCAGCCATCTTTGGCTTCGCACTTCGCACAAAAACGCATGCTGTGATCACATTACCAACTACAAGACGATGATAGTGATGATGACAACGGCAACGATGACAATGATGATAACAGTGATCTCACCAATTGGAAGCCACCGAGCTTACATCGCAGCCATTTTGTGCTCGCGCTGAAACTAAGGATTATTCAAACGTGGGTCCCGCACCTCCATGAAGCTCTCCAGCTCCAACGGCCGGACTCCTGCAAACACGTCTTCTTTCTCCTCCACCACGCTCTCGGGCGGCTTATCCTCCTCCTTGGCCGCATCCACCGATATGTAGAAGTACAGGTTGTAGTCGTCCTGATTTTCCGGGGGAATGGCCACCCCCTCCACACGCGCGCCAACAACGGGGGCGGCGGCGGCGGCGGACGGCCCCGCCTCCGGTGTCGCCACCACGGCCGCGCCGTTCTGCAGCCCAGCAGCGTCCACCTTCGCTGCCCCGTCCCCCTGCTTCGGCTCGGCCGCTTTCACGTCCCCCGCGCCGTCGCCCACCACCGTCTCCTTGCCGTCTACCGACGCCTCGCCACCACTGCCGCTGGACTCGGAGCTGGATTTTAGGAGCTTGCCCGCCGCATCCGTGCTCCGCTTGACCACAGCCCCTGGCGACGCGGATGCTGCTGCTGCTGCTGCCGCTACCGCTGCCGCCGCCGCCACCTTCCCGTCAGAGCCTTTGTCGGACGGGTCTTTGGGGCGGCCCTTCTCGAAGGCGTCTGAGGCCGACTCGCCGCCGAAAATCTCGCCGTCCGAGGCGAAGGTGTTGCAGGCCTCGGCGCCGAGCGCCAAACCGCTCTCGTCCGGTCGCAGCTCCACCATGTCCGGCTCGAGGCAGCTGTCCCCGTCCTCCTCGCTGCTCACCGCGCGCTTCGACGCCGCCTTGCCGGCCGCAATGCCGGACGTCGTCTTCGCCGAGCCATGCTTCCCGCGGCCACAAGCCATGCCGCCCGACGCCGCTGCTACTGGCGTCACCGTCAAAGCCGCCGCTGCCGACGAGGCTTTCTCTGAGGCATCCGCGCCGGATTTCAACTGGCCGGGTCTCGAACCGTCTCCTGGCGAAACCAAGGCGTTGCCACTGCCGCCACCGCCACCCCCTTTCCGCTTAGACACGTCTTTTGGGCGGACGGAGGAGTCCGTCGAAGGCGGGCTCTTCAGCACCGCCTTCGCCAGCTGTGCGGCAATGGCACCGTCCCTCACCGCCGGCATTTTTGGCAGCAGTGCCATCCCGCCGTCGAGCAAACCCTTGCCGTTAGCCGAGGCCGCCACCCCAAGATGCTGCCGTGGCTGCAAGTGCTTGGGGCAGCCCGTGACGGTCAGCTTCCCGGTGCAGGCCCCAACAGACGATTTGGAGAAGCCAAGCGAACCTGGCGGTTTGGGGCAGCAGTTGGGCGAGGCCGACTTGGGCCGCCCGGGGACCGTGGTGGTGGTGGCTGGTGCCGGCGACGGTCTGCGCGGAGGCTTCTTGTCGTGCGGAGCGGCGCCACCGCACGCTCCGGTCACGCCGCCCGGACCGCCGGAGTAGGTGATTCCGGGAATGGGGCACACTTGCTCCCAGTTGAGGTAGCAGGCCTCTAGCGCCGGCTTGAAACCCAGAAAGAGGTGCTCCTGGCTCTTGCGGGACTGGCCCCTCTTGGCCACCTCTAGCACACGCAGGTGCCACTCGCGGAGTCGCTCGGAAAGCTCCAGGCGTCTGCGCAACGATGGAGAAACGGCGCCCGTTAATGCAGGCACTGCGTGAGGGTACCGTCAGCCAAGCACCACAGTGCTGTCTCGGCAAGCAACCGCCCGCAAGTCCACTGGCCTCAACAATAAACCAAGAAATTATTGAGCAATTGTAATAGATTTTTTTTACAAATAGGGGCCAGTATAATGAATCAACTGTGCCGCAATCCATCACAATTAAGATTGTCTTCCACAATCAACTGATCAAAATTAGACTGGCATCCACAAATCAACCAAACACAAATCAGGATTCTACAGAATTAATCAATAACAATTATTCTCTCCGCGACAATTACAACCATGCCAGCCACCACAACCAAACAATCGTTAGCGGACTGTCCCTCATAATAACCAACAGACAATCTCGAGCAAAATCCATTCCCATGACCCCAATATTTATCCCACCCACAACCCTAACCCCCCAACCCATAACCCAAATACTTACCCCACCCATAAACCTAATCGCACCAATGACCCTATCAACCCGAGGCGTTTTTTAGGACCAAATTCCAAGCCTGGCTATGTTCAGCTGCTATTGCAGAGATATAGACTGGTTGAAATTTGTCTGAAAGGCATTCACAAAAAAGTAACCACCAAGAAGATATGCATCAAAATTCATGTCATGCCCAAGAGTAAAGTAACATCAGCATATCATTGTCATACCTAATGCAATGCAAATCCCTTTGTTAATCCACGACGGGATGAGGACCTCTCCATGGTTGTTTGACCACACTTCACCACACTGCTCAGTGTGGGTTGGTGCAATGACAGCCCAGCACCGGTCCGGATATCGCCCACCATGGATGTGAACCGTGGCCAGGAATCGAACTCAGCTCGCCGGCTTCATTGCACAACAAACTGCACCGTTACGTAGCCGCTTCACCCCATAAACTTCGCGGAAAAAAAAATATTCAACAATTTATTTTTTATCTTTTTCAGAAGCGACCTGGCCACAAATGATAGCTCAACAAAGTGGCTTATGGCGTGCAAATTTAACGCAGTCAAATACTCTTAAACGCGTGATGTTGATTTTAAATGTGGAGGGAAAAACCGGAGGACACGAAGAAAAATCCACGCGACCAGGGGTACAACATGCAAAATCCAAATATACAGGCATCAGGGTCGGGATCGAACCTACGACCTCCTGTATACCAGGCGAGGTAGCTAACATCTCGCCACCGTGTAAAAATTCATTGTGTATCTAACCCAACCCAAGGGCATTGCACATTTAGGTAAAAGGTCGAGGTGCAGCTCTTGTGACTTTGCTAGCTCACACCACTGTTGGTGGTCTGGCGTCCACTAGAAGGTATTTTTGGCCTCCTCCTCCAGTTGGCCAAGCATCATGTCGCCACCGCGGCGCGACGTTAACGAAAATATTCTCGCGGGCGCGACCCGACCCCGTGCGCCGCGGCCGTGAGAATCGATTGCGAGCCGAAAGCTTCGTCACCTGTGGGGGCTGACGGCGGGGTCAAGCACGGCGAGTCGCCACAGCGCCGCCGTCTCGTCGCACATGCTGGCGCACGCGTGCGCCGCCACCTCCGACTGCCCGCTGCTGTTGCCGTGGCGGCCCGTGTGCCCGCTCGCGCTGTTGTGCGACGCCGACGTGCGCACGTTGTACCACCACGCCGCAATCTGCAAAGGCGCGCGCCGACGCCAATCACCGACGGGCGTCATCGCCCACCCCCCCCCCCCGCCCAAAAAGACAAGGATCCCCCATATAGCCTCAACAGACTGTTGGGGCAAGTGCCGTTCGCGTAGCACCTTGAAGGCCGGCGCGGCACACGAGGGGGGGGTGGGTGGTCAGCACCACGCCCGGCCGGCCCAGTGGCGATGTTTACCCAGTCTCCCGAGTGGCGATGTTTACGCACCACACCAGGTACTCGTTTGAGGCTGAGTCGACCTAGGCGAGGCTCAGAGCCTGTTCAAATCATCGTTACTAGTCTTGGCCGTGAGTGGGAATCGAACTCGGGTCGCCGGGTTTGTGGCGCAGCGTAGCGCTAACCACTGCGCCACCATCACCACCACTGACACACGCAGGCCATTCACGCACACACGCACACGCACGCTCTCTCATCCGGCTTCACAACCGACAAGACAGGCACCCACAGAGCGATTCGACCCCAAGGGTGAAAGAATAGTTGCGGGAGTAAGTTCGGGGAAGATTTCCCCTGGTAAATCCTTCACGTGGCCTTGATAGCCTTTACAGAGAAGCGGTCTCCCAATCGCATGCAGCAGTGACAAAATGCCATTTAACACCGTGAGAACGGCTATTACACTGAATGAACGACCATTATAGCGGATGAACCGCATATACATTCATATATCGGACAAACGGTCGTTAAAGCAAATGATCGACTAATATGCAGAAAATATAGCCATCGCACTCGGGGAACTGATGGTACCGGCATAACCGCACGCGGTGCTTGTGTCACAGTCGATCACACGTACATGCGCGCGTGTGCGCGTGCGCGGGGCACCTGCTCGCAAGCGAGGCACAGCTCGGTGAGAATCTCCAGCAGCGGCACGGCGTTGCTGTCGCGCCGCCGCAGCATCTCGCGCACGATCGACAGCAGGTTCCAGATGGCCTCGGGCTCGCGTCCGCGCAGGGGCCGCAGCAGGCAGGCCCACTCGGCAGCCGCGGGGGGCTCGGTGGACGACAGGTACAGCGAGTTCACGTCGCTGGGAGGAGGGAGGAGCGGCGGGCAGGGGTTGGGACGTGCGAAAGATGGCCAAAGTGAATGCTCTGTGAGGTTACACAAGTGGTGCCAGCCCTGCACTTGGTTTCGCACGCCCCTGTTGGTGTAAGGATCTCTGCTAACGGAAACGTTAGCAGAGATCCCCTCTATTGGATATTTGAACCTTTTCTTCCATGCTGGCCAAACATCTATAAACTAGTTTCATTTTAACCAGGAAAGGCCCACTGAGCTGTACAGCTCTTTTTCAGAAGCGACCTGGCCACAAATGATAGCTCAACGAAGTGGCTTATCAAGCGGAAATTTATAGCAGCCAAACTAATCTAAAACGCATGTTTCCAAATTTAAAGGGAAAACCGAACCCACAACCTCCTGTATACCAGGTGAGCTAGTTAAATTCTCACCACTGTGACACCCTATCTTGGAAGAGGTGGGAGGCGGCGGGGGGCGGCGATTAAAGACATTTGCACCGTTGTTTCAACTGCCGCACTTGGAGAATGCAGCAACTAACTCTGGATTCCAAGCCCAGCATGCTGACCATTACGGCACGGCAGTATACCTATAGCCGTTATATTTAGCGGAGCGGGTGCATGCACACCGTACGTCCCAACAGCAGCCACAGCTCGCCACACTGCGCTCGGCTCATTGTTGTGACCGTCAAAATGTTATTCTTTTTTCTCATGGAGGCCGGTTGCTATCAGCAACCCACTGGCATCTTTCACAAGCCTCCTACACACCCTCTGCTTCATGAATATGGCCTTGTCCCTTCCCCGCACCTCCGAATAGCGTGGTTGGCTACGTACAGCGTGAAAGAAGTTCAAAATACATACATACAGGCCAATCCTGACCCTGTTCATAGCAGCCGTTGGTAAGTCCACCAAGCTCCACATCCACCCATTTACATTCGAGTTGGGCTGTACCTATTTAGCTTCTACTGTCTGACCAAACAGGAACAAAGACATACAAAAACATAGATCCCCTGTATAGCATACACAGACTGTAGGAGCAAGTGATATTAGATAGCACCTATTAAGGCTGGCACAGCCGGGGAAGCGAGGTGGTGTGGTCAGAAGCACACCTGGCTGCATTTGTCACCGATGTTGGCTGCAAGTGGGAATCAAAATCATAATGTTTATTTATACTAGAGGAATCTGATGAGCAATAAAGCTCTTTTTCACAGATGCCCAGTAGGGGCCGGGTAAGAACGTTTCAACAACAAACACAATACACAAACACGATAGTAAAGCAAAGTACAAGGTAAACAAAAATCACACCTAAACACGATGGGAGAGGGCCCGCAGAACTTGTGCAGTGTCTTCTTGATGTTATCGCTGAGCGTGGCCTCATCCAGGTACCAGGTGCTCTGGTCCGAGGCAGAGGGCCCTGCCGTAGGATCTGTCACGTGACATCGCAGCATTGTGGGGGCGGGGGCAAGCAAAGGAGATCAGATGTCTGGTCGGTCAAAATGTCACCAGTCACTCCCCACGTGTTCACCAACCCACAATGTCCAAGGGTGGTGAAATATGGTTAAATAACCCCTCATGACCTGAAAAGCATGGGGAGGCCCACAATAGATGTAAAAGGCTTATGTATATTCTTGGTTCTTTCGGTAAAGTCATGTGACTTTACCGAAAGAACCAAAAATATGAATCCCTGCAGTCACGAAAGCTTTAAATCAAAAGGCCTATGTATGTTTATATGTACGTTATTGTATCCGAGTTCATGAAGCCTGTCTTTGCCAGGCAAATGTTTTCAATAAATACAATAATATATAAACCGGATATTATCTTACAAATTTTATCTACGATCAGACACTAACAACTACTCCAACATTTGTATTTTTCCGCAGAAAAAAATTGTTTATGACTCGATTCAACTTCTTATATTTAAAAACGTACCCATTGGAAACATGCATTTAAAAAATCCGTTCTTTTTTATTAGAAACAATAAAAATGTATTAAATTAATAGTCTATGAGGGGAAGCTCCTATCTTTTACCGTTTTCGAAGTATTCAGATTTGAACATCATAAAATGCGTATTTTTTTCGCTGAAAACCGCTTTAATCCAAAACATTTCCCAAAACAATAAAAGATAGAACAATGGTTCTCGCTTTCATTTTATTTTCTGTTTCACGCTCTATCAAACAAAAAAAAACGCAATTTTATATTTTGAACGGTTTCTGTATGACACGCACAAACATTTTTATGGGGCGCTTATAATCGAGATTTGGGGGCCTTAAAATAAAAAATCTCGGATTTTCCCTCTGGTTTGTTTGTTTCCTAAAAGCTACCTATGTAGCAAATTTCAGCTTTCTACCTTGTCAGGAAGTACCCTCGAGGGTTTTGAGACATACAGACTAAGATCTTTATTAATATAGATAGATGCCTATTCATTAATTATTATTAATAAAGCACAAGTCACAAAACCAAGGCAACTATGGGCTGAGTCTACCCTGACCAAGGGGATCTGGGCCTTCGGGACTTAAACTCTTTTGGTTCTTTCGGTAAAGTCACGTAGGTATAAAACAATAAATTAAAATGTAAAAATTTATGTTTTCTACCTACGTGACTTTACCGACAGAACCAAAGAGCATGGATCCCTGCAGCCGCGAAAACTTCCAATCTAGATCCCTCGGGACTTGCGAACCCGGCACTCGGCCCTGGAGAGGCTAACCCGGCCGTAGCCAACTCGGAGCTCTCGTACACAACTCCGAATCACTTTTTAATCTCGCTCCTTTTTTGTCAGAGAGTACAGCATCATTGGAGAAAAATCTGCCAGCCTGCGTGACACAAGTAGCTTCCCATTAATAATGTAGAGCTGCTGACACAGATATATCTTCTCGGTAAATAAGGTACACACCGCTGGGTCAAGGAGCTACAGTTTCAAGGCATGGGTGGTGTTTGGGGGGGGGGAGATGTGAAGGTGTGGGGGGGTGGAAAGAGCTCGAGGCTCACAAACACCAGCTGCACACGGGCAGGAATTAAACAGAATAGGATAACAGCTCCGGGTTTCCAAAGGAACGTGGCAGCCGAGAACTGGCGTCTTGTCTTCATCCGATAAGGTCACGGGCAGTGATATTCGGCGCGCATGTTTCAAGAGGCAGTGGTCTGTGATTGTGTCGGCTGCCGTAGAAAACGAGCCGCGGGTAAAGCATTGTACGATTTTGACTTGAAGCTTTCGTGACTGCAGGAATTCATATTCTTTGGGTCTTTCGGTAAAGCCACGTAGATAGAAAAATAAATAAAAAATGTATCACGTTTCGATCGCAACACAAGCAATCGTCATCAGGTAAAAAAATATAGCGAGAGAGCTATATTAGTATTTCCTCCTGCCTCGGCAGCTCCCTCGCTATATTTGTATTATTTTTATATCTACGTGGCTTTACCGAAAGACCCAAAGAACACATTGTACGATTGTATTCCGGTCATTTTTTTGAAATATGATTAGAGTTGTTGAGAATTGCCCGTTACAAAATTATCCAGAATGCTCCCCATCTCATCGGATCTTGGGAGCGAGGTCGGGTTGAGCCTGGGCAGTGCTTAAATGGTTGCCAACAATGTACAAATAGATTGCTGTTGGCCGTTGCGGGGCTACATGGTGGGCAGACGAGAACAGTGCAGCAACATTCATTGTTGTACTGTGCTTCTTTGCTGCCACGTTTATTATACTCCGTGCCTTCACCAAACCGCACGGTAGAGTATGGTCAACATAAACCCCACGACCGGCATGGCATGGGGAGGTCCTCATCCGGCGGTGAATTGAAAAACGGGCTCTACGTGTCGCGTAAAAATTCAAAACAAGGGGCGGTGAATGTCCCCATACTCAAATGACCGTTGTGTTGATGCTCTACTCAATCAGAGGTGCTGAGCCAATGAAGGAAATTCCATATTCCCATGGCGGAAACCTGCCTCGTCTGTCTTCAGAAGACGACTACTATTTACATCTCACAAAAATAGCATCCACTTCACTGACCACAGAGGACTGATTAGGAAACTCGCAATGGCCGTGTCAGTGACAAATATCCAGCACTGCTGAGATGCTGGATTTAATTCCAGGCTTCAGCAGCCCATGGTTAAATCAGGTTCTCAAGTGTAGAAAATTGATTATCTTATTGAGGTAACCGCAAAAAATGTACAAGTTTTTATTTTGTTACACAATATGGTAGTCTAGATATAGGCGTACAAAAGAGGGGACCTTCCGGAGGAGAGATGCAACATTAAAAATGCGCATGAATTTAAGGCCAATCTCGACTGAACAGTCATCCACTGGCGCACCGCCACTGAAATCGCCCGAGACCGACTGATATTGACAGTGATGAACAGCACATTGGACGAGGCTGCTTCTTCATCACGAGCCATGGTCGATCCACTGCTGCTTCAGGGTCAACCCATCTCACTCCTGCACAACTGAGTTCGCATCTCCACCTCCACAACGGTTTGCCCTCTCAAGGTGCGCTCGTGTCCCTAGGTAGCCGTTCCATGCTCAGTCTCATCCGTCGACCCTCATGGCTGTTTAAACGATCCTACAATGTGATATTGTCAAATAACGTTGTATATATGTTGAACTCCTTTCGCACCGTACGTAGCCAACCGTGCTAACCGGAAGGTACGTTATGGGACCTTGAACCTCCACTGTGATGCACCGCAGTGGCGGGATGTTATCTCCTTCGCCTGGTATGCAGGAGGTCAGGGGGTTCGATCCCGACCCTGACGATGCCTGTATATTTGGAGTTTGAATGTTTGCATGTTTCTCTCTTGCCCTCCACATTTAGAAACCTGCGTTTCGATTATGTCTCCTCTATATTACCACAGATGATGAGCTAAGTCAATGAGCTATCATGGTGTGGCCAGGTCACCTCCGAGAAAGAGCTTATAGCTGGTTTAAATGGTGGGTACTTCACGGTTAATACATCTGCAGTTAATGACCCGGGCAACCGCTGGACTCCAACAGGTGGCAAACGTGCTTCCCGCTCGGCAATGTCTAAATTATTTGTATCGATGATTGCACAGGGCTCACATACAATGAGGGAAAAAAGTATTTGATCCCCTGCTGATTTTGTACGTTTGCCCACTGACAAAGAAATGATCAGTCTATAATTTTAATGGTAGGTTTATTTGAACAGTGAGAGACAGAATAACAACAACAAAATCCAGAAAAACGCATGTCAAAAATGTTATAAATTGATTTGCATTTTAATGAGGGAAATAAGTATTTGACCCCTCTGCAAAACATGACTTAGTACTTGGTGGCAAAACCCTTGTTGGCAATCACAGAGGTCAGACGTTTCTTGTAGTTGGCCACCAGGTTTGCACACATCTCAGGAGGGATTTTGTCCCACACCTCTTTGCAGATCTTCTCCCAGTCATTAAGGTTTCAAGGCTGACGTTTGGCAACTCGAACCTTCAGCTCCGTCTACAGATTTGCTATGGGATTAAGGTCTGGAGACTGGCTAGGCCACTCCAGGACCTTAATGTGCTTCTTCTTGAGCCACTCCTTTGTTGCCTTGGCCGTGTGTTTTGGGTCATTGTCATGCTGGAATACCCATCCACGACCCATTTTCAATGCCCTGGGTGAGGGAAGGAGGTTCTCACCCAAGATTTGACGGTACATGGCCCCGTCCATCGTCCCATTGATGCGGTGAAGTTGTCCTGTCCCCTTAGCAGAAAAACACCCCCAAAAGCATAATCTTTCCACCTCCATGTTTGACGGTGGGGATGGTGTTCTTGGGGTCATAGGCAGCATTCCTCCTCCTCCAAACACGGCGAGTTGAGTTGATGCCAAAGAGCTCCATTTTGGTCTCATCTGACCACAGCACTTTCACCCAGTTGTCCTCTGAATCATTCAGATGTTCATTGGCAAACTTCAGACAGGCATGTATATGTGCTTTCTTGAGCAGGGGGACCTTGCGGGCGCTGCAGAATTTCAGTCCTTCACGGCGTAGTGTATTACCAATTGTTTTCTTGGTGACTATGGTCCCAGCTGCCTTGAGATCATTGACAAGATCCTCCCGTCTAGTTCTGGGCTGATTCCACACCGTTCTCATGATCATTGCAACTCCACGATGTGAGATCTTGCATGGATCCCCAGGCAGAGGGAAATTGACAGTTCTTTTGCGTTTCTTCCATTTGCGAATAATCGCACCAACTGTTGTCACCTTCTCACCAAGCTGCTTGGCAATGGTCTTGTAGCCCATTCCAGCCTTGTGTAGGTCTACAATCTTGTCCCTGACATCCTTGGAGAGCTCTTTGGTCTTGGCCATGGTGGAGAGTTTGGAATCTGATTGATTGATTGCTTCTGTGGACAGGTGTCTTTTATACAGGTAACAAGCTGAGATTAGGAGCACTTCCTTTAAGAGTGTGCTCCTAATCTCAGCTCGTTACCTGTATAAAAGACACCTGGGAGCCAGAAATCTGATTGACAGGGGGTCAAATACTTATTTCCCTCATTAAAATGCAAAACAATTTATAACATTTTTGACATGCGTTTTCTGGATTTTTTTGTTGTTATTCTGTCTCCTCACTGTTCAAATAAACCTACCATTAATATTATAGACTGATCATTTCTTTGTCAGTGGGCAAACGTACAAAATCAGCAGGAGATCAAATACTTTTTTCCCTCACTGTACACACACACATGCAGTTACCTGGAGCCCCGCATACAGTGTTAATGGCCGTGGTCTGAGATGACAGCAGCTCATCCAAGAGTCGCTGGGCAGTCGGCAGAATCTGTCCCGGGAGAGAAGAGGGGATACTGAGTCCACAGCAAGCAGTCGTGATCACAAAGTGCATACATGTATAATTGCATTTATTTATTTCAAACACATTGAAATTCCAGTTGAGTATCGCTTTGGTCAAAGCAACTGGCTCACGGTCTGTAGGGGTTCATATCCCGGGAGGGGATAGACGTCGCACGTGACCACACGTTGTTCGGCCAGTCTGACATTTCGTTCCACGTGCTGGGGAGCTCTCGGGAACTAAATTGAAGCTTCCAGCCACGTGCATCGAAACGTCTGACATGCGAAATCAAGGCACAGTACAACCCGAAAACACACTGAAGAGCTATACAGGACAGTGGACAGTTCTTCACTCGATTTTTTAAGTCGCTTGCCACATTTGCACTGTGGAGTGATACGAAGTCTCTGATGGATAAAATGGCCTCCCACCATGTGAGTGTGGAATTTACACCACTTACTCAGGTCACCAACATGAATTCTGGTTGCAGCAGGAAGACACTGACTAAATATTATGAATATAATATTTATACCGTCATTGTCATGATGTGGGCGATTGCACAGTAATGCGATTACAAAACAGTGAACGGATAAGAGACAAAGCGGTAGTTACATAGAGGTCCTTAAGCCACTTCAAATGAATTTGTTTAGCCAGGTAAAAAACTCAAGAAGCCGGGATAGTCTGCAAGAGCATTTGGAGACCATGAAAGCCCAAATGAGGCATTGCCAAAATTTGCGATTGACACGTTCTGTGTGCCGTGCTGTAATGCCATAGTTGTGAACTGGACAAATATGCTGGACATATAAACGGTGAGTTTGGCTGCCTTGGCACTCAACCAGTGTTTGAGAGAACCAATCTCTCAACTACAGACTATTTCCCACAAAGTGGTACCCACTTTATTGCCCGCAGAATTACGATGGTATGAGTCAACCCCCCCCTCCCCCCCATCGAATGATATTTAAATTTGCGATGGTGCACTTGCCAATTAAATACTCTCCAGTGTCATGAACTGGGATAAACTCTGTAAATTGCTTAACCCAAGCGATTAATGCTTTCGCATTTGCATCATCCTTGTACTTTTTGCCTTTTGGCGTTCATTCATCTATAGCACCGGTGAGACAAAGCCAAAAAAAGAGGCTCTCTCTGGTGTGGGCCAATCAGTTAAGGACAATGCGCACACTATCAAATCACATTCGCATGTTTTACCACAAGTGTGGTGAATGCGGACTTGCAACGTGTGTGTCTATTTGGTGTTTGAACATGTTCCTCCCGTTTTTCTCTCCACATTAGAAACGTGAGTGTTTGGCGGCTATACATTTCCACACGTGATAAGGCCACCTCGTTGAGTGATCATTTGTGGCCAGGTCGCTTCTAAAAAAAGAGCTACATAGCTCAGTGGGCCTTACCTGGTAAAATAAAAATAGTTTATAGTTGTTATATTTTTAGCATCGTAAAATGGGCCAAAACGGCATGTAGATAACTCTGTAAAGCATGCAGTATTACTATAATCAAGATAAAGGTGCAGCCCTACGATTGCTTAGACATGCCACTGTGGGCAAAAGGGCGTCTGCAAGAGGAAGCTCTAGAAAACCTCTTCTGGAGGGTATTTTGGCCTACTCTTCAAAACGGACCACACATTTACAAGTCACGACCCTGCCAATTAACCAACTGCGATGTCCCCCCCCCCCCCCCCCCCCCCCCCCCCATTTATACTGCTGGGTGGACAGAGTGGGAAATAGGGTGGTGGGGGGGGAGGCGGATTTAAGAAACCAGATAATTTTTGTTCAACCACCGGGCCGGGAAATAACACCGGCGATCATCGGTATGCAGGCCCAACGAGCTAACCAACGCACATTTAGTTACAGCATCCCCATAAAATATGGTAATACATTTACAGCTGTGCCACGCACGACGAGTAGAATTCATGGCAAGGGCTGCGTATTAAGAGGAACACTTCTGTTTGCGATTCCGATGGCTATTTGGTAGCTCTTCATCAGACACACGGAAACGCTCGCGAGCACGCAAGCGCTCGCGCATCCGCGCTCACTTTGAAGTGCTGCCCTGGCCGTCATGAAGTACGACTAGACAGGCAGGCATTACGCAGCGGATCAGGGATGAGAGCACAGCTCCACTGCCGACAGAATCCTGCGCTCCTTGGCATGGCACGCAATGAACGCTGGTGTATAAATACAACGCGCTCGTACACACACTTACCGGCTATATGTCCTCCCAAACAAAATCATCTTCACGAAGTCATTGCGTGTGCTCATGTACACACTCACAGATGCATCAACACGTTCATGCAGGGAGACACACTCGCGTCCATGCTCGCGTTTATAGACACGCAGTTATGGAAAAAGTTCATACACACCGATTCATGTGCTCGTTCAGTCACGTATACGTGCGCACACACGTATGCACTCACACACACACACAGTGACGCATCTACTCATGTACGCACTGGCAATCGCCAACATTCATGGAGACACACACGTGCTTATGCACACGCTCACACAGACACCCCTTGGGACATATGCACTCGCAAGCTCACCCGCGCATCAGTGTGCTTTTGCAGTTATAAACACGTGAAAATGCGCATGTACGTACTTGCATTCATGAAGACACTCACGCACACGGTCACATGCACACTTATGGACACATGCACTTAAACAAACTCGCACTCACACTGATGCATTTACTCATGCATGCGTTGACACTCGCCAAAATTGATTTAGAAAGACACACTCTGACCCATGTACACACACACACACGCGTGCACGAACGCACATGGGTGTGTTGTGTATAATGTACTGATGTTATCCATTGGCAAGAATTAAAATAAGGTCTTCGGTTTCGTAGCACAGCACGCAAACCAATATCCGACAACTCCAAACACACGAAGATCCCCTTAACCGCCGAGAATGTCAGGGTAAGTGCTGTTAGCGAGCGCCTATTAAGGTAGGAATGGCACAACTCTGGCCAGAAACACGCTCCGCCATCCGTCTCCCCATGATGTATGTTTACACACCAGACCAAGTACAGTACTCATTGAAGTTTGAGTCAACCTAAGGGAGGTGAAGAGAACTGGTTCAGATTATCACCCACTACTGACATTAGACGTGGCCGGGAATCAAACTCAGGTCACCGGGTTCGTAGCACGGTGAGCTAACCATTGTGCCACCTCTCCCACAAACCCACAAATAAACAGGCCTGCCTGCACGGTCACCCACGCGCGCTCATGCATACGCAGACATACACGCACACACGCGCACACGCATCACTCACTTACTCAATCGCACACGTGCGCACGCATCCACTGTGTGAGCACAGTCTGCTCTGCTCAGGCTGGGTCACTGTGACCCGGGTGTATATATATATCTCGCAGGCACAGAGCCAGTTTGCAGTTTACCGACACCGGGTTACTGGCCAAGGAAATTGGGATAAAAGTGGAGACTTATGAGAGAAAAACTATGAAACTATTTATTTTTTACCAGGAAAGGCCCACTGAGCTATTCGGCTCAGTTTCAGAAGCGACCTGGCGACATGTGATAGCCCAACGAAGTGGCTTATCATCACGTGGAGTAATGTGCAGATAGCCGCCTTGCATCGCGTATTCACAGGCTGCTGTGACATCGCCGCAGCGTTACACGAGTACAAATTGTAGTTGTGCGGTGCGAGCCTGGTGCTGTGCCGTTCGTGCAGTGTGGGCCTCATGCTGTGCGGTTAGTGCGGTGCGAGGCCGGTGCTGTGCGCTCAGTGCGCTGCGGGGCTGGTGCGGTTAGTGCGGTGCTCACCTGTTGAGGTAATTCGCTGATGAGGTACTGAGCAAACTTCTGGAGCTGGTCTCGCTGGAGACGCGAGAGGGACTCAGACACGGGTGCGCGCAGGCAAACTAACGAGGCCTGCGAATGCGCACACACGTACACACACACACACCAAATATAAAAATCTCAGGTAATTTATACATGCTGTTGGGGCAGGTGCTGTTAAGCAAGCAGCTATTAAAGCAGGCATGGCACATGACAGGGTGGTTGGCCAGCACCACGCCCGGCCGCTTTTGTCTCCCAAGTAGCGATGTTGACACACAGCACCAGGTACTCATTTGAGGCCGAGTCGACCAAGGGGAGGACCAGGCCCGGTTCAGACAATCGTCACAGGTGTTGGCGACGAGCGGGAATCAAACTCCTGTCACCGAGTTCGTAGCGCAGGGCGCTAACCACCGTGCCTCCACTCCCAGCACAAAAATACATGCATAGACACAAACAGAGACCCAGCAGGTCATGGAGGACACACAGGGCGACAGCCAGCACTTGCCAACCAGCACCCGCCGCTCGGACTCACGAATTTGTCGGCGACCACCCTGTGAATTGTCACCGCCTCTAAGACTCGGCACGTTGTAACGATTCGGGCGCGGATAATTTGATTGACGAGCACAATTCTTTCTCACCGTTGCGATGTGTGAAAATCTAGAGTGGATTGGAGGTGCTTCCGGGAATTGGAGAATGAGTAAATTAGGGAGATTAAATTGACCGTTAAGAAAAGTAATTGGACTTGGGCAGGACACAGCAGTGAATGGGAGACCGAGCTGAGACCATCAATTTGCTCCGCTCGAGAACCCGATTTAAGCTTGGGCACCTTCCTGGGTTCCAACCCAGCATCTCAGCGGTGAGGACTCATTTCTCATACATCCTTAACAACAAGGCCATCTCTCCCAATCGGACTTTTTAGCTCCTTCATAGGAAAATGCAAACAATAATTTTGATGGCTGGACAAGTTCAGGTTTTTTTTTATTCCTAAAAATAAAATAAAGGTTATCTGTCCACAACTTTTTTTTATTAAAGAGAACAGAAAAAAACAATCAAGCTGCATTCCCGCATTGAAGAAGCAGAAACAATGAATCCCGCTAATTAAAAAAGAGCCCGTGAAAATTCCTGAAAGTGTTTGAAAATTGAATCTAACCGTTTTCGGCATACGATTAATCACTTATGACAGGTCAACGATACACCATCTGCGATTAAGTGATGGGGGGGGGCAGGTTTGCGTGGCTCCACGCCAGCACACACGTGGCGCTGTGCAAAATTGCTCGCGAAAAAAAAGTGAGCGCGGATAATACAATGGCAACCGAATCGCACAGTTACATAACAGCAGCCGGTGGAACAACGGACACCAGAAAAATTAGCGCACAAACACGCAATGAAAATTTAATGAGCACTGCAGACGCTGAGATGCACCATCAAGACGGTACATCATAAATATCGAGTTAATTAGGCTGCGCGCCTCAGTCTTCACGCGCACGTTCAAAGCACGCGCGTTGAAACCTCGCCGACGTCTTATTGACTGTCGAGGAAAATTCTGTTAGCGATCACCTGCAAGAGGGTGCGGCCAAAACCACTTAAACAGAGGCCAAAAAGGACGAGGAAAATTGCTTCCACGCCCAAACGAACAATGGGGACACACTCAGGCACTCACCTATGTTGGTGGCAATGGTCTATTGTAAAGAACCCGACTCAGAAAATCTACAGATGCAGGGAGGCTTTCCTAGGTAAGGCAAATTAACCACAAGTGTTGTTACCAGAGCAGGCTCTTTCTGCTCCGATCACACCTTATGTAATGTCCAGAGGAAACTGGAGCAAAGGCAACTCGGGGTGGCATTGGTGGGCGCGGGTGAGATTTTCGAGCTCCTTATGTGTGTTTTCTCGCATGTGCTTTGTGTGTGGGGGTTTTTTTTTGACGTTTCCGTGTCAATCGGAGGGCGGGAGGGCAGAGGAGTGAGAGTCTGAAATGTGCGTGACGTGCGTGCGTGTGAGCATGTGAACGGGCCCCCGAATGGTGCCTCACAAGCGCAATGCTCGTGACAATTCATTGGCTGAGAGTACACAGTTATATAATACATAATGTTGCTACTTTGACATACAATTATCGTGTCACGAGTCCTCCATTACATTTTCTGCGCCAACGTATTTATTAAATTCCTCGCCGGAGGAGTGCTCATTTCGTGGCTTTCGGACTGCGGGGAATGGAGGCTGTGGAGTACATCCACGGCGGAGATGGAGCGATGAACTCAGCTCGCGTGCAGGCGCTGGTAGGATTGTCGTACCGTGGGATAATGACCCATGGCTCAATCCATTGCTTCATCCAACACACGGATTGATCATGGCTGATGATGATGAATATAATGATGACGATGAGACCAGATGGAGAAAGAGTGCGGCAGGAGACCCACAACCTTTTGCACTCCCTCCTGGCCACTCACGTTCTGGATGCGGAAGAGGCACAGGGCCACCACGTGCGAGCACCACTTGGCTCCGGCGCCACACGTGCAGCTGCAGGAGGTGATGCGGCAGCGGTCGAACATGACGGCCACGTTGTAGGCGCCCTTCGCCTGGTAGATGTTCTGGGGCGGCACCACCGTCGCGCTCAGGTGGAAGCCTGGACAAAGGAGCGCACACGGCAAGGGGCACTTTTGGCAAGGTACTGTGCGAAAGAAGTTCAACGTACACACATGGATATATACAAACGCCGGCCCAATCGGTTAGTCGCATCGTCCAGCCGACTCGGTTTCTCAAGAGGTTGGCGGGGGGTCATCAAGGCAAAGGCAAAATGCAATCTCACCCCCACTCCCCCGGATATTCATGCTGCCAACTCCCTGATATTCATGTGCTGCTTGAACCAGAATATTTATTTAGACTGGAGGAATCCGATGAGCTATGAAGCTCTTTTTCGAAGATGTCCAGCATGAATTGATGGAATTATTACAAGCGGACTAGGTGAGACTGAAGAAATAAGTTGAATCCTGCAATCAACCTCGACCAGTGGGAAGTCAATTCTTCCCTGCTGCTGTTGACATTGTCTAAAATTCCCTACCCATTGCCCATTCGCGCACTGCAGGTTTCCTGCCCTTCTCTGAACTTCACAAAACAAACTAAGTTTTCTCAAAAACACTAAGAACACAAACAGTTAAGTCACTGAATGGCCAACTTTTGCCAATGTGTGCGTGTGTAATGTAGAAAAAGAATGCCGTTTCTCTGTGTTCTTTTGGCTGACAATCGATTATGCAATTGAATCATTTGGCGGGACCCTGGGGTCCCGCAAAAATCAGGTCAATAATTTTTATTTTTCAGTCCGCCCCACTACGTGATCCCGACAGCAACGCGCCGCCCGCCCAGACTCGCGCCAACAAGCGCCAGCAGGCGGCGATCAACACGATGAGCGCCACCCCACCGGCCAAACCCAAGCCCCGGGGGGCGTCCGCCGCAGTCGCGCGGCGACGACGCCCTCCGGTCAGCCGTCGATCCTCGGCTTCTTTGCCAAGGCGAGCCCCGCCGCACCCCCAGGCAGTGAATTTAACGTGTTTATGTAATTTTTCAACTTTTTACGAAACTTAGTGCCCCGATATATAGTGTTGGAATAAATGCTGTGAAGCAAGCACCTGCAAGGGCCACGACTGACAGTGCCTTGGCCAGCAGCATGGACGTTCAGCCCTCTTCGTCTCCCCAGTGTCCACGTCCACCAAACGCCCATTTTACTCACTTGACGGGCTAAGTCAACGTAAGGAGAGGCCTGGTCCAGATTTAGATACCAGCCGCCAACGAACGATGTTGTGCACTGGCCAAGAACTGAACTTGCATCACAGCGATTAATAGCAGTGTGTTAAACGACACAGCTCCCCCACACATAAACACATACAAAGCACACCCTTTCATCGTTATAGTGTCTCACGGCAATTGCTTTTAACGAGCAGATACTAAGTCTGACGTGGTACACAATTGGGTGCGCGGTTCAGCAGCAGTGGTTCTCGCACTGTGCTTACACACCTGGCGACGTGAATTTGATTCCCGCTCATGAACTACATCGTGGCAAATGGAATTGGAACCAGACTTAAGCCTCCCCCCCCCCTGGGTCAACTCCACTTTAAATGTGTGCTTGGTACAGCGTGTAAAAAGTCTTCAATCGACGGACAAAATGTGGCTGTGCATGGTGCTGGCTATCCACAAAGACAAAAAAATATCTCATGCAAAGCCACACAAGTGCGGTTCACGACCACATAAGGCGGCGATGGTGTGGACGGATCATGACTGGCCTGCCTTTGTCTCTCCAGTGGTGATGTTTACGCCCCGCACAAGGCACTCATTTAAGGCCGAACTGACCTGGGGGAGACCCAGGAGCGTTTCAGATAATCGCCACTCATGATAGCCTTGCACGGATTTGTGATGCCGAGCGCTAAAAAGCGCTGTGAGCACACAAGTACACATACAGAGAGGCTGTCTAAGCTGTCGACATGCAGGATTTTAAAACGTCAAACCAGGCAACCTTATTTATTCACTGCCGGTTCCAAAACAATACGTGTGCGGGGCGTAACGCTTCCATCGCGAAGCCGATTTCCACGCTTGCAAATCCTTCGGTCGACCTCTGCTGAGTGTTACATAACCACAGTCTGAACGGCAACTGTGCCACACTCAAACGCAAATATAGCCCCCCCCCCCCCACTCTGTTTTTTCCAACATTATTTCCGTCAAGACGTGTATTCTGCAACCCGCAGCTTCACGTCAGTGTTTGCTCGTGCGACTTCATGGTCAAAAGAAATATGGTTTCAATCGCGTGTAAATATTTACGAAGTCTCGATTACAGCAGGGCTTGAGCGCATAGATGCGTTCATATTTTTTATGCGACTGCAAAATCGTGGCGTCAAGTGCATGCACGGTAGAGGAAGACCAAAATAGGTCACCGGTTCACTTCCCAAATCTACGCATTCAAAACCCTGTAGCCTGTTGCGAGCCTCATGTTGAATATCTGGTGACATCATTGGAATGGATAAGACACTGTGTGCCAGTTGCATGGCTCAACTTGGTAGATGTGAAGCTGTAGAAAATGTCACAAAGCGTCACGCACTGCAGAAACGAGCGTTTGGGACTCTCCAAAACTGACGTCGGGCCCCGAGCCCGTGGTGGGAATTCCCCATTCATCTGGCGGGGGATCAGTCTGTCTTTGCGCAGGACAATCGCTGCTGACTTTACACGAAAGAATTGCAATTTATTGCAAGAAAATAAATACTGTAAATGCATTGCTCTCGCCTATGATATCTGGCAAATCAGCAGCCTTTATTTATTGAAAAATAAGTTAATACTTCAGTGGGCTTTTACCTGGTAGGATAGAAATATTGTATTTTATTTGTATATATATATTTTTAAGTGATTTGTTTACCTTTCCTATACTTTGCACTCCTATCGTGTTTTTGTCTTATTTGTTGTTGTAACGTTCTGACCCGCCCACCCCCCCCACTGGACATCTGTGAAAAAGAGCTTCATAGCTCATCGGATTCTCCAGTATAAGTAAAGATTCTGATTCTGCAACGGCTCCACTATGCCGATGAACTTCAAGTCAAACCCAGTCTATGGTTGTCCTGCTTAAACAGATGCTACTGGAAGCAAAAATGGTACAAAAGGTTCATAGGCTGCTGGATTAAAATGCTATAAATTTTTTGAGAGACAAGACTGAACCTATGATCGCCGTGGTGCTGTGGTTAACGCACTGCCGTATGAACACGACGACATGGGTTCAATTCCCGTCGATGGCCGACATCAGTTTTATTTTGGTGATGTCCAAAAGTTTTTAGGTTTGGCCATGTTTGTTTGTTGTAGTACGGAGTTAGACTGATGGCCTTAATCTTAGTTGTCTTGTGGTTATTGTTGTTGTTTGACTTACACCCCACTGGGATTTTTGCACACAGCGTTGGTGTACGGTGCTTTTTCAGGAATATTTTGCTGTTTTTCCTGGATTTTCTGTTTGCAGTCACATAGTCACTTTAAGATGTTTTCTTGTTCATGTTTTTTGTTCTTTGTTTGTTGCGGTTGCACCCGATTCAAGAGCCGCATGGCTCACAGGGCTCTACCCAAAATAAGTTAAACTGAAAACTGAAACTGAAATCAGTTGCGAGTGAAATCAGAACCGGCCCTGGGCCCCGGTGTGTATTCACAAACCACCCCCCGCCCCCCCCCCCCCCCAATGATAAACAACTCCCATAACCGACACTGTGTGGAGGAGCCCACCATCAGGTAGTGGATTGACAAATGTCTGTCGTAATTATATTTAGAAAGTAATCCGTGTACGGTTCCAAGATCGCCATTGTAATGCAATACTACATTCCAAGTGTCTTACCCGATTCAGTAACAGACAATGAAACAACGCTGTGCATCTTCTTGGTTCTTTCGGTCAAGTCGCGTAGAAGGGAGATAATAAAATATTACGTTTTACATTTATTATTCTATCATTTCCCTTCTACGTGGTGACTTTACCGAAAGAACCAAGAAGATGAATCCTTGCAGTCACGAAAGCTTTAAATCGAAATCACTGTGCATGTTTTCGGCCTTGCAGTAAACTCTGGTTTTCCCTGGTGCTGTTTATGTTTCAGTGGCAAGGCTTTAAACACACTGCAATTTATTCTGTTTAATGTTCATAAAAGAAAAATGGCACTGTATATTAAATATATATGCATACAAAGAATTATAAAAGATCAATACGGCAATACACGCACGATGATAAGCGCTTTATCGTTATTGATTTGGATGTAGTGACGTACGCAGTAGTAATAATCAATTCATTGATTTGAATGTATTTTTGGATTCAGAAAATGTTCCACAAAAGAATCAATTGTTTTCATTACAAACATATTGCATGATAATGGCAACCACTGGATGTGCTGCAATGCATTGATTCTTGAATTGAATCGCAAACCATAACCATTGCCAAAGCATTGAATTGTGAGAGGGGTGAAAAGTTACCACCCTTATTATTACCCCATCACCTCTCCTTCGTGTAAGATTAACACCCCTGATGTGAGGCTGCACCACTGGGTGTGAAGCCAACAACACATGTCCCATGGAACTACTGTGTCCTAGCAGAGCAACATGGAATTTCCTCCTACTGGCATAGGACTGACCACCAACAGAGATAAGCATGCCCCAGCACTTGTCAAAACATATGAATAGTGAACAAGGAACACAAGCACACAGTAAACGAGATAAATCATCGTTTGGCGAACTGCAGTGAGCGATGAAACTCACAGGCAGAGCATGAGGTTAAACAGCGCAAACGTCGTACAAGCAACCGTGCACACCGCACACAAGCGCATCCAATGACAGGTGCGTTGAGCGCCCAGTGACATGGGATCAAGGATGGCACGGTGCCGAGATGTTAACTACCTCGCCTGGCATACAGGAGGTCACAGGTTCGATCCAAACCCTGACACCTGTATATTTGGAGAGTTTGCACGTCTCTCTCTCCCCGTGGTCACGCGGATTTTTCTTCAGGTGCTCCACTTTTTCCCTCCACACTTAGAAACATGCGTTGAGAGTATTTGTCTGCTATAAAAAAATTTTACGTGATAAGCCATTTCAATGGGCTATCATTTGTGGCCAGGTCACATCTGAAAAAGAGCTCTATAGCTCAGTAGGCCATGCCTGCTAAAATAACAAAAAAGGTGAGTTAGTTAAAATCAAAATAGATAGTTAATAGTGCCAGACTTTGGTACAAAAAATATTATTTAGAATTTCCACTTGCAACGCGCACACGCTATTCGCTCACTCTGGTAGTGAGAGAACGGCTCAAGGAGGCGTGAGGAGAAACCACAGAGAAGCGTGAAGAAGGCAGCCAACGTGGTGCGAGACAGTGCCAAGAAGTGCTTAGGCAGTAATAACGGCGCGCCCTTGGTTCACAGCGCGTCCCGTAGTCGTGCGTTTGCCCCGCCTCTGCTGTGGCCGGACTCAAGCACGGTGAGAGTGTAACTTCATCTCCGCTGATCAACAGACAGACAAATAAGCACGCCGCTGATGGCAGGGGGATTTCCTCCACAGGAAGCACCTTGAAGCAGAGTTCCAGATGGCGAATGGAGAGCGGCAAAAATTACCGCGATAAGGATTAAACGGATTAATAATAATAATCAAAACGTTGGTTATCTGTCCAGGGGAAGACTAACTGAGCCTCAAGATTCTCTTTCAGGGGGGTTCTGCATTGCGACGTTTGGCCAATTATTTTTCCAAGTGTAGGAATAAATCAGGGTGATGGAGAAAACCTATGTATGCGAGGAGTTATCGCTCAATGCAGATCAGTCATGAAACCAACTTGCTGCACTGCCATCTCCTGCCCATGATTTGTATCGTTACTCATTGTTTCTGGCTTGGTTGTCAAGTTTTGTTCACTCCATTAATGTGAATCCAACAAATGCATACAATTTGCAGAACTAATAAATAACGGATTCTCACATGCATAAAGCAACATATGGAGCCCGGGGCAGAGGAATCGTTCGTAAGCGATGAATTGCGGCACGCTTAATTTCCTTTTCTATGGGTCTTTTGGTAAAAGCCACGCAGATAGAAAAATAATATTAATAAAAATAATAACAAATAACGACGTTTCAATCTTTCCTGCCTCAGCAGCTCTCCCGCTATATTTTTCACCATGATGACGATTGCTTGTGTTGCGATCGAAACGTGATATTGTTATTATTGGTATTAATTTTATTATTTTTCAAGCTACGTGGCTTTACCGAGAGACCAAAATAATATTAATTCCTGCAGTCACGAAAGCTTTAAGTCAAGATTTAATTTCCTTTGTTAATTGTGGCCTCATTTCAGCATTTTCAGTGACTACCCCAGGCCACATCAATACTCACATGGGCATTTGAACACCATCACCCTCTCTGGCGTAATTAGGTATACTAGTTGATATCAGCTGCTCACACTCTCTGCAGACCCATCTGATAAAAAGCCCCTACATTTTCCCTGAATCACCCCCTGCTCACTCGTGCCCCACCTGCTAATTCATATGAACCCCAACAGAGCCAAATAAACCCGCTGAGTTTGCCCCTACGAAGAGACTGGTGGCCCCGCCATAGCAATGTGGAATTTCTAACAGTGGCTCGGGGCTTCCAATGGAGGATGAATGTTAGGCACGTCATGATACAGCATCCACCGACACAAATTGATTCCCACATTCAAGATTCATGCATTGAGAATCCTGTGTGCGAGATGCAATTAGCGAGACGTCATGTTAATGCAAATGATATGCAATGCGTATGCTAATCGTTGGGAGTAGCGGTGCAGTGATTAGCACACTGCATTATGAACCCGGTGTGACCGGCATTCCACTGGGAGTGGTTTTAGACATACATATGAAACGTGAATACTTACATTTTTTGAAAGGCAAATTACTCCATTGGGAAATGCATAGCAATCATCACCGTCGACTGCAAAACCTAGCAGGTCCCTCCGGAAAGTATCTCGAGACACGGCGAGGCTTTCCTGGACAAATTAATATTGCAGTGAAATGCTGTTCCACGTACAAAAGTTATCATTGGAAGAAGGATTTTTTTTTATATTTAACTTATGGTTCTCACTGCCTAGCAACTAAGACTCCTCCATACAGCGCTGCATTCTATACCATCCCACCTTCTCCTGCTAACACAGAAGCATCTTTTCTCCCTTCCTGCAGGACTGGATAGGCAGACGTGGCTTGACCAGGAGCTGAGATTAGATGAGAGCTTGTCAGTCGTTGCGGCGGTGGCGGTGGTGGTGGTTGGTGGCAGCAATGCGAGGCTTTACCTATTTGCAGAGGGTCCTTCACGGCCCGGGCTTTCAGGAGGTGCTCTCCCCGCGAAAACTCGTCGGCACTCCCGTTGGCGAGGCACGAGTACAACCTGCGAGGCAGCGGCGAGCGGTGGCAGCGGCGATTAGCGGCACGACGGGAACGGCGGCGTTGCACGCCGGGTGCCCCGGCGGAAGGTGCCGGGAATTTCGTGGCCAGGCGAGGCAAGCGAAATGGACGAGTGTGGCGAGAAAGAGGTCTAAGGTATGTACACTTCGGAAGAGGTTGCAACGGCTGTGACAGCAGTAGGAAGAGGATGATTAATAGGAGTAAGAGAAGGTACGAGGAGTCGAAAAGGAATCATTGAGAGCGCAGGGAGGAGGAGTACGAGGAGGAAGAGGAGAAGGCAGAGAGCAGCGGTCCTCACCGGATGTCCTCCTCATTCTCTGGGAAGCTCCAGAAAGCGATGCGAAGCTGCAGCTGCTCGGGCACGGGCGGGTACACCTTCTCCACCACCTCGAACGGGATGTGCAGCGCCACCTGCCGCGCCGCAAGCTCCACCAGCGGCGACACCTGCCCTTCTGCTGGCGAAAGAGCGGGGTGGCGGCGGCGGGAGGAGACGGGAGAGCGCGCACGCGTGTAAGGGAGACCGGCACCCAACACTGTACAGGGTACACGAGACGTAGGGAGGCGCGATGTATCTGCTACACAGACCGGGCACACAAAGAATGGAGGAAACTCATAGCCGGCTATGCAGGGTACACAATGGATGGAGAACACAATGAACCCACTGCATGGAACACAAGGGTACACTATAGTGGGTACACAAAGCATAGAGCACAATGGAGTGGTTACACAGGGTTGACAAGTTATCGAGGACACAATGGACTGATGTGGATTAAACGATGGAACAGACACAGGGTACACAGGGCATGGGGGACACTTTAAATAAGATATAGTACAAAGACATCATGAAATTAGAACACAGGGTGAAGGCATAGATTAAACAAACACGTGAGATACAGGGCAAATAAGCAATATAAGTGGCACAATTCAATGGCATCGGCATTAAATTATACGTGACATTTCATAGCAGAGAGTAGGGCCCATTGCCCAAAATGTCCCCGATTGACAAATGCGTTGGAGTTTTTGTTATTTGTGCTTGAGCAGCAATGTCAAACCAATGTTACAACAAAAAACAACAGCAGCCAAGAGTTGTTGTTTTCACAGTTGTTCACAGGCAGCAGGATCTGCCGATAGCGTCCCTCCGCATTGACGCGGACAAGAGGAGTTTCTCTCCTGTATCGTAAAATTTCTGCTCAACGCAGCCATTGAGCAGAGGACACAAAAGACGGGGGCGGTGGGTGGGGGTTGGTGCCCAACCAGCAGAGTTTTGCTCTCGCACAACATTACCATGTTGAGAGACCCCCCCCGTGGACACAGATCACCACTCCTCCCCAAAGGCCGAAGGTGACAGCCCCGGCTTTTAATAAAAACCCCTGCGTCAGGAGTATGGGCTGCACTGTCCAATAATCACAGCGGCCTGGAAAAATCCCCGCATGAATCCCTCGGATCAGAGTAGTTCCCAACCTTTCTGAATCATAGAATCGCCGTCAACCGTGAAATTCTTTTACGGGACCACTAAGCAGCAAAAAAAAACAATCCGGTGTGTTGTGAAAAAATTATATGTAACAGTTCCGCGGACCACTTCATATGGCCATGCGGACCACCGGTGGGTCCACAGATGACAAGCTGGGAGCTCACTGCCTTTATAGGACGCTGCTTACAACTCAAACGGTTTTCGTCTTGGAGCGAGGCACCTCCTCGGTGTGTCTCGGGGGCTGCCCGAGGCATGAAGGATGGGGGATAAAAAATACTTTGATGTGGAGCTGGGACGATGAGTCTATAAGTCGATAAATTAACTGACACTTATTTGTGGTCGATTACTATAGCCCCTTTAAAAATGGCAGCCACTCCTACAAGGCAAGGCCAGAGTGCCAGGCCACAAGTCACCGCAGCACCACGTATTCAATTTGGCTCACAGAAAACACAGCACACAGAGAGGGCCCAGATTAACATGTAAAAGGAACATTGTTCTATTTTGGTATAAAATTCAAGTGAAATGCTCTAAAAGCATTACAACCTTTTGTTGGCCATGAGAACAGGCAGTGCTAAACCACTGAGTCCTGCTCTTAACGCAACCACTCTCAACAGCACAATGGTCTCTTCTGAAAAAAGATACTCGTGGTCTCAATGAGTTTTTACCTAATTACAGATAAAGGTCACCTATCTATTTTATATTGCTCAACACGATCACTTTAATGCAAGCACTCCCAACAGATGTACAGGCTGTTTTAAAACGATGGACCCAATTTCAAAGCAGTATATTTCACGATGGCAACATGTTACAATTCCACGAAAAGTTACTAACGGTTTAATGAGTTATCAAGTTTTACTAACCATTTCATAAATGCTCTATGTGCCCTCCACCTGCTGTACAGACAACATCGAGACAAAAGTTGAATCAGTTCCAAATGACTCTCAAAATGTCTTCTTCCACTGAAGTCACTGCTGCCGTGATTTTGTTTTTGAGGTCATCCAGATTAGTCACTAACGGTGGCACAAAAACACCACGGTCTTTGACGTATCCCCACGAGAAAAAGTCGCAGGATGTGATGGTGTCTAGGGATCTTGGGGGCCAAGAGTGTAGCGCCAAGTCTTGGGGTCCCGTGCGACATATCCCACGTTGAGGCAGTGCGTCTTGTGAATGACTGAGGCTAGGGGCTGTTTGTGCGCTGGGAGAGGCATCTACAGTGAGGGAAACAAGTATTTGATCCCCTGCTGATTTTGTACGTTTGCCCACTGACAAAGAAATGATCAGTCTATCATTTTAATGGTAGGTTTATGTGAAACAGTGAGAGACAGAATAACAACAACAAAATCCAGAAAAACGCATGTCAAAAATGTTATAAATTGATTTGCATTTTAATGAGGGAAATAAGTATTTGACCCCCTCTCAATCAGAAAGATTTCTGGCTCCCAGGTGTATTTTATACAGGTAACGAGCTGAGATTAGGAGCACACTCTTAAAGGGAGTGCTCCTAATCTCAGGTTGTTACCTGTATAAAAGACACCTGTCCACAGAAGCAATCAATCAATCAGATTCCAAACTCTCCACCATAGCCAAGTCCAAAGAGCTCTCCAAGGATGTCAGGGACAAGATTGTAGAACTACACAAGGCTGGAATGGGCGACAAGACCATTGCCAAGCAGCTTGGTGAGAAGGTGACAACATTTGGTGCAATTATTCGCAAATGGAAGAAACACAAAAGAACTGTCAATCTCCCTCGGCCTGGGGCTCCATGCAAGATCTCACCTCGTGGAGTTGCAATGATCATGAGAACGGTGAGGAATCAGCCCAGAACTACACGGGAGGATCTTGTCAATCATCTCAAGGCAGCTGGGACCATAGTCACCAAGAAAACAATTGGTAACACACTACGCCATGAAGGACTGAAATCCTGCAGCACACATAAACATGACCGTCTGAAGTTTGCCAATGAACATCTGAATGATTCAGAGGACAACTGGGTGAAAGTGTTGTGGTCAGATGAGACCAAAATGGAGCTCTTTGGCATCAACTCAACTCGCCCTGTTTGGAGGAGGAATGCTGCCTATGACCCCAAGAACACCATCCCCACCGTCAAACATGGAGTTGGAAAGATTATGCTTTGGGGGTGTTTATCTGCTAAGGGGACAGAACAACATCACCGCATCAAAGGAACCATGGACGGGGCCATGTACCGTCAAATCTTGGGTGAGAACCTCCTTCCCTCAGCCAGGGCATTGAAAATGGGTCGTGGATGGGTATTCCAGCATGACATTGACCCATAACACACGGCCAAGGCAACAAAGGAGTGGCTCAAGAAGAAGCACATTAAGGTCCTGGAGTGGCCTAGCCAGTCTCCAGACCTTAATCCAATAGAAAATCTGTGGAGGGAGCTGAAGGTTCGAGCTGGCAAACGTCAGCTTCGAAACCTTAATGACTTGGAGAAGAGCTGCAAAGAGGAGTGGGGCAAAATCCCTCCTGAGATGTGTGCAAACCTGGTGGCCAACTTCAAGAAACGTCTGACCTCTGTGATTGCCAACAAGGGTTTTGCCACCAAGTACTAAGTCATGTTTTGCAGAGGGGTCAAATACTTATTTCCCTCATTAAAATGCAAATCAATTTATAACATTTTTTGACATGCGTTTTTCTGGATTTTTTTGTTGTTATTCTGTCTCTCACTGTTCAAATAAACCTACCATTACAATTATAGACTGATCATTTTTTTGTCAGTGGGCAAACGTACAAAATCAGCAGGGGATCAAATACTTTTTTCCCTCACTGTAGCGGTAATCATTTGAAACTCTATGCCCCGCCCTTTCAAGTGGTAAGAGTTTCATTCATGGGCGGTTCGTGGTTGCAGAGATACAGCTATTTAAAATCGTGTCCATCTTTTTGAAACACCCGTATTAATTTTTGATTTAAAGCTTTCGTGACTGCAGGGATTCATATCATTGGTTCTTTTGGTAAAGTCACGTAGAAGGGAAATAATAAAATAATAAAAATATAAAACAATAAAATTCTCACCGTCAGTTTGTTTGTAGAAAGTTCCATTCCAAGTGAAGTATGTATTGGTTAAGCAGTGTCTCACCAGGGGGGGTACCTCAGTGTTTTAGTCCTTGATGAACCAAGTCTTCAATGATTTCGATGGTGTCAGGTACAGGAACTTTGGTGAATAAGGAAACTACATCAAAACTGACAAGCAGGTCGTCTGGGGACAGGGAAATACCCGTGATTGTCGATACCAGGTGAGTAGAATTTTGTACCGCAGAGGTGGTTTTTCCAGTGATGATTGCTTGTGTTGCAGTCGAAACGTCGTGAGAATTTTATAGTTTTATATTTTTATTATTTTATTGTTTCCTTTCTACGTGACTTTACCAAAAGAACAAAGAATATGAACCCTATATTAATGTTCATGTGCACAATTTCCTCAAGTGCAGATTACTGTGTGTACGTGTACGCATCTGCATACACAGTGGCACGGTAGTAGGCGCACTGTGCCACGAATCCAGTGGCCCGAGTTGCATTCCCATTCACAACATGAGTGATGATCTGAAACGGTATTGGGCCTCACCTAGGCTGACTTGGCTTCAAATGTGTACCTGGTGTGGTGTGTAAACATCGCCACTGGGGAGATGAAGGCGACGGGCGTGGTGCTGGCCACCCTTCCCCCTCGTGTGCTGTGCCGGCGTTCATAGGTGCTTGCTAACAGCACTTGCCCCAAGAGTCTGTTAAGGCTATACGACGGATCTTTGTCTTTGTTTTTTCGTGTGTATGCGTGCGCATGCACCACAGGCAGCTCTATTTATAATACAACCTCCTCCCGAGACTAGCCGGACTGGATGGAGGGAGGGGAATGACCTAGGTGGCTAGGTCACGCATCGCTGGTCACCAGAGGCGACCAAAAAACAGACCGTAAGAGGATCGCTTATGCCCGCATGTTTAAGTTTGTTCAAAGATAAACCGCCGATTTTGGTTT